CAATTGATCAGCGCAGGCCTCAGAATTGATGATTGACTCTAAGAGGGAGGCTCTGTGCTCTAAGGCCAAATTGAGTAGCCATGGTGGAGTTCGAGTATGACATGACCAAATGGAAGGACCGACGCGTCCGACGGGTTTGCCCCTAAATTACCATCGGATTCTGAACAAGGAGGCGGTTCCGGCAGTGCATTTCGGATTGCTGTCCGAAGGAGGCGAAGATTTGGAGCGGCGGAACGGTGGAAGACTGGGAGGCGTGAGAAAGTGGCTGGCTGAAGGCTTCAAAACCATATGGCTGATAGGGATGGCTTTCTTTCTGGAGCTCCGATGAAGTCAACACGAAAAACGGAAAAGGGATCGGTGTGCACTTGCAATCGGACCAAGGCTTCCACGAGCTGAAGCTTCACTTGAACGATGTTTAGCTTTCGGCAGGCCCAGGATTCCAAGAAGGACGCTTCGACGGTGGCGGTGCACCCACGTCCGACTGCCAGAGGGAATGATCGGCTTTGGCACCCTGGAGCTGAGATGGGGGAGAATGTTGGCAACTTCCCCGCCTTGTGGAGGGATCTGGGCCCAAAGATGCTTGATGCAGTCCCGCATGGGAGCCCCAATGATGGAATTGGCTGCAGGTCGGCGCTAGGTTTGCAGCCCTACCACCGGGCCCAAAGGGATTTAAGTTAAACTCGACAGGGGGTTGTGGCGGCAATAAAGAGATACTTTGCCAGGCGATGTGGTGTGTGGCCATGCTTGCGCTTGTTGAATGATGGAAGGCTATCCTTCTACATGTTCATGTGCTGGCCTGAGGTGACATGATGGACTACCATGGTTTGAGGCACGTTTCGGGTGTCATGATCTTGGGGCAGGTTTAAATCCTTGGATGAACTACACTCGCGAACCAAAGCGCATGGTGAGGGGAGGATGGTTGCGAAGGCAACAGCGACCCAGCACAGAGCTTCATGCTTTGGTGCAGATTTAGCTTTCCACTGTGCCAGGAATACGTGGCCTCGGGAGCTCTACTCTAGAGCCTTATGCGTGGGTGAGGACCAGTACCTGGAAGTGATCAAGCTCCAGGCGCATTTGTTCCTTGAATGGCACACAAGCCGATTCCTCACTACAAGCTGGTTGGGTGAGGCGTCATTCCTCAAAAGGGCCCCGAATGTATCTGGCTCAGCCGACGCTTGCCAGGAAGAGCTCAAGTTCCACTTCTACTACACCGGGCCGGGTTGAGCGAATGTTAGTTGCTTCTTCTCTTTTTTGCCTAGCTTTTGCCTGGAATATTCTTAGTCGCAGTGCAAGCAGTCATAGGCTGGATCCTATGGACGGCACCGACGACCCCAAGGAATACATGTGTCAGGTTCTGAACTGACTCACTTTCCAGATCCGAAGGGCTGGCGGCTACTGTACAGATGTTACAGTACTGAGCTGCAAGATCAAGTTGAAAGTTCTTACCTCCTCGTTGTACCTACCAGTCAGCGCACTGTTAGCCCAGGCTTGGTTGTCTACAGCAAGCCCAACTGGAAAGGCATTGCGAGAGGTGTGCCGGACAAGCTTTGCCCGTAGATAGTTTCTTTCGAGGATGCCTGGTTTGTTGCTCCCCCCGAATGCGGAACTCGGGGCCGGTTGGGCCTCAACGATTCCATGGTTGGCGTTCTTAGCCTTGCCAGGCCTGACAGAGCTGGGCATCCAGGTGTCAGACTCCGAGGAGGAAGCTGTAGACAAGGAACATCCGCCTGTGGGCAGTGTCACTTTGCATCCCCCCACTTGGTGCGAAGGACACCGAGGACTTGGGCATTCAGATGATGCTGCGAGCCTCTGATGACTGGGCCTCAGCGCTGTGGTGCCTGTGCCATCATGCTGTAGGGTGACTGCAGCGGTTGTGGCCAAAATCTGAACTTGTTGTTGAGCAGTGCAAGAAGCTCGCAGAAGGATCGGCAAAGGGGCTTGGGAATGAACCTATAGAGAAGATGGCTCCCGAGTGACGCACATACATGACCCGCTCATTGTAGCTGCACTTTGCGTGACTGCCCTTTCCGTCCAGAGGCATGGGTCACATACTGCGATCCCTGGATGAAGCGGGAGTTTGTGGACAACGGGGTGCTGCAGCAAGGCAAGGTCTACAGCCCCCGCCTGAGACGCCAGGGGGCTACAGCAGGTGTTGGCATGTTTGGTCCCTTTTGGTCTTTTGGTACCGAAGGATTCAAAGAGGACAACCTCAAGGAGAAGCTTGGCTTGTAGCACGCTGCCGGGTAGGGCTGGGCTGGCGGCAAGGGCCAAGGATGCCAATTTTCTGTTAGTCCTTCTCGCCGCCAGCCCAAAAGATCCCTTCCTTGGGCAGGGCGCGGGTTTCACCTGGAAGATTAGGACCAGTGAACCGATGTACAAAGGCTGGAGCTTGACACCATGGAGGATGCTTCGCCAAAGTGTTGACGATCCTCTTGCAGCTTCATGGCAAAGAAAGCTCCGGCAACTAGGATGTGTATATTTCAGCCTGGCGACCCAAGAAAGGGTGCATGCCTGCTCACAGGCAGCCCAGGGTGCTCTGTTTTCTTGGGGCCTGGGTTCCCTATTCAGGTTGTTTCAGTTCCCCACTTAGCATCATTTTGAGACTTCTGCGGATGGCAGCTGGCACAGTCCCTGTTGAAGATAGTCGGGCAAGATGTGTGTGGACTCCACCCCGCTCCACTGCATTCCATTCAACGCTGCTCCGTTCCCACACCATGTGCCACCCCAATCCTTTCTCCACCCTCTGATTAAGGATGGGGAGGCTTGACTTCTTGCTCAATCCAATTAGAACAGACAGTCAAATCCCAAATTGAGGTCGTGCCAATTCGCGTTTGTGTTGGGAGGGCTGTAGCCGCGGGTTGGGCAGACTGTGCGTGCCACTGTAGCCGGTTAGGGCCTACAGATTGGAGCCCGCTGCGTGCTGGCCGCTTGCCATGGCAGGATCCTTGGGGCTAGGGACGGCGCTTGCCCTTTGCAAGGGTGGGACTGAGAGTTTAAATCCTTTGGACCTGTCCCACCATGGCAGTTTGTTCTCGTTCTCGTAAGGCTCGGCCAAAGCAAGTGCGTGGCAGAAGTGGCCAAGCGTTCCATTTCACGGGCTGGTGCGTGTTGGCCGGGCTCCGTGCAATGGACCACCTTCAAGAAGAGCAGAAGAGCCAGACATTTAAATCAGGGTGTATGGCTACCTGGCGGTCCTGCTTGGCCCAAGCCTCCAAGTTTTGGCTCAGCCATGGTGCTTCAAACGGCCATGGGACTCTTCCGATGCCTTTGCCTGCTGCCTGTGTTGCCTGCTGCAGCTGCAGCGCCCCTCTCCGTTTTTGGTCACAAGGTGCCCGACACTGACACAGTGACATCAGCTATAGCCGCTTGGGCATTAAAGGCGTGCGTGCGTGCGTGCGTGCGTGCGTGCGTGCGTGCGTGCGTGCGTGCGTGCGTGCGTGCGTGCGTGCGTGCGTGGGTGGGTGGGTGGGTGGGTGGGTGGGTGGGTGGGTGGGTGGGTGGGTGTGGGTGGGTGGTGGGTGGGTGGGTGGGTGGGTGGGTGGGTGGGTGGGTGGGTGGGTGGGTGGGTGGGTGGGTGGGTGGGTGGGTGGGTGGGTGGGTGGGTGGGTGGGTGGGTGGGTGGGTGGGTGGTGTGGTTGGTGTGTGTGTGTGTGTGTGTTGGTAGCCATTGTGCATCATGTAGATGTCGATGCAAAATCCATGTACCTCCAGAGCAGGTTTCTTCTGGACTACATCTCTTATTTGCCTTTTTTCTTGTGTACTTTTGGTGGTGTACATATCAGGGCACCTGCTAGTACATCCCCCATGTGCCAATTGCCACCGTAGTTATGTGAGGTCTACGCTTGGGAGCTGAATGCCCGGAACATCTCCGCCCAGGCCTTCCGCTTAGGCGAGCTGAACCCCGAAACCGAGTTTGTTCTCAAGGCGCGGCGGTGACTGTGACCCGGACATAGCTGGTGTATGCAAGGAATTTGGGCGTGGCTCTAAACACGGTACCCGAAATGGCACTAAAACCTGGGCAAATCTGCATCTTGAGCCGCACCCGCATGTGACGATGTTTTTGAGACTACCCTTTTTAAAGGTTGGTTTACAGGGAAGCCAAAAGCGAAACCAAGTCCCGATTTTTCGTACCAAACAGCGCGTGGCCCGACGCGCCATTGCCTGGCAAGGCGTTGAAGGTGCCCCTGCCGCCGCTGCTGTCGGATGTGGAGCCGAAGGCCACCGTGGCGGTGGTGGACACCAACAATCCGCAGGAGCTCCCGGAGGCGAGCGGTGTACGGGTTCGCTGGCTGTTGGCTTTGTGCGTGGGGCTTGATTGATTGTTTGCGGACATGGGCAGACATGCCTGAAACCATCCTGAAAAGGCAGCTGCCCACTGCAGTCCCATTGTCTCGTCGAGCAACCAAGGGCATCTCCAAGGCGGTGCTGCACTCCATCGTGGATCACCACAAGCTGAGCGGGCTTGCAAATTCTGAGCCACTAGAGATCGACATGCGGCCTCTTTGCACCTCGACGAGCAGCAAGGACCCATTCTCAAGCTTGAGAAGCGGAGCGCTCGTTTGCCAGTCACGTCAGCCGACTTCCTTGGCAGTCTGAAAATGGTTCCAAACTGTTCCAGGGACGGCTCTGACACTCCTGGCTTTATACAGGAAGCCAGCCGTAGCCAATAGATTGAGTTCATGAACTCAAAGCAGGCTACGAGAACCATTGGCCTTGATTATGCCATATTGTTTGGTGAGGCTCAGCCACCAGCATCCTGTATGCGCGGTCGAAGCTCTATGGCCTCATGCCAAGCAAGGAGATTGCTGGCCTCATGCTCTCAGGCCCGCTCAGCCCGCTTGGCCCGCTGGGCTCGGCATGTGTTCGTTTGTTTGGTTTTCGCATGTCTCGCGCGTGTGCGCCGCAAGGCATTTTGTCGGATTCCTTGGAGTTCCGGTCCCCGACCACCACGGACCTGGATCGGGTGCATGCGGAAGAGCTGGGGAAGCTGGCTGGTTTGGGCCCCAGTTGAAAGGAAGTGCGGGGGTGGGGGCGTGCGGGGGTGGGGAGGACTTGCAACCACCAAGCCCGAGGTTTGGACGTCCACGACTTTGCCGAGGGGATGCTGGATGCCAAAGCCAAGGTTGGGGTCCGTGATTGAAACTGCATGGTGGCTGGCACTTAATCCATGCAGAGCGCCTTGTCAGCCTGTGGGTATTCACAGCCTGCAGCTTTGGCCTGTGCGGCCTACCCGTTGAGTGCAACGCGTTTTGCCTGCTTTCCTTCAATTCTTGCAATGAAAGTGGTGTGCTGAAGATGTTGCCCTGCCTGGCCATGCCAGGTGGATCACCTCAGCCCCTCTGAGCTCATCATGATGGACACCAAGATCTTCACCATCGGCGGCAAGAAGCTGCGGGTGTCCGTCATGGAGACTACAAAGGCTGCAGGCAGGGCCACCTGAAGTGCCCATAGGCAGGTTTCCTAAGTCAAGCCTTCGAATGTGAATTTTGCTCAGCTCCCCAACCGATTTGTGTCAAGGAATGGTGCCAAGGAGCACCCCCCCTGCTTTGTTTGCAAAGCTTCCATGTCCCCAGAGTTGAAAGCAGTCCTGAGCCGTGTGGCTGGCTTCCAGTCATGCCCGAGGCCCATTGGCAAAGAAGTTGGAGCTGATATCTGCCATGAAGGAGCTGAAAGTCAAGGAGCTTGTCCTATTGAGGTGTGAGTGTGTGTGAATAAGTGCAAGGAAAGAGAGACACGGAGAGCCTTTGACCCCTGCACTTACGAGCCCATATGGCTCTCAGTTTGGGTAACTGCGTACTCTGGCAAGGCTTATGAAAGGGGTATCTTCGTGAGGCGAAACCCGACAATCACTTGCTTGGAGGAGAAGTTGGATGACGTGCTCTTCTTCGTGGTAGATATCCTGAAGGCGTCCGCGACTTTCATCTCCTCCTCACCCAGCGCATCCAAGCTGGTGGAGAAGCTTGGAGTTAGACCTGTGCTGTTTGGAGTTGCTGGTTTTTTCCGGCCAGTTCTTACACAGGCTTGCATTTCTTTCATGCCTGCCTGTTCCTTCTCAATGCGAGTTCTTTGTCGCCAAACATTTGCGGTACCTGGCGCGCAGCTTCTATTGGCAAAAGACTTCTGTTTTGAGGAACCTGGCAGAAGCGGGCCACAGGGAAGAAGGGGTGCAATGGTCCGCAGGCTTTGACTCATTTCAGTGCCAACAGGTCAGGTTGAGCAACGCAGCTTCTCCTCCTGCACTTGTTTGAGTCACATTGACATCCTATCAAAGCAACGCCGCACTCGCAGCGAGTAGGCAAAGTCTTGTCGACTCTGCGTAGTTTACTGTTACAGGCTTTTGGCCTGAATGTACCGCTGCCATCTTGTCTGGTTGGTTTTCTCTGTCCTCGTGGCCGATCTCAGGAAGGCCTGGAAAGTCAAAGTGGCAGACGACCTCGCAGTTCTGCCCGGGGTCCTCTCGCGGAAGAAGCAGATCATCCCAAAGCTCGAGGCCGCAGCCAAGGAGGAGTTGTAATTCAGTGGGCCATTGGCCCCGTGTGTCACCGCTAGGGGTGGCGTGCTTTGGGGCAAAAAGGCTTCCTTTAATTGGGAAGCCCAGATGAAGCACGACGGTTGTAGGCCGCCCCTATTTGCAGAGAGGAGCCCGAGTGGCTGTTGCCTCCTGTACATGGACTCTGCAGAAGGGGCTGGTAACACACATGTGCGGACAAGCGGCCGCTAAAAGAAGCGCTGCAGATGCCCACCTGTGCCGGCCAACTTGCCTGACTTGCTCACTTGCTCGCGAGCCAACTTTTCGCCGTTGCTTTTGCCTGTGCTTTGATTTCCTTTCTTTTGTGGGCTATCAGGGCAAGTGAGACCCAGTATCAAGGCAAGTGGACAAGGAGAGCCTTGACCATTCTCTCTGCGAGTCGCATGAGGCGACGCACGAGTTTGCGGGATGGATGGAGAGGCAGGCTTTGGATTGCACGGCTGAGGTGAGAGCCAAGTTGAAGTTCACCTTGATTGCTTCCCATCCGAAACCTTGCGCGATTCTATGGCCCTATGGTTGTGAAGGGGGTTGGGGGCATTTAAGAAGTCCATAGGCCCTAGGCTGCAGAAAATGGAGGCCTGTGGGAGTTGCTTTCACCGCCACGGTCTTCGGACCATTTATTCGGTGTTCACGACCCCTGCCCGGTTGCGGGTTTTCTGCAGGCGCGGGCCGACGGTGGACTTCAATTGGTAGAAGTCTCAGAGTGGGTGGTCTTACGTGCCACCGAAGAGTCGGACAGATGACGCCAGCTCTTGTCGGTAAAGAGCTGCAAAAGGAAGTGCAGACACGTCAAAGCCGAATTCACACCACACGTCTCTTTGCCTTATTGGCTCTTTGGAGCCCTGACCTTCGAGCTTAGGCAGAAGCGCTGGGTTGTGCTCCACGAGGGGAAGCTAGAAACCTTTGCGGACGAGGCTGGGAGCTTTAGGTCTGATGCTGCAATGCTGCCGCACGAGCTGACCACTTGCTATGTAAGCTTGGCGAGGTTTGTTTTGCGCTTTTGGTTTGGTTTTGGCCGTAAATCTCCGGGCTGTACTATGTCGCCTGGCTTCATGCAGGTTTCCGTGCGTGTGCACCTGATCAGTTGCTGTATGCTTTTGCTTCTGCATGTAGCTGTTCTCCCGAAACCTTTCAAGGAATTGTCGCCCCCTCACTGGTGACATGGACGTTTGAAGGGCATTTTGGCCCTAGGAGTCTATCATACTCCCCCCCCCCCGGCCCCTTCCGGCCATTCCCATGTTATCACGAACGCCTTCTCGAGGCTTGCGCCAAGCGCAAGGCCACGATGGAGTTGCAGCCGCGGAGCACTGCAGTGCCCTTCAAGGACTGGACTTCAAGTGGCAGAGCCAACACGGGGGTTTTATGCAGAGGACTCGAAGTGGCTGCAATTGGTGCGGCGCCTTGCGAAAAGAAAAGCACACTTGCGCATGCCACCTGGAACGAGGAACAAACCAAGGGAGCGGGATTATATGCATGGGGTTCTTTCTTTTAAATTTTTAGAGCGCTCATTTAGCTCAGGTCGGCCAGGTCGGTTTACAAGTTCTGAATTATGCACAAGGAATATGTAAATACAAAATAATGAGCGCCATTTGAAGAAAACTAGGAGTAAGATAAGGTCAAAGTGAGCATAGTCCATGTACACATATTCACAAACAAGACTTGGGTTGCCCCCCAAGCTCAGCAGGCGCGCAACGCCCCTGGAGAGGCGGCGCTCTACAGCGCAAGGCTGAGGTCCGCACGGCCAATGCTGCCACATCCCAAAGGAAGGCCACTTGCACGTGGGTGTCTTTTCTAGGATTGGACTCTCAAAGTTGTTTGTTTTTTTTCTTTGGGTTTCCCATTGAAAACTAACAATAAGTACCCTGAAAACAGACAAATCCACATTGCAGACATGATGCCTTGGATGTCCACAAGCTCGAACCCCAAGTGAGCCGCTGGATCGGTCACACCTAGACATCGAGGCCACCAGCGGCCCTTTGGCTTTGTGGTGGACTTGGAGCCACAGGCCGGCCACTGCGGACTTTGCAACAGCAACTTTCTTGCACTCTCTCTCTCTTTCTCGCTCTCCCTCTCGCTCCCTGTTTCTCTTTCGTATTTTTCTCTTTGTCTATCTTACTCTTTTCTTGGCCGCTCTCTCTCTCTCTCTCTTTTCCTTTTCCTTTCCCTCTCTCCTTCTCTTGCGCACTCAGTCATGCAATGCCGATCGTGCTAGGCAGGCAAAGGCCGCCGGATGGCCTACTTTGACCCGCCTGCACCCTAAACAGGGCGCTTTTCTTCGTTCGCCTTCCCTGACAGCAAACAGTTTGCAACTTGAACAAATTGAACCGTTTCAGACGATAGCCACGCGCAGCCCAGCTGTCCACGAACAGCATCAGTCCCGGACACTTGAATGGTTGTGCTTCGGGCCGCTCAGGGCCCACGGGTTGTTTCATGCCCTGCGTCCGACGGCCTCCCTCCCTGGATCTCAATTTTCAAGGGTGAAGTGATGAACTTGCTGATGAACTCCCCTTGTCACGACACCTGAGGCTGCATCAAGAAGGGCTTGACCAGTGGACACAGGCCCTGGTGTGCTCTGAGCACACGTCCGCTGTCAAAAGGGAGCGTGTTGCCAGACGTTTTAGCTGTCAGGCTTTGCACAAAAAGCCTTCCTGATGCCTCCACAACATGTGACATCGACGTCGGTCATCCGCGGTCTTTCGGCATTCTCGGCCGGCCCGCCCACACAGGCCATCCATCAGAGCGTGCGGCAAGTGGAGCAGCTTCTCAAAGGCGGGTTTGCCGCTTTGCCCTCGCCCTGCCCAACGCCCCTGTCCCAAAGGCTGTCTGAATTTATGGCCATAGCCATGGGCACTTGCCACAAAGCTGTCACCGCCTTGCCAGATGAAGCTGCCGCTGCTCGGCAGCTGGTTCGAGACCTAGTGTGGAGGTGCTGCGCAAGGCGCTGCCGGGAGCGACGAGGGGCCACACCAGGCTCCATTTTGGGTACCTATCTTTGACCCACACACACACACAAAGTGAGGCTTTGAAGTTGCACCACATTCTCTAGTGGCACGGTCTAGAGATAACTCAGGAGGGATCATCCTAGCTTTGGGCACATCACGTTAGAATTCGGTCAAGGTATTCTCAATCGCTCTTGACAGCTGCTTCCGTGGCCATGCCAGGCCTGGATATGTGGCGGACCGCCGCGTTGCCAGACACCTTTTGCAAGGGGCCCTGGCAGTGCTGCCAGCTTCTGCGGCGGATGAAAGATACGGCCTTTCAAGTCAGACAATGTCGAATATGCTCTCTCTCTCTCTCTCTCTCTCTCTCTCTCTCTCTCTCTCTCTCTCTCTCTCTCTCTCTCTCTCTCTCTCTCTCTCTCTCTCTCTTGTAAAACTTCAGTGTGCAAATGTTTGAACCTGTGTGTGAGCGGCGGCAGCTGTCGTGCATGTGTTTTCACATGTGCCAGCTTGAACCTGTATGGCTCAAGGCCTGTCAGGGACAATGTCTACCTCATGTACACACTGCCCTAATGTATTCATGGATGTCTCTTGACACCCTTCTTCGGATTGTACAAAGCTTGTACACTCCGTTCAACAAGGCCAATGTTTGAGGGCAGATGCAGCTTCTAAAGTTGCGGGTGTCGAAAGAATGTTGTCGCTACTGTACAACTCCTATTCGGCAGTGCCCTAGTTTGTCGAAGCTCTGTACATGCATCGTCCGTGAGAACCAACCTCATGCGCAAGACTGTGTCCATAAGCCAAACTGTTTCCAGAAGCAAATGTGTCACAATCTCTTCTGTGCAGTTGCTTTCTCAAGGTTGCCAAATGTTGCGGCACCAATGTATCAAGGTGCGGCAATGTCTGAGTGTAGGAGCCTGTAACCCTTGATCTGTTCCAGCACTTGTTCTTGCTTGTGATTCTCTCTGGCTTGTTGAGCAAACTCCGGTGTTCCAGGCGCAGGGTGATCAATGCAGCCATTCAAGATGATCTTGTGCTGCAGAATGTAATTCTGCGCCCGTTGTCGCAAGCGGTCTGAAATGTTCATCAGGTCACCGAACGTCAGCAAATTGAATGCCATTGCTGCGGCTCCGTGTCGAAGGTCGCCGACATCACACTCCAACAATGTCTCCAAATGCAGAACGACGTGTTGAACTGTGATGAACCCATTGCGGATGCTGTACATGGCATGAAGACTCCAAATGTCTCCCATAACCTTGTTCACCCTAATCGACGCCTTTTCCGCCAGTGTGAGCTTCAGCGCTGCGCTTTTGTCCAGCTGTAGGATCTGCGACGAATAGCCCCGGTTGAAGGGTACGAGCACCTTGCGATAGAGCATGTGGAACAACTGATGCGTGTTGATCCAGATATCGGTCAAATAGGTTGCACCGAAATTCCTTGTCGAACAACCGTTGGTATTGTAGAGCCAAAGCATGTACATCAGGCAGTCTATGGGGCTGTACAGGAGGCCTAGTACTTCCATGTGAGGCATGCGCATGTTCCCTGCGATCACGTCGATGTCCTTGGTGTGGCCAGAAGTGAATTGCTCCACCTCCTCTTCCGTGGCCGGGAGGATCATCTCAGTGTAGTCTGCAACATTGTCTGGCTGTTGCCCTATGTGTCCTGGGACCACTTGAGAGGTGAAACCCGGTGGAATGTCCGACCTCATGTGCAGGGTGTGATGCGCCCTGTGTTGCGCCATCGCCGCACTTGAGCTGCACTGCTTTACAAAAAGGTGCAAAATGGCTGCAGGTTTCTAAAGCAACTTCGAAGACATGCAGGTGAAAGGAGAAAAGATGTATCGGGATGTGTTCCCAGTGTGTCCTGAAACCATCCGAAAGTTATGGCAAAGAATTGTCCATCGCGCGATGTTCTACTGTGAAACGCTGCCCCGCTTGTACTTGTTGTTTTGAAACAGACAAGTGACGAAGTGCGAAGGTCGTTACGGTACCACAAGTGCGTGCAAATACTGTGGATGTTACTGAGTCGCAACTTGTCGAACATTACGTGTGTTACATACTGTTCAACATGTGTGAAACTGGCGTCGTGGTTGTCACATCCGAGATGTGGGCCGGTCTGCAAGACCAACCTTGTAGAGGTGCTTGTGGAGCGTCTCTGTGTTCACTCCTTTGGTGAGGATGTCTGCTGGGTTGTGCTCTGATCTGATCTTGTGCATCGAGATCAGTCCGTGTTTTACCAGTTGATGCACAAAGAGGTGTTTCAGTTCAATGTGCTTTGCTTTCTTTGATGTGCCTTCTCTCATTGTGATTGATTTTGCTGCGCTGCTGTCGGTGTGTATCTTGACGTTTGTTTTGATGTCGAATGCTTCCTGTACAAAGTTGCGTATGTACAGGCCTTCTGTGCATGCTGTGCCTATGGCATATAGCTCTGACTCCGCTGAGGAAAGTGCTACTACTGCTTGTGTGCGTGATGCAAAGTGTATGCATGTGCCGAGGTAGTGTATGGCAAAGCCTGTTGTGCTCTTGCGTGTTGTTTGGCATGAGCCCCAGTTAGCGTCGGTGTAGATGTTGATGTCGACCGGGACTCGCTTGTCTCCGTACTGCATGACGGGTTGTGTCCTATGCTTGTAGTGCTTTGTGCCTTTGAGGTATCTGAGCAAGTGTTCGACTTTCTGGTTGTCGAGTTGTGTTGGTGCCTGTAAGGAACGTGCAAGTTCCTTTGCTGCAAAGCAAATGTCTGGTCTGGTGTACGCTAGCCATTGTATCTTGCCGACTGTCCTTCTGTACGCTTTGTGTTCCTCTGTGTTCAGAGGTTGCTCTGTGTTGGTGTCTGTCTTAAGTGCTGGTGAGCATGTTGTTGGTGCTGGGTTGCAGTTGTTCATGTTTGCTTCGGCCAGGATGTCGTTGACGTACTTGTCCTGCAGGCTGATGTCCACGCTGTCTCCGTTGTGTGTGATTTTCCTTCCGAGAAAGGAAGCCGTTGTACCTGGTTGTAGTTCACCTGTTGGTCGTAGAAGAACCTCCTTCTCGATCTATTCGAAGATCTTGTCGATGTTGTGTCCTTCTCCAAGTAGAAGTAGGTCGTCGACGTAGATCATGATGCAGGCTGTCGCTTCCTTGTTCCTGTAGACATTGGAGTCTGTTTTGAGCCGTGTTAGTCCAAGCTTTGTGAGGACTGTTGCGATGTGATCTTGCCACTGTTTGGGACTAGATCTAAGGCCGTACATTGCTTTGTTGAGCCGCCAAGCAATGTGCGTGTTGCTCTCGTCGTAAAACTCTTGTGGCGGTCTCATGTGGATGTCCGTTGTTGCTGCTATGGCATGTAGGAATGCCACGCTGACATCACCTGTGCGAACTTTCCATCCTTGTGCTAGTGCTGTTGTGAGAAGTGTGCGAAGGATGCCGAACATTGGTGTTGATGCGTACAGTGTGTCTGTGTCTGCTATGTTTTCGGTGTAGCCTTTTGCCACTGTGCGCGCTCTGACTTCATCTCCTTTTGGTTTCAGCACCCACTTTGATTCCACAATGTTTCGTTGTTGTTCCGGCGTGAGTGTTCTGATGTCAACCTCTGTGAAGACAATTCTTTCATTTTCTGCTTCCTGTTGATCCTCGCAAGATGTTGCTTCTATTGGTTGTCCTGCTTTGTTGTTTACTGTGATGGCTCCAATCCTGAGCTTCATTTTCGGTTGCTCTGTTTGCTCTGGCCTTTCCTTCTGCTGTTGCGCTGCTTCCGTTTTCTGTTGCTTGCTTGTGCTTCCTTCTGCTATTTCATCTGCGCGTGTTCGTGTTGGTGGTGGTAGTGGTGGTCGTCTTGATGTCGTCGGTGAAGTCGCCATTGGTGATGTAGGTCCAGCATCTCCAGGAAGAAGTCGTTGTTGTTTTCTTGGTGATCCATCCTGCTGCGGCGCTCGCTTATGCTCGTTTGTTGTGCTTGTTCCTGCATCTTGCGTGCTTGTGCGTGATGTGTCTGTTCCTGTTTCTCTTGTTGGTCGCGCTACTCTTGTTGCGATCGGTGCTGTCGGTGGTGGTATGTGCCATGGTCCTGCGTTGACTACATCCATCAACTGCTGGTTGTATTTGTGTGGTGCTATTGTTCTTCTGACTGTCCTTGCTCGTATGAGTCTGTTGCTGATTCCAAGGATGTGTTCCCCTGTGCTCTCATCTCGACCCAACCAGATGCCGTTGAAGAAGCGCTGTTCCAGTTTTGGGTATTGTTTGAGTGTCGGAACCATGTACTGCACTGTTTCTCCAAACTCGCAGAGTGGAGTTTGTGGGTTCTTTTGCCATCTGTTGAAGTAGCTTGTGTGTCCGTTGCTGTGAATGGCATATCTGTTGAGGATGTAGGCGCTGTGCCTTACAATCCATGCCATCAGTGGGTGTTGCAAGTTGATCTTTCTGTTGTAGTTCTATTGGAGTTGTGCTCTTAGTGTCCTGATTTGTCCAAACAGTGTGCGGTGTGCTCTTTCAACGCTTCCTTGTGATTGCGAGCTGTATGCTGGCGAGAACCTCACTTGCATGTGTCCTACTCTGTGTGCTGTGGTTTTGACCAGTGCTTTGAGGTAGTCCTCTTGGTCGCTCTGTAAGATGGCATGTGTGCGACCGCATTCCAGAAGGAATGTCTGCAGCTGTTGTACTGCGTGCTCGAACTGTTGTTGCTTGTCTCTGATGAGCACTGCCATCATCATGCCTGTCTGTATGTCGATTGCTGTTAGAACCGGGGTTGTTTGGTACGCCGGGTCGTCAAAGCTCTTCAAGTACGCGAAGTCAAGTTGTATTACTGGGCTTCTGCTTGTTTGTTGTTGCTGCTTGTGTGCGTCTGCTTTGCCTCTTGATTGTGTGCATAGTTTACACCAACTCCTGTAGGGAAGGTGTGTGAGCTCATGTTCTGCTAGTTCTTGTGCTGTTGGTTGCTTTGGTGTTGGTATTGCTTTTGCTCTGTGTGCTTTCTGCTGTGCTTCTTCATCATCTCCTGGATGTAGTTGCGTGTCGTACTGCGCGTTCTCCTCGAAGTTGGTCGAACCTATCCACAGAAAATCGTGGGATTTGTTGGGCTGCGTTGTCCACTCGTCCTCGATGTACTTGTGCTCGTTGTTGTCGCCGACCTTCGTAGATCTTGTGCCACGGAAGGGCGTGAGGTTCTTGATGTCTGGTCCATCTGTGGTGTTCTCCGGGATGTAGAAGTCCTGTCGTGGTAGAACATGTACTCGTTTCCAAAGATGTCCTTCGCGAATCCAGTAGTCCGATGTTGGGGTCATGTGGTGCGGTTGTGGGATTCCTTGCGCTTGTGGTGTTGTCTTTGTTGTCAGTCTCATCTTTGGGTTGTAACTAATGACATGTGGAGTGATTCTTGTTGCTGCTCGTTTTCCTGTTGTGGTGGTTGACTGTGCCGCTGTTTGCTGTTGCTTAGCCGCCATTTGTTGTTGCTGGGCCGCCGACTGCTGGTGCTGCTTCTTGATTCAGAAGACTGTTTCACCTTTCCATGAATGTGGGAGTGTTCTGTGTTGTTGCTTGCTGTCTAGTGTTTGATACTGTTCTTCGATGACGTACGTTGCGCCATCTTGCTTCTTTACTGCTTGGTTCGCCTGTAGTTTTCCAGTTTGTCGAGTGACACTGGACATTCTGTTCGTTCGGGTGTGAACAGTGCTTTCCTGTACACTCTGTGTACTCGCACGAGTTCTCCGTTGTTGTTGTATTGCCAGAGGTCACTTGTGCCTCCTCTGACAATGTCTGCTCCCGTTGGCGTAAGAGTTGTTGGTGCAATCGTTGTGATTGGTGCTATTGTTGCGACTTGTCCTTGCGGCGTGTCCCTGACTTGTAGCTCCATGTTGTCCGCCATGATGCTAATGTGCATCTGTAGGAACAGCAGGCCATTCTGCTGTACCAGGTTGCTGTGAAAGCCTTTGCTGTGCTGCATGTTCGGTTGTTCGTCAAGTGTGATTTTGAACCCTTGTTGAACCAACCTTGTGACCGAAAGGATTGGTTGTTTGACGTCGCAAACGTAAAAGGGTATCACTATGTGTTGCCCTGCGTCGTTTTGCATGCAGATCCATTTGTACCCGTGTACTTTGATTGGTTGGTTTGTGACTGTTCTGAGTTGTGGTCCTGTGTCCTCTTGTATCTGTTGCAGTGGGTAGTCTGTTGCAAACCATGTTGGGCAAACATGTGTTGCTGCTCCACTATCTATCATGAGTTGCACTGCTTTGTTGTCCATGTTGCTTGTGTCCGCTGCTTGTATTGCTCCAATGAGCATGTCGTCTATGCCTGAGACGACCAGTGGCGTGGTGTTGGTTGGCGCCGCCGGTAGTGCCAACTGTGGCGCTTGGTTGTACGGTGTCTGGTCCTGGTTGTACCAGGTGTTGTCGTAAGTGTCCTGTGTGTTGTACCACTGAAACGAGGGGTCTGTGTTGTTGTAGTCTCCATCCGTATCCAAGTTGTAGACCGGAACTTGGCAGTTCTTGGCGAAGTGTCCCGGCTGTCCACATCTATAGCAGATGTTCATTGCTGTTTTCCCTTTGGCTCCTTTGCTGTATCCCTTCCCTTGTGTTTTCCTTTTCCTTTTCCTTTGTGGAATCCTGTGAATCCTTTTCCTCCTCCGTTTGGGTTTCCTTGTCCTATGGGACCCTGCTGTCCTTTGCGTTTGTTGTAACCGGTGTTGAAGTTAGTGTTGTTGTCTTTGTTGCCGTAGCCGCCGTAGCCGCCGTAGCCCTTTCCTTTGTTGTGTTTGCCTTTGTACTTGCCTTTTCCTTTTCCTTTGTTGTTCTTGCCGCCTTTGTGCCATGTGCCGCCGATGTCCATTGGTGCTGGTCCTTGTCCGCTGCTTGCTGATGCTTGTGTCATTGTGTGTAGTCGTGCAAATGCTGTTGATGCTCTGTGGTATTCCAGGATCAGTGACCTGATCTGTGCGTACGTTGTGATTGATCCTGCTTGTAGCTGTAGGTGTTGCTGCAGTGGTCCTTTTGTTTCGTTTAGCAGTATGGCTATTTTGACATTGTCCGGCAGTGTTGTGTTGTTGTCCCTTTCGTACCGTGTGACCTCAAACTCCCATGTGGTGTAGCTTTCTTCAAACTTCTGTTCGTCGAACTGTGGCTTGAGAAGCTTTGTGAGGTACCCGATGCTTCGTGTACCTATGGGTATCGAGAACCGGATGTGGAGTTGTCTCAAGATCTCGAAGCCAGTGTTTGTTGCATGTTGTCTGCAGATTGTTGCTGCAGTGTCGTCGCAAGTGTTAACGAGGATGTAGTTGAGATCGCTCCCAAGTTGCTTCCAGTGTTCTGCTGTGGCTGTGTCTGGTGCTGCTGTTTCGAGGTCGTCGTTGTCCAGTGTGTGTGTGTGTGTTGCTGTCTCAGCTCCTGAGAGTAGCTGTGGGTATGCTTGGTCTTGTAACCCTAGGTATGCTGTCATCTTGTACTTCCACTCCTCGAAGGCCTCGTACGTGCCATTGAACCGTGGTGGCGGTATCTTGTATCTGTGCACTTGTGTGACTGCTACTTGTGCTGTGGATGCTTGTGCCATGCCGTGTTACTTACTGCTGTGGACCTGGGTAGTGCGTGGCAGCTGTCGTGCATTTGTTTTCACATGTGCCAGCTTGAGCCTGTATGGCTCAAGGCCTGTCAGGGACAATGTCTACCTCATGTACACACTGCCCTAATGTATTCATGGATGTCTCTTGACATCTCTCTCTCTCTCTCTTTCTCTCTCTCTCTCTCTGTCTCTCGCTCTCCCTCTCTCTAACTCTCCCTATGACCTCACGATTGCGCTGGCAACAAGGAAGCACACGCAATGTTCACCCATCCTCAAATTTGGATTGGATGGGACCCGCCAAAAAACAAAAACGGACTGGCCACGTTAGCTGGAAAGTCGTTGCTTGTGGCCAAGGGCTTCACAAGTGGCCACCTAGGCGCGGCATCTTCCGCAAGGTCTGTGAGGAGGAGGGGGTGAAGCAGGCGGGCGTCTTCAACGGGACTCGTCTGGCCCTTTCAAGCTCCAAAATTACCAGCTGATTCATCATCTTCTTCCGGAGCTGTTTCTTGATGTATGGCTTGCCTGTCCGTCCGTTAATTTTTTTTGTCCCGCTTCATTGTATTTCACTTGGCTTGCCCAAGCTACGAAGTAGCCTCCAACGACGAAGTCAGATTCATGGAATTTTGTTTGCTCTTTTTTACGCATAACCCTCACTTGGTGGTTTGGATGGCTGGTGTCGGGGTTCGAACCCCTGTGCTTCCTTTTTTCGCTTCCGAGTCACACCGCAGGCACCCGGCAGCCAGGAGGACCGACTCGCAGGTTCGATCCATGCGCGCAGTTTTGCACCTTGAGCCACATACACCTGAGTGAAGCCCTGCCCGTCGCGTAAGCCCAACGGAATGCCGCCATGCATGTATTCATGCGTCCATCCACCTGCCTGCCTGCTTGCCTGCCTACCTGCCTGCCTGAACGCATTCCGTTCTTCCTTGCGTCCGCTACTTTCAGTGCATGCATATGTACGTGCGTGTGTAAGGATGCATGATGCATGCAATGCAGAGTGCGTGCATCCCTACATCCCTACACATAGACAGAAATCCAGACAGCCGCGGGCGGACGCACGGCAAAACGATTACCAGCCAGCGAGTCAAGTGGAAATGCCTCACATCCAGTCTGCAGGGGCCAGAGCTGAAAGACAAGCGGATGTAGACACAAGCCGAAACGGCTGAGAGAGCAGACCCGAAAAAGGCCCAGGTAAGCACACGGCCGCATCCCTGAGTGCATGCAAATCTATGTGTATGCAGAGATGCACGTATACACGCAAGCCCCCACACAGAGAAACACAAAGACAAACACACAACCATAAACACAAACACACAAGCACAAAAACACAAACTCACAAGCATACGATATCATAAACATGAAAGCGCACAAACCCACCAACACTCAAACACTCAAACACTCAAACACACAAATAACAAGCAGACACACAAACAAGCGCACAGACACACAGACACACAGACACACAGACGCACGGACGCACAAGCGCAAACACACAACAAACACACAGCCACACAATCACAGCTCGAGCGCTCAAACACACAAGCAGACGAACAGACAAGCAAACAGACACACACGCACACACAGACACACGAGCACAAAGACAACACACGAACACAAACTCCCACCCCCCACACACACACACGTACACACAAACACACACACACACGTACACAAAAACACACAAACACAAACACACACACACAAAACACAAACACACACACACACACACCAACAAACACACGTACACACGTACACACGTACACACGTACACACGTACACACGTACACACGTACACACGTACACACGTACACACGTACACACGTACACCACAAACACACAAACACACAAACACAAACACACAAACACAAACACACGAATACACACACAAAACACACCACACAAACAGACACACACACACACGCAGGCACACGCGCACGCACACACACACACACACACACACACGCACGCACGCAAGCAAACACGCACACACACACACACGAAACACAGACACACAGACACACAGACACAGACACACAGACACACACACACACACACACACGAAAACACACGAAAACACGAACACAGACACACACACACACCAACACACACACAGACACACGCACACACACACACACCCACAAAGGCACACACGAACCACACAGACAGGACGCGCACACACACACACACGACGCACAAACACACACACACACACACGACACGCACACACACATGCACACCACAGACACATACACACACACACACGACACACACACACACAACACGCACACACACACACAGACACACACGCAAACACCACACACACACGACACGCGCACACACACAACACACACACACACTTGCACACACAGACACACACACACACGCACACGACACACACTACACACACACACGACACGCACGACGCACACACACACACACACACGGGACACACACGAACCACACAGACACGACAGACACACACACACACACACACACACACACACACGCGCACACACACACACACACGCGAAACACACACGACACGCAGACAACACACACACACGCACACACACACACACACACGCACCCACACACACACACGAGACACACACACACACACGATCAGAAACACACACACACACTCACGCGCGCACACACACACACGACACAAGTCACACACGCGCGCACACACGACACAAGTCCCACACACAAAACACACACACACGACACAACCCACACACACAACACACACACATACACGAGAGAGACATGACACGCACAAACACACACAACACGCAACACACACACACACACAACACTTAACACACACACGACACCCGCAAACGCAAACACACACACACACACGAAACACAACGCACACACACACACACACGCACAGGCGCCCGCACACGCACACGCACATGCACACGCACACGCGCGTACGCTCACACGCTCACACGCACACGACACGCACACACACACAAACACACACACACAAATACACACACACACACAAAGACACACACACACACACGCACAGGCACGTCTTAAACACACACCCGCACCCACACGATACACACACACACACGCACACACGCACAAAGGCACACACGAACCACACACACACACACACACACGTCGCGCCAACACACACACACACACGTCAGGCACACACACACACACGACACACACACACACACGCACAGACACACGACACACACAGCCCACGACACACACACACACGACACACAGACACACGACACACACACACACATAGGCACACTCTCACGTGCGCACACATGCACGCACGACACACACACAAACACATGACATACACACAAACACATGCACGCGCAACACACTCTCACACACGCACACACACACACACACGCGCACGCACACGCGCACGCGCACGCGCACGCGCACGCGCACGCGCACGCGCACGCGCACGCGCACGCACAGGCGCACGCACACGCACACGCACACGCACACGCACAGGCACACGCACACGCACACACGCGCACACGCGCACACGCGCACACGCACACACGCACACACGCACACACGCACACACGCACACACGCACACACGCACACGCACACCCACACGCACACGCACACGCACACGCACACGCACACGCACACGCACACCCACACGCACACGCACACGCACACGCACACGCACACGCACACGCACACGCACACGCACACGCACACGCACACGCACACGCACACGCGCACGCGCACGCGCACGCGCACGCGCACACGCACACGCACACGCACACGCACACGCACACGCACAACGCGAACGCACACGCACACGCACACGCACACGCACACGCACACGCGCGCGCACGCACACGCACACGCACACGCACACGCACAACGCACACACACACACACGCACACACACACACACCCACCCACCCACCCATGCACCCACCCACCCACCCACCCACCCACGCACCCACGCACCCATGCACGCGCGCGCGCGCGCGCAGGCACATGCACACGCACGCGCACGCGAACGCGCACGCGCAGGCGCACGCGCACGCGCACGCGCACGCGCACGCGCACGCGCACACGCACACGCACACGCACACGTTACACTCGACACAAACACACACACGAGACAGACAACACACACACACACACACACGCACGAACCTGACCAACACACATTCTCACACGCGCACACACAGACACACAAATTTAACCTGCAAGGGTTGAAGCTGAAACCCAAGATGTAGACCAACAAGCAGGCTCAGGCAGCAGACCGCGAGAAAGGCCCAGGTAGCTACATGGTCACGTGTTGATATTTAACTTTCGGAAATTTAAGTGTCCGCCGTGCAAAAACTAAGGGCTTTCGCTATTTTCGACGCCCGCGCATCACAGGTCGGCTGCTGGGAAAAAGTAGGCGTATCAGCACTTTTACCTAAGTTACATCGCCAAACGAAGGCATGGATATATTCCAGAAGCCTTCGTTCAGGGCACTGCCCGCCTTTGCCTGAACACTTCGTGTATGGATGCACTGCTTGTCCGCGAGGACGCAGGGGACAGTTTTCTGCACGTGGTAACTTTTTTGCAAATCTCATTGCGGTTTTGTCTCGCGTGCCAAGAAGACATCCGCTTGGTCTCCATATCTTTGCCCACTTTGGGCCGGCTTTATCGCTGTGCACCTGGCTTTTCTTTCTGGAGTGCAAGTGCTTGGTGATTTGCTTGGTGATTCACAGATTTCAGCTTGCTGTAGCCTCGCTTGAGGCCGGCAACGCGCAAGTTCCCCATCCAGTACTTTGGAAAGGGACGGCTGCCGTGCCTCTTTCTTCTTGTTGCCTGAACCTCTTTGGCAACGGTCTCGCTGTTGTGGCTCACGTATGAGTAGGTAACCAGGAACGAAACTCGGATAGTGTCGCTTCGGCCAGGAATCAGTGTGCTGCGTCTTCCAGATCAAGTTCAGCCCAGGCAGACAAACAAGCGTCCAACGTTCAAATGACAGGCTGCAGGAAAGCTAAGCCATCAGGCACAGGAGCGTGGCAAAATTTCAAAAGAAGCACATGCACTAGGGCTAGGTTCACTAACCGAAGCGATAATGACATCTGCGGAAGGTATAGGATAGTGCGTCTGTGTTTGGTCTGTGTGCGCACGCAGCAGAGGCCGGGACCAGTTCAAGCGTGTCTTCACTTGTATGTTTGTACGCGCAAAAGAATGAACGAAAGCCGATGTGTCAGTGAACGTTTACATCCCCCCCAACCCACCCCCACCCCCCGAATGGCCTGAAAGAGAGGTGTCGGAGAGCTCTGCCATTCCAAAAAACACCACTCTTTTCGACTCTTTTCGACATGTCGCACAGGCTCGGCCGAGGCGGAACCTGTCCGTAACCCCTTGTCGGTCACGCACCGAAAGAAGCGGTGCAATCCTTGCTGGGCACGCCCAGCACTACCGCGCATGCAATCAACCACTGCGGCCGGGGCCAGACGGGATGCTGACCCCACCACACTGTACTAATTACGCCAGTTGGGTTGCTGAAGTGCAGCCACTGCTACCCACGCTCGGACGATGTTGCTGTCCGGGCGCACCAAAGAAAAGACGTGAAGTCAACAAGCTGCCTTGGGCCTTCCATGCTGCTGTAAAGCACTCCTTTGCCCATGAGCCACTTGCCGTCTGCCGTCAGTGGGTCAATACCCCTGTCTGCGATTTGCTGCGCAGCTCGTCTGGCAGGAGGAACATAAACACCGGGGTTTTGAGGTACAACAACTTCTCTACGTTGCAGGTTGCCTCGCGGATCTCGTTCTGCAGAACCACATGACACCCAGCTGCCTTTGCCCCGCAGGCCAAACCGCCAATGCCGGCGCAAACCTTGACCCGAAGGTGTGTATGTGGGCTGAGCTGCATGAAGGGCTTCACCACTGTGTTGGAACCTCGTGATCAGGGCTTTCTCCGCCATGGGCAACTTATGGCAACTTCATCTCCACTCTGACCTGCGTGAGCGACACCCCGTGAGACACCTCATGTCCATTGCCCCGAGGCGTCAGTTAGACCCGCCCGGCCCACTGGGAGGCCCCTCGAGCCCGGGCTTTCCAAAAAACACCATGGTTAAATATCAACACGCCTCCAGCCACATAAATCCCTGCACGCAAACCTGTGTGTGTGTGCATAGATGGGCGTATACAGGCAAGCGCGCGCATAGAGAACAACACGCGCAGACACATACGACCCCACCTTTTCAGTTAAAAATTGGAGAAGCCACTTTCATTTGGACATCCTGTGCCAAGTCACGTCAGCCACGAGCGCACAATCACTCAGGAGCTCTCAGTCCTGCTGCCGATGATCGGTGCGCACGGGGCATTCGTTTGGATGGGCGAACGTGTGCGGTTTTTTCCTTGGGGTGCGGCGGCAATGCTTGAGGTGCAATCTGTTGAGGGGACTTTGTTTTTGGCCAGACGGCACGATTGCGGCTTTTGCTTTGCAGAGCGCTGCAAAGGTGGAAGTAGTCTATTCGGGTTGTTTTGTGATGACACCTGTTCCGTTCACTTGTTCTCACTGCTCAGGCTCTGACCAGAAGAAGGCTGCTAAAGCAGTGAGGCCAGGATTATTTTAGAGTTTTTGGTGCACGGTCTGGCTGACGTTTGAGTAGTACTTGCAAGAGCACCTCTCGTATGGGACCTTCTCCCGCTACTTGCCTCTCATCTTGGGTATCAAAGATGGATACCATTTCCTTGGGCCACCAGAAGGAGGGCAAGAGCAACCGAGCCGGCTTTGCTGGCAGGCGGAACAGCGCACTGCTGCAGCATTTGCCACAGGCAGGATTTGGACATGGGGAGGGATGGGGATCTCTTCTGCCGCCGCTAGTTTTGGGTTTGCCTAAAGGCATATTTATGACAGCATGAAACCAGCTGTCGCAGGGCAATTGCCTGCAGCAAGGATCACATCCAGGGCACGTCTTTACAAAGGGTCTCGCTGGGCAAAGCAGGCAGCAATTGCAAGGCTGAGCTTCCTGTCAAAGACCCCCAGAATGCATGACAGGACGCGGTCTTTTGATGCTCTTTGCCCATGTTTAGTAGTTGCATCACTGTCTTTCGGTAAAGCACTTGTCATGCTGTCGCTGACTTGTGGAATTGCACCGTGGCACATCCCGCCATTGGGCGGCAAATGTGACATGCGCACAGGTGCCTCAGATGCCTGCATGTGTCCATGTTGATGGTATAGATATCCTGTGGACATTCAGGGCTGGCACGGCAAAAGTCTTTCCTGGCTGACCTCAGAGAAGTTTCCTCTCCGGCCTTTGCCGAGGAGTTCCGGGCTGATCGTGATGTGGTGATGGCTGCAGTGCAGCTGGCCTGGCTTCGGAGTTCAGATGCCCGTTGGATTTGAAATGGGACTTGGGGGAAAAGTCCCTTCTAAGTCAAGGTCTCGTCCAACCATGATTTGAGATTCGTTCGTTTGCACCAGTTGACTATGTGCAGCTATTGTGGGTGCCATGCCTTGGGTCAAATGTGGAGCTGCCGCTTTCAGCGTGGCCCTAAATACTCTCCGAGGTCCTTGAAGCCGCAAAAGTCCAGGGGCTTTGGTGATGGCCAGGTTGAAGGAGACCCGCTGGCCTTGGCACACGCGGACGCTTCCATCAAGCCACGACCTCGAGAATCTGAGGAAGTGTCGATTCGCTCCCCCAAGGTTTAGCTCATGTAGGGGTTTTGTTACGAGTACCTGCCTATGTCCAGGTGAGGCTTTCTGAAGTTCCGGGGGGTATGGCATGACTCTTCGCAGACCTGTCCTTTGCGATCGGTGATGCCATTGAGAGAATCAGCTCAAGCATTGGTTTGCCCAGCGCTCTAACTCCGAGTGGCTCCGAGGGCCGACAGGGACGTGGTCTTCGCAGCTGTCACCAAGGACTTCCAACGCTTTACCCTCGGGCCTGGAGGGAGGCACTTCATGCCCGGGAAGTCGAAGCATGAAGTTTTTGTGAGAAGGGAGTCTGAGAGACTGATGGGGCAGAATGGGTGGATCCATTAGAAGCCACATGCTGGGGGTGCTCTATAGCTCAGGAGAGCGACACTGGGGCTTTCCGAGATCCCAACCGCACCTGTTAGCAACGAGGAATTTCGAGCTGAAACAGGGACGTCGCACGCCGCGCGGTGGCAATACGAAATCTGTGCACTGGATTGTTTCTAGGCCTTCTTTTTTTGCGCTCGCGGTTCGCAAACAGCGGTTTGAACAAGTTGGGTGAGGTAGGAAAGAAGGAAGGAAATAAGGAAAGAAGAAAGGAAATAAGAAAGGAAAGAAGGGAGATAGATAAGTAGACGAATAAGTTGAGATATAATGAAGGAAATAGCTAGAACTAAGAACATAACCCACTAGAGAAAGAAAGAACAAGGAACGCAACCATGAAGGACGGAAATGAAGGAAAGAAATTAATGAATGAATGAAAGAAAGGAAGGAACAAAGAAAGAAAGTAAAAAAATAAAGAAAGAAAGAAAGAAAGAAAGAAAGAAAGAAAAGAAAGAAAGAAAAGAAAGAAAGAAAGCAAGCAAGAAAGAAAGAAAGCAATAAATAAAGAAATAAAGACAGACATACAGAAATACATATAGAACGAATTCAACAAATAACGAAATCAAGAAGTAAATAAATACATAAAACCAATAAAGGAGTACATTTTTCATTTATTTATATAAAACAAAGAAGGAGGGAAGGACTATCATGAAGAAATAAAGAAGAACAAACACAGAAAAAGAGAGAGAGGGAGAGAAAGTGCCATCTTTATCTCTCTGATGTTGGACATCCCTGAGCCCAGGAGTTAACACCCTATAAGTTTAACGCCCGCACGATTTGCAGGACGGCATGGCGCTGGAACACACGAGTGCAGAACTGAAGGTGGGGTGGGGGAGGTGGGGCCGAGGGACCATGTCGAATTTGTTCAGAAACACTGTTGATCTCCCTTTCTCACTACCTCGTCTTTGACTGCGGGCCCCTCTCTGCCGGCTGTGGGCTGCCAGGCTTCATAAGCTAAGCTCGGGTTTTCGCTTCAAGAAATCCCGGGGCAAACTGGCGGCCTTTGCCTCAGCTATTTGAATTGTTTGCGCTTTCTTCGTGGCATTGCAGGCCACCTGGGTCCCCTAATCCGGATGGGCCGATCGGGTTGGGTGATGCCAGCTCGAAGCTTTTCACAGGCAGACGTGGACATTGTTCTGGCTGCCACTCTTCGGAGCCACGACCCTGGGGTGGGGGGGGAGCGTCTCTGAGAGCTGTCTGGTGGTCAAGGATGAGGGGGACAGCCTTGAAGCAGTCAGCCCCGGAGAAAATTCCCAACTCCACCCAGGTTGCGTCGTTTTCACCCCCAGGCTCCAAGGCACCACCTCAACAGCTCAAGCCGCGCAAGGTCCCGAAGCCATCCGCTTTGCCTCAGCGGAGATCAAGGCGAGTTTCTGGAGATTTGACCTAAAGAAACCGATCTGGATTGGCACCTGCATTTGTTGGCTATTCTGTGGGCTTAGGGGCCATGGAGCTCAATATGTACGGCTGAGGAAGTTTGGTTCCAACAAAGGATGCCCATGTTTTAGAGGCGGACTAATCATGCCGTCCAAGTTGTTCTGGGCCAGTTCTTCTGTTTGGCTAAATGTTTCGGCCAACACTTCGAACATTACTTGCACAACCGGGTGAAAGAGGGGTGATGCCTTGATCTGTGGAGTGTTTGTTTCGACGTTATCATCACCCGTCAGGACCAGGAAGCCATGACTGTTTTCTGAAGCCATCCGCTGAGTCTTGAACTTGACATGTGAACTTGACATGTGCAATAAATGGCCCAAGCCCCAATCGGCCAGTCAGCGTCCGGCCCACTTTAAGGCGCCGGCAGGCTCCTTTTAAGAAGGAATCCTCGCTGAGCGCGGCGGTCGGTTGGAAGCCACCGCCCTGACCCGTGGGACCTGCTTCTGAGAAAGGCGGAGAAAGGGCTCGAAGATGCTCGAAGGGTCGCGTGCGCCTTCTGCAGCCTCCCCGACCATCGGCCAAAGTGAGACGGCTTTCGGTCCAATTCGAGGGATATGTTTGTTTAATGCGCTGGTGTTTCTAGTCAATTTCCCCGCAAAAATCGGAATGCTTTGCCAGGTACGGGGCACCTGCATTCATAGATGGCTTTTAAATGGCTCCTAAGAGGTTGTGAGTTGATCGGAGTCTTCCAGACGAAAACCTTGCCACGGTGGCTCTGAGCTGATTTGCTGAGCTGATGGCAGCGCCCAACGATTCTGCGGATCCAACGATTGAGAACGGTGCTTTGCAATAGAAGCGTTCACGGCCAAACTGCCGCACTAGTATGTGAACACTGAACAGGTTGTAAGCTGCATGGGTTCACTTGCAGCTACATTTGGCAATTACTTGGGACATGGCGCGCTGCTGCAGTTGAAGGCGCAAGCCCGCTATGGAGGACCAGGCAGCGGCATGATATTAGAAGGGGGGGTGGGTATGTTTGGCTTGGATGGGTGGACTCAGACCACCTGCCAGCATTTTTTCCCAGGAACGGCGGTGGATAGATAGTGACTACTTGATGATTGCACCACGCCTCTTTTGGGCAAGGGTCCATGATATTCCTGGAAGAAGTAGCCATTGCGGGGTGTGTGTGTGTGTGTGTGTGTGTGTTTAAGTGTGTTTAAGTGTGTTTAAGTGTGTTTAAGTGTGTTTAAGTGTGTTTAAGTGTGTTTAAGTGTGTTTAAGTGTGTTTAAGTGTGTTTAAGTGTGTTTAAGTGTGTTTAAGTGTGTGTGTGTGTGTGTGTGTGTGTGTGTGTGTGTGTGTGTGTGTGTGTGTGTGTGCGGGTGTCCTTGTGTTTTGGGGCTTGTTACAGCTTGTTGCCCTTTGCCGCGCCGCCTGCCTTTTGTGTTGTGTGTGAGTGGGTGTCGGTGTGTCTCTATGCGCACACAAAGTAGCGGCAATTTCTTAGCAGCATCCGATGCCATGGGAAAGACTTTGCCTGAGAGAAACCTGCTTGAAGGTAGTCTACTTGGAGAATGGCCCGATGTCACAAACCAATGCAGCCCCTTTTGGGGTCCACGTGCAGTAGCCAGCTCGCGCACCCAGCTGCTAGAACGATGTGAGAGAGCAAAGTAGCTTGTTTGGCATGCGCGTGCTGCATTGCCACGCTGGATCGTTGCGCATGTAACTAGATTGCGATGCCTTGCAACTAGATCGCGATGCCTGGCAGTTATGACAGGGTACCCTAAAAAGGGAGACCCGGGAAGAGGACCCGGGGCCCTCGGGTAGTCTTCCCGCGTCTTTCTTTTGGAATGCGTTGCCGGATCACGTTTAGTTTCAAAGCTAGAATTGTCTCAGTTGGGCGATTGGAGTGTCAGCTGTTTCCCCCCAGCAGTCCGCTCATTGACTTCATTTTGGGAGAAAAGGCGAGCAACTTCCAGGGCCGACTAAGCAACCTCAGACCACGTAGCTCTGAGTTTCTAGCTCAGACCATTCATTTTATTTCGACGTTGCTTTAGCCCAGACCATCCCTTTTAACTGGCCAAAAGGGGATGCCAGCCGCGGATATCATAGACAAGTCCAGTTGGCTCCACCCTTTGGCATCGTGATTCAAAGGGTGCCTTCTTGGTCGCTGATGCTAATGGATGTGTGCTTTGCTACGGCTCACACCTTGACACGGTGTCCTGAGTTTGTGTGTTGCTTTGCGGCAGTCCGTTTGAGACGGAAGTCACAGCAGCTTAAGGATTCATCGGGAAGCAAGAACAGCTATTGGATAAGCTTGGTCAAGCAGGCATGTGCGTGTTCGCCCTGCTTCAATCATTTGGGGCTGTGAGCAGAAAAGTGGAGGGTTTTTTAACCCCCGCCGCTCCAGCCGTATGGGAACCTCTCCAGGCAGCACTGCTTCTTTCCCGCGCCCGGGCGGCGCTGGAGATGTACCCCAGCCCCGAGGTGCTGGAGTCAGCGCAGCGGGCGCTGGACATTTGCCGCATCCGAGGAGGCGGTATCGGGCCAGAGTGGTGAGTTGCTTCCGCGTGCGTTGCAGCGTGGAAAACTTGTTCTTGAGCTGTCCGTGTGTGGCGCACCCTCGCACGGCTTGCTAATCTTGAGTTGCCTGAGTGGTCAGTCACATCGGAAAAGGATCAGACATGAGCATCAGTGTATAAGTGGTCACGGCACCTGCCTTGCCTAGCAAAATGGTGCATGACATGCAGCAGGTGAGGTGGGCCGCACTGGCGCGCACGATGCGCTTCGCGTCATCATCAGCTGCCTGGCAGCAGATTCTGAGTGTTCAGGTGCCTGTGGTTTGCGAGCTGCAGGGCGGTCCATTTTTGTTTGGTTGCCACAAATTTGCAGGCGCGTTCACTTTCAGGGCCGTCCAGTCCCGAATGGATGCCCTTGAGACTTTGTTCCTGTGGTAGCAAGGGACCCTACATCAAGATACATGATCCTCACCACCAGCACCCGCAGCCTAAAAAGGGGCAGTTTTGTGTCAGGCTACCACCGGCAGCTGGCCGGTCAGGAGCTGCGCAAGCCGATGGAAGCCTTGCAACTGGCCGCCCGAGAGTTAGCCGCGTGGCGAAATGGTGAGAACGAGATATCCAGGGCGGCCGATGTTTGGAAGTTTGATGCAAGGGTTTCCAATATTTCCGTCTTTTCGGTTAGTCCTTCCCCAAATTGACTCTCGCCTATTTGGGGATGATGGTTTTGGGGGGAAATGCAGGGAACCCTGAAGAAGTGCTAAGTGGACCTGAACCGCCTGCCTTGGGATTGGTTTTGTATGGTTAGTTTTGGTTTAGGACAAGGCTGTTGCACATTGTGAGTTCTGGGTGGGTTTGGAGTGGCACGTTTGCATTAGATGCTGAACTTGTAAACCCGCTTGTCACACATTTGGCATATATTTTCCAAAAGAGTTGAGCATTTGCAGCATGTGACCATGTGCAGCCATGTTCCTTGCAACCAATGAAGTATATTATACATATATATCTGTATATGTATATATATATATATAAGTTTGCTTGTGTTCGGGTGGAGCGATTAGGAATCCGTCCAGTGCTAGGCGGCACAATTGATAGTTAGGACCAAGCCGAGCAAACGCACCATGCCCCAGCATTGCAACACCTGTTGAGCAGGTTCAACGTAGTCCGTTTGTCAAGAGAGCTAACTTGGATTGATGCTAGCTTGAGCTGCAATCACTCGTAGCTGATTGCCACCCGAACTGACGTTAGTTAGTTCTGTTCGCCTGGGGCAGATTCACTGCCCGGATGCTAAGACTTAGATGGCAGGGTGCCAAGGCCGTCCTGCCCCGTGAGGCCAGCTGCAGGGAGCAGGGTGACCGTCGTGGCGAGGCCATGCTGATGCTGTCTTTGGCAGAGTCTTGGCAGATGGGCAAGGGGACATCTGGCTAGTGGGCACCTCAGCCACACACTCAAACGCCGGGTAGATGAGGGCATTGAGAGCAAGTCACCTGGAAGCCTTGACTCGCGTCTCCCCAAGCGAAGTGCAAGCGAGGGAAGTTTGGACAGCCACAGGCAGTATCTCGACCAGCAAAATGACATGTCAGTAAAAAACAGGGGCACATTTGTTTCAAGCCGCCAGTTGCGTTCCTCATGGAAAAAGCGCGAGACGTGAGCCCAGGAGATCAACATGGACAAGCGTGGCCGTGGCAAGCGCATGGAGGCGCTGGAGGCAGCCACGGAGGCTTTGCAGATTTTCCAGGCGTAGAGAGGGGGCAGCGGAGCTTGTGGGCCTGGTTGGTTTGTTTTTGTTGGTTCTTTGGTTTGTTGGTTGGTTTTTGGGTTTGCTGGTTGGCTTTTTGCTTTATTTGTTTGCTTGCTTGCTTGTTTGTTTGTTTGTTTGTTTGTTTGTTTGTTTGTTTGCTATCCCAGTTGTTGACACCATACTGTGACTTGCCAGCGAACTCCGTCAGCTTCCGTAGCATTATTAGTATTATTGTTGTTCATGGCGACAATTTGCAATGGATCCTGGACCGTTGCCTTCTAAACACTTTTTACCTGTGTGCTTGCTGCGCCCTGCGTTAGAGAAACAGCACTTGTTTCGCGCAGCATGAGGCCAAGCGTTGCGCACAGGACTTGAAGGATGGCGAGAATGAGGCACTTACGCAACTGATCCTGACGAACCTCCACTTCAAGCTGCAGCAGCCTGACAAAGCCCAGCAGGCGAAGATGCAGTGCAGCTGAGCCCTGCGTGTTTGCGGGAGGGCGGCCCTGGGTGCTCAATGTGTATTCTCTATTCTTTATTCATCCTCAGCTCCAGCATGAAGCTGGATGCAATGATGTTATTTGACAAGGCGAGCTGGCTCGCGTGGGTGACGGAACCATTAGGTGTTTGACGAAACATGTGTGTAGGTGCCCACATGTTGCAGAATCTCAGCCCTCCCAGATTCTCAGCATATCCTGTTGTTGGCTGCTGCGGGGCAGGCAGCCGACGCGGCGCTGGAGCTATCCACCAGCCCCTTGCTGCGGGGCAAGGCGCTGCATGCGGCGGCCCTCGCGCTGGCAGCGCGGCGCCGCTTTGGTGCGGCGGCGGACAAGGCGGGGAGACTGAGCTTTGGCTTCCAGCCTCGCTTGGACATCGACTTGCCAGAGTGCCCTCTTTCTGATTTTGAAGGGCCATTTTTCTGTGCCTCAGGGCCATTTATGATGAATGCAGGCGGCGTCTTGTGAGTTCAAGCAGCCCGCGCGCCAGGCAGAGGAAGCCCGGCTTTGCTTTCATGAAGCTGGCAGGTTGGAAATGGAGGCTGGGGACGTCCATTGCAGCCATTGCAGCTACCAACTGACGGGGAGAGTGCGAGGAGCCTCCTCTTGAGCTTCAAAGCACGCAGCGACCAGCCCCGAAAGCTTTCATTGCCTTCTTTGGGAGATGCTCTTGATAAGAGCGCATCTTTGGAAACGCGCACAGCACATGCTGATTCAGCAGCGAGTTTGACTTGACGCCTCTGGCCAACACCTGTACTTGTCGAGCATGCAGGGACACAGCTTTTCAAAAGTTGTGCTGCAAGCTGTTCGGCATGATTCAAAGTGAAGTGGGTTTCATAAACGGTACGCATTTGAACTACGTATGTCGGCACGACTAGGCATCACACTTCTCAACACTTTGAGCCGTGTGACGTTCCACCAGCCTTGCACTGCGTGGGATGGCAATTTGTCACCCCTATGGGCAGCAAACATGGTTAGGTGTGCTTGGCACGTTGGCGTGCCATGCCTGCTTTGATTTGTTGTTGTCGCTTGCTGGTTTTGCATGATTTCACCAGGTTCAACAGACCCACCGAACACAGACCTGTTTGCCTTTCGGTTTGCTTCAGGCCTGGCTTCCGTGCTTCGCTTGGATCGCGTTGTGTTTTTCTTTTTCCCGGGTAATCGGAGGCGGCGGAGCTGGTCTCCGTGGCCTCCTGGCGCCTGGAGGCGCTGCAGCCGCTGCCGGCGCTGTCAGCGGCAGAGGCGGCGCTGCGGAGCTTCCGCGGTCTCAGCTACGGAAAAGGCGCGGAAGCGCCGGACTCAAACCTCAGGAAACCTCCGAAACTTTTGTGCGGAAACCTCTGAACAAAAACGCGTGGGTTTTGGGGAGCCCGCGTGGACAACAAGGACATCCGCAAAACTGGGAGCAAGGGAAAGCTGCAGGCTGGCCGCAGAAGGCTCTGAGCGTGCTTTGCGAAGCGCTGGCGGCTTTGGGACAGGCACCACGCGCGGTGAAGCTGACAAAGGCGCAGAGAGGGGAGGCGTTTCTCAAAATGGGCGAGCCCAAGAATGCGTTGTTTCCCTTTGGCTTCCCTCTAAAACTGCCCAGAGAGGGGCCCACCATCTCGAAGAAAGCAACTCTGTAATTTTGGAGGTGCTGAAAGAAGCAGGTCCGCGTGAACAAAGCTCTGATGGCCACAGTTTTTGGTGCCAATTCACTAGGGGTCCAGAGTCCAGACCTGACTAGTTCTGATTCTGACGACCTGGTTCGGAAATGCCGGCTCAGCTTGGGTGAACCACATGATGGTACATGAGTGTGCGAATCTGCTTTTGCATTTTGAGTTTCGAGTTGTTGCAAAGGGGTGGCTTCACTGCGTTCTGCGTTTTGTTTGAGTCCTTTTCTTGCGAAGATCTCTGGCCAGGAGCTGCGCCAAGAGTTTCTCGAGGCCCGTGTTGACGGGATAGCACGTGCCGCTTTTGCTATTGGACAGAAGTGCTGGATCATGATCCTTAGTTCAGTCCTTTGGCCAACCAATGATGGTGGCACCCAGATGGCCCTCCATTCAGCTCTTGCGCTAATGCTGACATATGCTATTTTCAGCAGTTTCCTCTTATGATCTCGGCGTGGTTGCGCCTTGTGCGCTACTCCAACAATTTGCTGCACAAACCAGGGTTCATCCCTTGGCTGACTGCCCGCAAAGCTGTGATTCGCGGCTTTCGATTTGCAGGCTGCAGCAACGGCAATTCGAACTGCAGTCAGGCAGAAACAACCTCGTGTCACGCAGCCCTCCAAACTCAAGGGGCGGAAGAAGCCGTGTCCAACACGAGGGTGTCGGCGCTTCTCAGGCGCAGGACCTCCGGGCTGTGGCGCAGCTGGATGAGCTGCAGGGCTTCCTTTGGGCACAGAGCCCCCGGCCTGAGCGCGCCCACGAGCCGCTGGAGGTGTGACGCAAACGGCCCGTGTGTTGGAGTGTCTTTCTTAGGGGACCCCGTGGTTTTCCATTTCCTTTCGGCCGTCCTTTGAAACCACAAAACAGGGGTACCCTCAAGAAGACACTCTCATTGGCTCCCTGTTGCTGTCGTGGTTTTGTAGCCAAGGTGGCAACCTTGAGCTAGCTTTGCCGAGTCAGTTGCAGTTGGGTGGGGGAGCATGGTGGGATCCTGGGTTTGAAATTCCAGAATTTCAGCTGCACACCAAGTGGCAAGGTACTGCGTTTCCTTGAGGCAAGTCTTCAGACTGCCTAGGACACGTGTTTAGACATGGTCTTGAAGTTGAGCCTGGCGAGATTCGAAGGGTCATTCTCGGTCTTCATTGCGATCCGCACAGTAGCAGCTTCTAGTGAAGCTTGTTGAGGCTATCGGGATTGTTGGTTGGCCCCTTTGCCCTGCCCGTAGAGCCGCGCCAGAAGCACGTCAGTTCCGACGGGTGTCTTGTGGATGCCTTGGCCATGCCTCTCCTTGGAAGTTCCCGAGGCCCTGTGAAAACTCAAGTAGGACAAGGTTTGACGAGATTGGTCCCAATCCCAAAGTGGCCTTTCTTTCGCGGTTTCTGCAGTTTCAGCTTGATTTGAGTTTGAGCACCAGTCAACACAAATTTGTGGCACGAAAAGCAGCGCAGGCAGCGAGGCAGACAGCCCAGACTCTGAAGGAAGAGGGCTGGCATGCGCGGATTTGCCAGGCCTGGTTGCAATGCAAGCCTTCTGTTCCTGATCTCTCATGTTTTGGGCCATGTCTTAGTAATTTGGCCACACTTGGACCTCTGCCCAGGGTCAGGCGGCGTCGTTCCTGGCCGGTGGCGATGCGACCGAGGCGCTGCAGGCTCTTGGACGCCTGGCCGAGGATGGCTGGGTCTCTTCCGCAATGGGCCGGTCTTGCAAATGTAGAGAGGGCAATATTCATGAAAGCCTTTAGCCCCCTTAGAGCTCTCCTCAAGGCCTCCCCCAGCCTCCAAGGTTTGCCTGGCCAGGGGCCGAGAGTTAGGCAACCCTTAGACAGCTTCTCCTTCAAAAGGCTTTCAACATCAACAGGGAGCCAGTTTTATGCGTGTATTCTCCCACCATGATTCTGGCTGTGACTTTACGAGTGGCCCTGGTTCGAACTATTCATGTGCTCAGTGCAGTCACCACCAGATCAAAGGCAAAAGGCTGCAGAACTGCCTTTCCAAGTTTTTGGTTTCTTGCTGTCTGGTGTTGGACGAAGAGGGCCTAGCCTTTGCAGAAGCGGACAAGACCAGAATGCTCCGCTGTAAGCATTTGAGCTAACACTGGGCTCGCCGAGGCGCAGGCCCAGAGAACAGACGAAGTCTTTGCGTGTTATGCAGCATCGAAGGTGTCGGCCCTTTTTTAGTGTGTCTCAACTATAGCAAATTCCCAAAACAACAACGTCTTGGTTTTGAGACCCTCATTTGACCCCATGCCCCGGCGGACGCTTTCTGAGGAAGAGCCCGAGAGGCGGCCAAGGCAGCCACAGACCGGCGGGAGGAGGCAAAGTCGCTGCGGCAGATCTTTCAGCTGCACTTCGACCTCCGGAACTTCGAGGCCCCCTCCGTTGTGGACGTTGTGGGCGTTGTGGTTAGCGCTGAAAACCCCTGGTTCCTGAGGGTAATGTGGCAACCACCCCGAACCTGCAAACCACAAATCCAAACCACCAATTCTGCTGTTTCAATATGCAAGGCGGCCAAGACTTTGGCAGGAGGCGATCCACGCAGCCGAGAAAGCACGGAAAGTTGCCAAATCGTCGGAGGACACCGCGGGCGAGGCCTGCGACGGGATACGCGGCGCAAAAGCCCATGAAAGGTGTGAGAGGTACAGGCGAATCACAAAAGAGTCCGAAGGGTCCAAAGACTCCAGCGGTCCCAAAGGGCCCGCAGGATCCACCGCGTCAGAGGGCCCTTGGCTTAGGCCCGGGACTGCCTTCGCATGGCCACGGCGCTGGCAAACCTGGGCCGCGTGGACGCGGCCTTGGCCAAGGCCGCAGAGGCCCGGGAGCTGGCGGATCCCCGGGGCGAGGCGCAGGCGCTGCGGACCCTGGCGGAGCTGCTGAGGATGCAGGGCGACGTGGAGAAGGCCATGGAGGCAGCAGAGGCGTGCCAATTGCCAAGTGTCTCGAAGCCTATGCCCACATGCTTGGCAGTGACAGGGAGCAAGAGCTCTCAAAGAATAATGTGACTGATGTGGCTGTGCCCTACCTGCCTTGCCTTTGGTTGGAGGGTTGTTTGAGCCCATAGCTCCACACAGCTTGTCGGCAGTCTGAGTGCCGAGGAGCGCTTGACTGTGACCAGAAACCTGGGAGACCTGTCCTGGGAGGCGGGGGACGCACAACCCGGGCAGCTGAGCTGATTGCACGAAGGGCAAGTGTGCATAGAGTAGTGCAACTCCGACAGGAGAGGTGTTCCAGCCCAGCTAAATGCCCTTGCCCAATGCACAATCACTGTGAGCAAGCCATACTTAATCGGAAAGAAAGGGAGAGGAAGGAAGGAAGGAAGAAAGCGAGAGAGAGAGAGAGAGAGCGAGAAAGATGAGAGAGAGAGAGGGAGACAGAGAGAGAGAGAGAGAGAGAGAGAGACAGGGAGAGAGAGAGAGAGAGAGCGAGAGAGCGACAGAGGGAGTGCGAGAGAGAGAGGGGGAGACAGAGACAGAGACAGAGAGGGAGAGGGAGAGGGAGAGGGAGAGGGAGAGGGAGAGGGAGAGGGAGAGGGAGAGGGAGAGGAAGGAAGGAAGGAAGGAAGGAAGGACGGAAATAGAGACACGCAGCAAGACACGAAAATAAGTATATACAGCAAGCCAGAAAGCAGAAAAGAACATAAAAGACAATCACATCAAGAACAAAGTAGGATAAACGAACATACAGAAGAGCATACATGACAAAGAACACAATTAAAGAAAGAAGAGAAGAGAAGAGAAGAGAAGAGCAAAGAAGAGCAGAGAAGAAAAGAGAAGATAGGAGAAGATAGGAGTAGATAAGAGAAGAGAAGGGAAAAGACGAGAAGAGAGGGACCAGGGCGGAATCATAAGAAAAAAACAATCGACAGGAAGGAACGACAAGAACGAACGAACGAACGAACGAACGAACGAACGAAAGAAAGAAAGAAAGAAAGAAAGAAAGAAAGAAAGAAAGAACAAAAGAAAGCAAGAAAGAAAGAAAGCGCGATAGATAAATAACGAAAGAACGAAAGAATGAAAGAACGAAAGAATGAAAGAACGAAATAACAATAGTTGAAAGAGCGAAAGAACAAAAGAACGAAAGAAAGAAAGAACAAAAGAACGAAAGAACGAAAGAACGAAATAACGAAAGAGCGAAAGAACGAAAGAACGAAAGAACGAAAGAACGAAAGAACGAAAGAACGAAAGAACGAAAGAACGAAAGAAATAAAGAAAGAAAGAAAGAAAGAAAGAAAGAAAGAAATAAACAAATAAAGAACTAAAGAAAACAACAACAACTGGAAACATAAACATGAACGAACAATAACATATTGGCAAATAAACCAAGCGGGCAAGAAAGAAACAGACCAAACACGAATAAAAGCAAGACAAACAAAGAAAGACCGGAGAGGAACACACAAATCACAACAAGGACGACAACAACCGTCCCTCTTTGAAGATTAGATGACAGAGTAGCTGAGAATTTGCTTCGGCAAGTGGCGCAGGCGCGCCCTCCCTCCCGAAAAAGACATTCTATGCCAGGTTTTTCAGGGATATGTAGTACAGCCGCAGCAGATATTCTTCATACTGCAATGCAGACAATGCAGCAGCACAGACATATCATGCATCTTTACATGCCTAAAAGTTTGCATGCTCATGACTGGAAAAATAAGACGACGACTACTACTACGACTGCTGCTGCTGCTGCGCCTACAACCTACTTCTGCTGTTGGTGCTGTACTAGTATTCGTACGACTACTAGGACTAGGACCCCGGCTGCTTCCGATATTGCTGCTTATGCGACTGCTGCTCCTGCAACTGCTACCCCTACTACGACTGCTGCGACGACTACTGCGGCTACTGCAACCACAACGATGACTACCGCTACGACTGCAATGACGATGACGACCACCACCGCCACCACCATCACTACCACCACCTGCTACCAGTACTACTTCTACTACTACTACGACTACTACTGCTACTGCTGCTACTACTACTGCCATTCCTTCTACTACTACTACTACTACTGCTTCTACTACTACTACTACTACTACTACTACTACTACTACTACTACTACTACTACTACTACTACTACTACTACTACTACTACTACTACTACTACTACTCTCCTGCTCTATCCCTACTATTGTTGCTACTACTGCTACTACTGCTGCTGCTGCTGCTGCTGCTGCTACGGCCCTGCGACTGGTACTATGAGGACGGCTAGTTTCCGTTATAGCGACCATTGTTGCTACTGCTGTCTACTCGTGCCGAGAGAAGGCCGAGTCTCTGCAGCAGTTGGCAGAGCTTCATCTTGCAGAGGGCGCTGTGGAGGAGGCAGCACTTCTGGCAGAGGAGCCGGAAGTGTCGTGCCGGCAGTCGTTGAAACTGTTCATTTTAATTTGAATTATGAGTTGTGACTCGAGGCTGCGTCTGGGCTAAGCATGGTGCTCTTTCCACATCATGGGCTTCCCCCTCCCTGCAGAGCTGGTGGGAATTGACGTGTTTAGAAGCGGCCACATAGGAAAGAGCGATGACGCTAGCCTTGCAGTGGTTGCGAACTGCATTGGGGGGAGCGGGTTGTGACGTCAGGAGGCCCGCAAGCTTTGCAAAGAGGCCAGGGATAGGCCGCAGCTCGTACGAGCGCTGCTTGTTTCGGTGGAGGTGGCACTTCAGCAAGCGCTTGAGACAAAGACCGCCCGCCGCCAGCTGGTTCGGTGGTCTGCCGAGGCGCTAGCGTTGGCAGGGAAGCTCGGGGACAAAGCGCTGCGGGCTTTGGCTTTACACTGGCATGGCCATGTGCTGGGGGCTGTCGGCCGGCCGCATGCCGGCCTCAGCTTCGTCCGGGAGGCTGCGGCGCTGTGTGGCGAGGATTTGTCCGGTGCTGCGCGCTGCTGGGTGCTGCTTGCCCAGCTGCACGGGGCGGCCTCCGCGCGACAGGAGGCCATTGAGGCGGCGCAGGAGGCCCAGCGCCTGGCGCGAGCCTGCGGCGACCTGGCGGCCGAGCAGGCGGCGGCCTCCTTCGAGGAGTCCATGATGAAGAAGCCGGAGCCGGAGAGGCCAAGGCAGACGGAGAGGCCAGAGGCCCCCAGCCCCGAACCATCTGCGGCGCCGGAGGAGACGACAGTTGTGGCCCAGCCAGGTGCAAAGTCTCTTGATGCTGCGCAAGTCGGGCGTCAGCTCCTTGAATTAGTCAAAGAGTTAACGTCGGCCACGGAGGAAGTCGAGTTGGATATGGCCTTCGTGGATGCTGGGATGGACAGCTTGTCATCGGTGTCATTGGTGACCGCGTTAAACCGGGACTTTGACATGGGTTTCACCCCATCCATTATGTTTGATTATCCCACGATTCGGATGCTCCAGGACTACTTAGTCGAGGAAAGCCAAAGCTAAGGAAAAACGTCGTGCTGAGGTTTATGCTTAGTATGATGTTTCCATGGATGCTACTGGGCAATGCCAAGGCATGGATAGGCACCCTTCCATATTTCAAGCCCAAAGCGCAGTTGGTGCATATGTCGCTCAGAGCGGCGAGAATTCCCAGTCAGATGAGCTGGGAGCCTGAGATCATGATGCGGCCCCGCCTGAAACTTTCGCAGCCAGGTCGTGCTTAGATCGTGTTGGCGAAGGGGCCCAAACAAGGAGCCCACTTCTGCTTTGGCTGTGACTAGCGCCTTATTCTTGGGAAGCAATCGAGTTCGATTGGTCGGTCGGTTGTGTTAGTCTGAGTGCCATGCCACCGCCGCTCCCGGTGCCATGGAGCCCGTGGAGCGCGTGGAGCGCGTGGAGCGCGTGGAGCGCGTCAGCGCCCAGCAGCTGAGCCCGCAGCGCTTCATCGATGACTTTGCGGTACCAGGGCGGCCGGTCATTCTGCAGGCGGGCGCCCGGGAGTTGTACGACTGGGCTTTAAGCATTTTTCAAGCGGAAGCCCGCCTCGTATTGTTTTGGCTTTGTGTAAAGTGGACCGGGGTATACACGCCAAATCGCACTCTTGGGCAGGCGTTTGCTCGTGGGCAGCGAGTGTCGTCCCAGAATATGGTGTCAGTGGCACAACTCACGCGTGAAATCGTACTTGGGCTTTGTAGGTAAAAATAGACTCCAAAAATAGTCAGCTGAAGCCTTGACACGCCCACAGGCCAGGGGTGCCCAAACCTGTGTAGGCTGCAGTTGGTCAATGCATCGCTGGTTTTGTCTCTTTGCGCGCTGCAGTTGAAGTCTGTTTGCCTAGTAGTGCCAGCCCTAGTCTCTGACTTTTCTGATGCTCCCTAGAAACTGCCGAATCATGGGTTCTGGGATTCTCTTCTGGCATCTGACTTTGACAATGCCCAAAGTCCCGATACCATTGTCTTCTGCTCGTTTCGCTTCGGTTAGGACATCGTCCCAAGCTGGGCGGCCTTCAGCCGTTGGCGCCGGGAAGATGGAGAGCCGGCGCTGACGACCATGGTGGAGGACTTTGCGGACGTCAAGGGCCCGGTGGTGGATTGCGAGGACGACTTCAAGGACCCGCAGTTAGAACATGTGGCATGGGCGCGCAGCAACCATTTGTGATTTATCCAAAGGAAGCCGGCAAGGGATAGTTTTCAGATTTTGAATTGACAATTCCAAGATGTGCCTCGAAAACGTCGGTGTGGCCGTCTGTGCGGCAACACAAGCTGACCCAGCATTGCAAGCAAGCCAGCCATAGGCGACAGCAGGGCAACAGCAGCCAGAAATTCTGGCTGCAACGCGAAGTAACTTTCTACACGATTGTTGCATGATTTGCCAATCTAGCTTCAGGATTTACTTTATCACGGAAAGCCCTCAGCAAGCGTAAACATGAATGCTGCAGTGCTATTCATCATTGCCAGCTGAAGTGTGCTTTGGTAGAAAGAGAACGCGTCCAGCTTATGCCTTCATGTTTGTGTTTGTTTTTAGCGGAGGGCACTATGCAAGCCAACAGGTGCAAGAGTGGGATGTCGGAGAGTTCTTCCATTGGGCAGCGGGGACCGTGCCAGAGGAAGGCAGGCCGGCTGAGTCTTGCCGTCCCGCGTCACGTAGTGAGGAAGTTTGTCAGGTTGCGGCACCCGGCTCTACCTCAAGGATTGGCACCTCGTGCATGCCTGCCAGGCCTTGGGCAAAGAGGCGCATGCCGCATGCCAGTCGGTCGCATTCCGAAGGAGAGATGGTTTGAGCCTGCAGATGCAAGTTCTTCGTGTTTCCTCACCGCTGAGCAAAGTGACTCATGACAGACTCATGACAGGCTGCGGAAGACATATCGTGCGGACCTTTGTGGCTCAACTGATTCGAGATAGAAGTGAGCAGCCCGAAACCACCCCTCACTCAGCCCTGGTTTTGCTCCTTCCGACAGTGCGAACCCTTGCGGGCACACGCACACACACACACACAAACTCTCAAGCACTGCTATTTACACCACGCTGCAGTGCTGCTTGCTGCTTGTTTCACCTCTCACCACCCTTCGGCCATTCGGCCGCAACCGCTTAAAGCGGTCGCGACCAGGCTGGAAAGCGGCCGGCATGTGCTATGGCAGCGCAAAGCCGGTGTTCATGTCTGACGCGCCAAGCTTCCTGCAGCGGCAGCGTGCGCGGGCAGCCAAGCATCTAGTGAGTGAGCACACAGGCACCATCACCTGCCGATGCCGCAAGTGCGTGGAGGCGGCGCAGGCCCAGGCAGGCCCAGTGATCGGCCGAGAGTGGCCGCTGCCGCCCTTAGAGGACAAAGATGGCTTCCTCACCACGCTGAGCATGTCGGTCAAGCCTTCACGGGCATCGAGACGCGACAGGGAGGCCGAGGCCGCTTCAGATGGTCTGGTATCCAGGGACTTCCCCTGGCTGCTGCGCATTTGCTCGGAGATCTGCCCCTCGGATGGACCTGGCAGCGGCGGCACTGCGGGGACGGTGTCCTACGATGGCACGTGGACCCCAGACCCCCGGTCCCTCCAGGGCAAACTCGGGATCATAGTTCCTGAGACGGTGATCCTGGAGAAGGGCAAGCCCAAGAGGCGGTACTTCTTGGACCATGCCGGCCGCATCGGCGTGGTGCGGATGAAGACCAGCGCGGAGCTTCTGCGGGTTCTCCGGGATTTCGTGCGCCGCGCCATAGCCCGGTGCCGCGAACAGCGCGGCGCCGACCGCGGGGCTCGCCTGAGCCCGTGCCGCTCGGAGCCGACACTCGGCGAGGCTGCGCCCGCGCCCTCGGCGATGCGGCAGGCGGAGGTTGCAGTGTTGCAGTACAACGACGGGCTCTCCCGACAGATGATGCTGCCAGAGGCGGTGAGCCAAATCAAGGGAGCCAGCAAGCTTCCGCGGGAGTTCTGGCAACGGATGCGCATGCTGCAGGTGGGTTTGGTATCCCAGAAACTTATCGGCTCCAGAAGCAAACGGGACAAACTGGTTAGCAAGTAGAGCTGAATGGTGCAAAAGTGGGACGGAAGCAAGGCAAGGAAAGGCAGCAAAAGTAGAGCGACAGCCAACCTGAATTTAACCAAACCCACACATTGGGCATTGGACGCCGCTGCACACCCACCTGAATCCCACTCTAACTCAAGACGAAACCAGGCGGCAATATTCCCAAGGGAAGGGTTTGATGGTGGGTTTGATGCTACCCTTCTATCACTTTCGTTCTGACATCGAAATGATGTTAAGTATGTTTTCAATAAAGCACACATGTAGCAGAAACGGACAGTGCTTGACTTGCATTCTCTTGATTGCTCCCAGGTGCCGATCCAGAGCTGCCCAGAGATGAGGTACATCGCCTACAGCTTCGACGTGAGCAGCAGCATGGAGCCACAGGAGCCGATGCCGCTGGGCGGCGGCGCTCGCCTGCAGCTGCGCAAAGCGGCGCCCTCGCCCCTGGACGTCTTGGGTTGGATCTTTATTTTGGTTTTTGAGTGGGTGGGTCTTGAGCCTTTGACATCCTTTGACTTTTGGGTTGAGCTTGCTTTCGTTTTTCAATCCGAAAGCCAACCCAACAGTTCGACTTTCTGTACGGGTTTTGGGCCCAGGCCCTGGGAGCGGCAGAAGGCGGCCACGGAGGCGGCGCGCCTGGCTTCGGTGCCCAAGCTGCTGAACGAGTACCTCAGGTCCAAGGCGCGCGTGAAGATGGAGATTGTGAAGGGCCTCTTCGAGTATCTCGCTTGCCCAAAGTGAATCGATCTTTTGAGCTTTTGGTTTCCCTCTTTTTGGTTCATGTTTAGTCATGGCCCAAAGGTTGAACGGGCAACTGAGGTATGTGCTAGACGAGGCGGAGGGCACGCTCTGGCTGGCCAACGCCTCCAACCTCCGCTGCCGCTTTCTGCACGTCCGGATGGAGGAGGAGGAAAAGGCCGCAGCCTCGGAAGAAGCGCGATTTTTCGAGGAGGAGGACTTCGAAGAAGAGATGAGGCAGACGGAGTCGATCATTGAGAGTTTGAAGAAACGCTTTGGTGGGGATCCGGGGGTAGCGCATGGGGGGAACGGCGTGGACGGGATCTCTGTGTCAGCCTCAGACCAGCTGGCGGGGGTGCGCGTGCCCAGCAACTTGGTGAACTTCTACCAAGAGGAGGCGAAGATGCTCCGCTATTACGAGGACGAGGTTCGCGTCATGGCGCTGCGGAAAGAGCGGGCACCGCAACACGAATCCAAGGCTGTGGGCTTGGGCTGCTGGTTCCGGCGCTGGGTGAAAGCAGTGAAGAAGCCGCGACGGGCCTTGGAAAGTGAGCTGCATTGATTTCCAGAGCAAACCAAATTCGATTGCTCGATCTGGCTGCCGAGAAAAGGTGAAATATGCGTGAGCAATGGAGCGCAGACTGCACCGGCTTGCCTATATACGTTGGAGCTTGGTCGGCGCGCCAGGTTCCCTACGCAGCTCCTGGATACTTGGCCGCACCACTGCACGACTGGCTGAACCTCTACCTGGACAAGGTGGCATCTGGAAAGGCGCGAAGTGTTTCATCCCCTCTCCCCAGCCTTTGGGACCCTTAATCGCTTTGCCGTGAGCCTGCTTCCACTTGCCTTGTTGCATCTTTTCTCTTGTCTTGTGAGAGCTGCAACCCCCGCGTCTCCAGGATGACTACCGCTTTTGCTACGTTGGCGTACGGCCACCTGGCTGAAGGCAGTGGGGCGGTGGCTTTTGGGCTCCTTGTCACCATGGTTCCCGCGGTGTTCGAATCGGTGTTCGCTAAACGGTTCACGTTTCTGCTATGGTCATGCGGCTTAGTGCATGAGGCTTGTGGCTCGTAGCTGAGGGGCACGTGGACGCCTCTGCACCACGATGTGCTTTTCTCCCACTCTTGGTCTGCCAACATTTGCGGTCAGAAGCGCTGGTTCTTCTACCCCCCTGACGTGAGCGAGCTGCTGGCGGACGGGCGGGGCAACGCGGTGAGCGCCCAGCCGTCGCGGCGGCAGCAAGGCTGGGAGCAGCGGTTTCCACAGCTGGAGGTGGCCTGGGAGCGAAGGCGGATGACGGGGGAGATGGGTGGATTGCCTGACAGAAACTGCCAGACGGTCCTCTTTACCCACCGCGCATTCTCTGGTTCAAGAAGGGGTCGAGGAAAGTCGGACAAGGGCTTGGAAACAGTGGACGCTGTTCCCCCTTAAGCTGGTCGAGCTATCGTTCCAAATCATTACAAGTTGTGAGTGTAAAGGTAGCGATTCATGTGGACGCTGTTGGCTGGCGGCTGTTTGCAGCTTACAGCTTGCAGAGACGATTTTGTCGGCCCGTGGTCCACGATGTCCGTTCTGAAGCTCCAAGTGGCACATTGCTGTGAATGTCGCAGCGGGGACATGCCTTGTTTTGTTAACCGCGGGCTTGACCACTCAAACTTGGAACCAACGCACACTTCTGATAGCATCCCCTGTTGCACGGCGGCTTTCCAAAACAAACTGTGTACTGCAAACCTTCATTGGGAGCCGGCGCCGTCACAGAAGCTGTGGATTCACGCAGGCTGGAGGTGATGCAGGAGCCGGGCGAGGTGATGTTTGTTCCCAGTGGCTGGTACCACGAGGTGGAGAATGTCAGCTTGGCGATTTCCATCAACCACAACTGGCTGAACGCTGCTTGGCGACACCAGGTGTGCTGGTGGAGCCAACTCTTTGTTGATGCAGAACGTTGGGCGGTTCAAGAGACCTTTCTGGAATTGCCATGGCAACGATCTTGAGAGTTTGGGATGCCAGCTGCTGTGGGCTTTGCTTTTTTTCCTTGGGCAAGACGGAAAGCATCAGAGCACGCTGAGGCCACCAATGCCATGGCGGTTTGGCAGTTCCTTCAGCGGGAGCTGGAGGCAGTGATGGCAAAGATGCCCAGCTGCAGCTCGGGCTTGGCCTCCACCCCGGTGTGCCCAACAGCCGAGGATCGGGGATGAAAGGGAGACCTTCGATTCCCAGGAGGAGTTTCTGAACCATTGTTACGTGGTGATGCGTCTCAGCTGCAGGTTGAGATGATGTGCTGACGCAAGTCTTTTGGGTGAAATGCATTCGAGAAAGAGCCTTTGTGTTGGCTGTAGCGTGGTAGCTGATGTTCCAATATGCTTTCTTGCTCGCAAAGAAGCCGCTCCGGGAGAGAGGGAGAGACCGAAGCAAGTGCAGCTCAGGAAGGCTGACTGTGGCCTTGACATTCCTTGCTGCTTGACTTACGTGAGGAATGAGAGAGAGAGAGAGAGAGAGAGAGAGAGAGAGAGAGAGAGCGAGAGAGAGAGAGAGAGTGAGAGAGTAATAGGAGAACAGCGTCCTGAGGCTGGCTGGTACTTTGTGTATTTCCAAGTTCGGCTTGTTCTTGGGGTCTGATGCAGGGAGGCTGGGCAAACAGAGCCGCACTCTGAGCCCCAGGCTGGCAGAAGCTGCTCGCCACGGCTGCTGACGAAGTGGCTCGCTGCCTCGCGGAGGAGGCGGATACCTGGGAGGTCGACTGGGCGGCCCGGCGGCAATCTTTGGCCCAGATGCTACTGGAAAGCAAAGCAGGCACAATAGATATTCTGCCTGTTCAGTTTGGCAAAGTCAATGTTTGAACATGTTCTATTCCAGCCATCGGATTTTTGGATGAAACCCTGGCAATATTTGCTCCCAAGCCACATGCAAAAAAGCGGGGGGCGTGTTTGGATACGGGGCCTCACCCATCCAATCAGCATTGTCGGACAATCGTTTGGCTGGTTGTCTGCGTTTGGCCAGGTGGCTAAGATGCTTTGCTTCCTGGCATGCAGTGGCTTCGGGGCAAGGAAGCCGAGTCCCACCCAGTGGAAACAAATCTCTCTTTTGCGAGGGCACCCTTGTTGGATGGGTTTTTGTAATGGGGAACCACGGGAAAAGCCACGTCTCGAAAGACTACCGTTAGTTTATTCGTGTTGGTTCTCAATAGGGAATCAAGAGGGGGCTTGGACATGAAATTGGGATGCCTTTGAACAAAAATCACAGGAGAACTGAGTCGAAACTAGATTCTCACAACGCACATAAAACGCACACATGCATACTAAGCAATCGTTTTAAGCGACACGGAGCGAACCGGATTCGCGCGAGAAAACCGAGACAACCAAGAACACCAAGAAAACCGACAAAACCGGAAAACCAAAACCGAGAAAACCGACAAAATCGAGAAAACTAAGAAAACCGAGAAAAACAGAAAACTCCGTTGCTGGCTCTCGTGGCTTTCGCCTTTACCAATGCGTGCGTTTCGTTTTTTTTTGGGGTTGTTTTCGTGGTTGTCACGATTTTCGGGTTTTCGCAGTTTTCGCAGTTTTGCGGTCTTTGCGTTTTCGCGCAGTTTTGCGGTTTACCAGGTTTTCGCGGTTTTCGTGTTTTCGTGGTTTTCGCGTTTTCGCGGTTTTCGCAGTTCTCGCGTTTTCGCAGTTTTCGCGTTTTTGCTGTTTTCGCGAAGACGGTTTTCGCGATGTTCGCAAGTGTTCGCTGCAAGTTTCCGTTGTTAGTATGCTTAATGGCCTTGTGTTTTAAGCCCCAGCGGTCATAGAAATAAGATATAAGTAGGTAGATCGATAGATAGATAGATACATTATTGGATTAGATTAGATATATAGATAGATAGATAAACCGATAGATACATAGCACGGTAAGATAGGACAACATGGGATAAGATAGGATAAGACAGGACAAGATAGGATGCGACAATATTTTGTTATTGTTGAAACGCATGTGGAAACATGAACTGTGTGTGGAATGCTTGACCACAATGGCATGTGCCATTTTGGCTCAAGCATTGTTCTGGGCTCCTGGAACCCAAGCTGATTGAAAAACTTTGATCTTTTGCATTTTCGAACTTAACCCCGACCAAGCAATGGCTTCCTCGGCAACCTCGGCAACTTCCTTTGAGTTGATTGAGGACCAGACACTCACCGTGGAGGAGGTTGAAATGGCCAGCCAGGAGGCCCAGGACATTCGCACACGGGAGGCGGCAGTGGCGGCCGGCTTGGTTTTGGACGAGCCCGAGGCCCCCCCGTCAGCTTCGGCGACCGATGTGATGAAGGACCTCTCCAGTGCACTGGAGCGTCTCCGAGTGGCATTTGCCACACCGACTCCCGGCTTGGGTGCCCCTGGCCCCGCCGAGGAGGGCGACAAGGACATGGGGGATGCGGACGGCACGGAGCGGGCCACACCACCGGAGGAGGCGCAGACGCCACCCACGAAGAGACTGAAGGGCTTCGTGGCGGCTTCTCAGAAGGCTACGTCTCAGGCCAACAAACCTGTCACCTTGGTGCCGGTGGACGGAAAACCCGGGTACTTCAAGCTGGTGGACCTCCCAGACCTGTTTCCAGTCCTTCCAGCGTCGGCGGCCACCTTGCTGAGAGACATCACGGTGGAGGAGGCGGTCTCCCTGTTTTACAAGTTTGTTGGGAAGAACCTCACGGAGGACCTGGTGATCCGCATCTTGGAGGCGTACGTCCCGATGAAGATCCAGCTCCGCCAGGAGGAGGTCTGGGCTTCGCAGTTCCAGAGGAACAAGGCGTGTATCGGCACCCAGCGCATGTACAGGCTCGACGCAGGTCATTCCGACTACAAGTTCATGTGCAAGGCATGCGGAACGGGGTGGCCAGAGGCAGCCAAGCAGTGCTGGGTCTGCCCCGGCAAGGAGTTCGCCCCCTTCCAGGCACCCTCGGCCACCTGGATCCAGCAGCGGGAATGGGGAAGCCTGGGTGCCGTTGGCCCCGGTGGTACCCTGGCACAGGCCGACCGCAACTTGGTGGACGGCACGGTCCTGGGGAGAGCCCCTCCAAAAACGGACTCGGCGGATGAGATCACCATGGCAGATGCGGTCCCGCTTAACAGGCGGGTGGACATCCGGCAGGAGATCCTGTCCATGGAGGCGGACGACGAGGCGTTGAAGGTCCGGGAAAGCCAGGAGATCAAGGTCAAAGTGCAGCCTCGACCCCATGGCCAGACCACTGGGCTTTCAAGAATCCCAAAGGGGTGGCGTACTGCAGGGATCATCACCTTCACAACAAATGCCCTGGATCATGCGGCCGATCCCACAACTGCCCGGTCAGGTGGGCCCCGTGGCTGCCTGGTCTCCGAAGGGATCACCAGTGCGAGAGCGCACACAGCGGGGGAGAGCCAATCCCACCAGAGCCACAGCGGAAGGCAGACAGAGTTGGGGAGGCCAGGACGGCCGCAGGTGGGAGGGGACTTCTCCAGGGTGCCACCGGCCCCGGAAGCCCCTCCACCGAAGAAAGGGAGTGGATCCAGCCAGGGCACTCCAGAAGGGCGGAAGCACCCTTTTCCCCCGCACCCACCGAGGCAGTGGGAAGAACCCCCAGAGAGACCCAGAGGTGGGGATCCGCCCGGCAAGGGGCGTTCCAAGGGCGGGCAGAACCGTCAGGGCAAGCAGCAAGCCCAGGGCCAGACGACCAGTGGGTCACACGGACCCAGGGGGGAAAAGCTCAACTCCAGTGACCTCAGCCGGTACCCAGAGCAGATGATGCAGGGTCTCGCAGCGGCCATCCTCTGCAGAGCGGGACCCGTCCTGGAGGCGCTGAGGCCGGGGGGCACGGTGCCCCAAGTGAACCCAACGACCCCCCCGAGGCGGCAGAGGGAACCATCTCCCCGCACGCCGGGGGACAACAAGCGCCAGTCCCTGAGGCTGAAGGCCGGCCAACAAGCGTTGGCGGGACTAACCTTGGGCTCACGTCCGGTCTCGGCCTCAGACAATCCTGAGGTCCGGACACCAACACAGCCGGCGGGCAGGGAGGTCGAACTACGGGGTGAAACTCTTCCCCTTCAGCCATGGGCACGCCATTGCATGGAGATCTCGGATCGGCCCACCACCCTGCCGATCACGCACGACCCAAATCTCTCCGACAAGGTTATGTACCTCCAGATGGCCTTCAAACAGCGCCCCCTCAGGGACGGGGGTGGGAAGCCCTCACTTGGACGGCTGGCCCCGTGGACTCGGCCATTGTCCAAAGCAGCAGCGATGGGGGCCAAGATCTGTGTCCTCACGTCGCCATCGGGCCACACCCTTCCCGGAGGACCTGCTGGAAGATATCAGGGAGATCCTGGCGCCAGGGGCAGGCCGACCAGCGGAAGGCCAACCCTTCTTCCTGGACATCTTGCACAGCCTGGCGCTGAACATTCAGGACCCCGACCCCTAGCCTCGCCGGGCATCTGGCCACTCAAGAAGGAGCTAAAAGGGGAGGAGCCGGAGCAGGAACTCCCTCATCCCACGGGCCGGGGTAACTACCCCTCAGCGGATCACTTCAGTGAGCTCATCCGTAGCACATTCCTGGAGGAGGTCCCCATGGGCATGGTAGATGGCCCTCTCACCAAGGTAGAGGCAGCAGCGCGCTGTGGCTGCAATATGGAGGATCTTTGCCCAGGCCCCCTAGCGGGCATCGACGAAGGGGACAAGATCCGCACCATCTACGATGGCTCGGTGGGCGGGGCCAATGACACCATCAGGAACCAGACGGTGGAAAGGCTCCGACGGTGCTGGATGGGGTACAAGCTCTTCATTGGCTACATGCGGCAGCTGAGGAGGGACCTCCCTCTCAGGGTGCCCCCGGCCCCGAGAAGGAGGTCGCCAAACCTCCACCCGGCAATGGCCGGAGCCGGGCACCAGGTGGGTGCTGCTCAAGGCGGACGTCACCAAGGCCCACCGGAGAGTGAAGGTCCTCAGGAAGGACTGGCGGTTCCTCACTGGGGGAAGAATGGTGGGTGAACAAGGTAGGCACATACGGCATGGCCAGTGCCCAATCCTACTGGGGACGCCTGGCAGCCCTTCTACTCAGGGTCCTCTACGCACTTTTCCCTCAAGTGGATTGGAACTTCGTCTTTGTGGATGACTTCCTGTGGCTGCTTCGCAGCGAGGGGGCAGTAAACTTGGCGGTGGCGCTGTTGGCAACACTCCTGGCCTTGGGCACCCCGCTTAGCTGGAAGAAGACACATTTGGCGGAGGTCAACACGTGGCTGGGCTTCGTGGTCCACCCGAACATCCCGCAGGTTCTCATGGCCGCCAACAAACACATCCTGGTGATGGAGGTCTTGCAGATCATGGTGGAAGGGCAGGCGATGCACTCAAAGGACATCGAGAAGGCCCTGGGCCGCATCCAATGGGCAACTGCTGCATGTCCGCTGGCGAAGTCGATGCTTCAGCCACTGTGGGCCTGGAAAATGGCCACCACCACGGTGGGGAAACCCCCTAAGGTGGTCAGGATGCTGGCGTTCATGCTGCGGTTCCTCTTCAACACGCCCTTCGTCCAGTACTCCCCTTACTTGCCGAAGTCCTCTTGGTGGGGTTGCAGCGACGCTAGCGCCTCGGATGAAGGACTGGCATTTGTGGGAGGCTGGTGCGCCAACAAAATGGAGCCGGAAAAGAAGGAGGTGTACTGGTTCCACGAGCAGATCCACGTGGAGGAGTACCCGTGGGCATTCAAGAATGGGGATCCCAAGCGGAGGATTGCGGCTCTGGAAATGCTGGGCACGCTCTTCCTCTGTAACATGATCCTCACGCACATGGCGATGCTCAACCTTGGACCCAAGAAGCCCTACACCGCGGCTATCCTGATGGAGCTGGTCTTCCTGCTCCACACCCATGGCTGCTCGCTGGCGGCCAACCACGTGCCCCGGGAATTCAACCAGTGGGCCGATGAGCTGACGCACCCAGATTTCTCTGGGTTCGACCCTTTGCACAGAGTCCCTAAACAGGAACTCTGCGAGGAGTTCATTTTTCTCCCGCGTCTCCTGAATGGAGATGCATTTGATCTTAGCGTGGGCCCACCCATGCTCCCGTGACCGGAGCCGGTGGGTGACTCACTTCCCCTGGTGGCAGACCCCCCTGTGGCCTGGGTGCCCCGGGCCCCGGCCCAGGGGCGGGCGCTATCAGTCTGCACACCCGTTCTTCAGTTTTTGAGAGTTTGTGGTGGGTGGCCCATGGGGCCCACCCAGCCGTAGACATCTGACAGGGGAAGATGAGTCCCTGGCACCAACACATTGCTTGGATAAAAGAGTTATCGCTTGCTTGTGTGGTGCCGTTTGGTTAGCTTACATACACAAGATAGAATAAGATAGGTTCAATTAAGATAAGACAGGACAATGTATGATAAGATTAAGATAAGGTAGGCAAGATAGATAAGGAAGATAGTATAGCTATGATAGGTACGATAGTCAAGGTAGGCAAGGCATATAAGATAGATCAGGTAGATAAGATGGAACACGATAGTGAGATAGATACGATGCGACAGCTAGGACAAACAGGAAAGATAGGATAGACATGATAGGTAAGCGTTTAGGTATATAGATAGATAGATAGATAGATGGATAGATATGTAGATAGATACAGACGATAAGATAGATCTATCTGGTAGGATACGCTAGGATAAGTCGGGAGAATATAGGGTAAGGTAGGATAAGACAGGATAAGACAGCATAAGGCAGGATATGAGAGGATAAAAAAGCTAATACATGACTATACACATATATATATATATATATGTATATATTGGTGTGGATAAATAGATAGAGAGATCGATGTATACATAGGATAAGATACGCTACAACAGGAGAATATAGGATAAGGCACGGTAAGATAGGCCAACATGGGGTAAGGTAGGATAAGTTAGAACAATTCGTCATAAGATAACATATTTTCGGATAATGTACGCTAAGGAAGCTAGACAGGATACTATGGAGGTAGGTAAGGTAGACAAGGTAGACAAGGCAAATTGGATAGACATGATAGATAAGGTAGATAAGGTAGATAAGACATACGATACATCAGATAGATAAGCTAGAAACGATTCATAAGCTACACACGATGAGATAAATAGGAAAGCTGGAGAAGGTAGGATAGATAGAATAGATAGAATAGATAGATAGATAGATAGATAGATTGATAGATAGATAGATAGATTGGTAGATAGATTGAAAGATAGGATCAGATAGGGCGATATGAGATAAGATAGGATAAGATAGGGTAAGGCAGGATAAGATAGGATACGATGGGATACGATAGGAACAACATGATACAATAAGTTAAGAAAGGTTAATACAGGATAATATATCATAAGAAAAGGCAAGGTAGGTAATGTGAATAGGAGATACGACCAAAGTGATACATAAGATAGATCAGATAGATAAAATAGAATAAGATACATACGATAGGTGCGATGGGATAGATGGGACGATCGGAGAGGTAGGATAGATACGACAGATAGGATAGGTAGGTGGGTAGGTGGGTAGGTTGGTAGATAGATCGATAGAGATAGGATAAGGCAGGAACATATAGCAACATACAAGATAAGGTGGGATAAGGCTAAGAGAGGATAAGACGGGATAAGATAGGATAAGATAGGATAGTACGGCTAATACAGGATAAGATAGATACGATAGGATAAGGTAGGATACAATAGGAAAATAGGATTAGATGGGACAAGACAGGATGAGGGTAGGATAAGACAGGATAAGATAGAGAGATAGGTAGACATATAGACAAATATATCGATCGATACATAGGATAAGACAGGCTAAGACAGGGTAAGACACGGTAAGATCGGCCAACATGGGATAGATAGGATAAGATAGGATACTACTGGACGAGGTAGGGTACGATAGGATAAGATAGGCTAAGATCGCATAAAACAAAAAAATGATAGGACAAGATAAGGTAGGTAAGGTAGATAAGGTAAATAGTACAGCTATGATAGATGTGATAGACAAGGTAGATCAGACGCATGATATTTATCAGATAGATAAGATGGCAATCTAGATAAGATAGATACAAGGAGTAAAATAGGACAGGTATGAACGATTTTATAGATATGCTATCTGGATAGGATAACTAGAATAGATAGGATAGATACCATCAATAGATAGATAAATAGACAAACTGATAGATAGATCGATAGATAGATCGATAGACACATAGATAGGTAGGTAGGAAGATAGGTATATACATAGATGGATACAAATAGATGGATAGATAGAGATAGAGATAGAGATAGAGATAGATATAGATAGATAGATAGATAGATAGATCAATAGACAAAAAATAGATAGTTAGGTAGAGATAGATACATAGATAGATAAATGGATAGACAGAATATGGGATGAGTTTGCCGCCTTTTCAAAGGGTTATGTCCCGCGAAAGTTGGCATTGAGGAATCATGCGAAAGTTGGCATTTGCACCGTTTTCACCGCTTTTGTGGGTTTTCGCGTGTTCACAGTTTTCGCGGTTTTCGCTTTTTTTGCCGTTTTCGCGCTTTCGGTTGCAAAGTCCGCTTAGCGCACGTCACGAAAAAATCGCACAGCATACATACATTCATGCAGAACAAACGATGACACAACCTAGCATAACATAACACCACAACACAAAACATTGCTACTGCACACCTGCATACATGCATGCATGTATACATGCAAACATACATGCATGCATGCATGCATGCATGCACGCAAACATACATACCTACCTACCTACACACATACCTACCTACCTACCTACCTACCTACATACCTACCTACCTACTTACATACAGACATACAGACATACAGACATACAGACATACAGACATACAGACATACAGACACAAAGACATACAGACATACGTGCATGCGTGAATGCAGCAAGCATGCATGCATGCATGCATGCATGACACTATGTATATCTATGTATATATACATATATGTGTATATACATATGTACCCTGCTGGCATTGTTTCAACCCAAAGGAAAACCAACCCGTACCTTGTGGGTCCGTTTTGAGAAACCAAGTCGACCCCCTGTCCCATGCGCGAGCCCAGGCGATGCCGCGGAGCATGCCCTGCAGCATGAGACGCTTTCAGCGCCGGAGCTGCGGGAGGCGCTGCGTGGCGTGGCCAAGGCCAAGGAGCAGAGGGTCCCCGCCTCAGCCGTCAGCCGGGTGGAGGCGCTCGTTCGTGAAGGGGCCCTGCCAGCACCACAGAGGATCTATGACGCAAATCGTTGTGCGAACACGGGCGGCATTCCTTTTCTTCACGTGTGCGAGTTACGAAAACCTATGATGCGGACCCAGGATGAGCTCGCTTTCGCCCCGTCACTGAAAGGTAACACCTGTAGTTTCGCATGAACATTTTGATTGCCCTTGACAATGTGGGGTGAGGGTCCAGGCCCTGAGAGACAGCATGCTGTGTTGCAAATTCTCAGTTTTCTGGAAGGGGAGGGCAAGTGCATGCGTTTTTGGGAGGCAACCGCCCACGCAAAACATTTTTTGTTGAGGAGGCGACTGCTTACCCCGAAAGCTGGCCTCGAAGAGGCTTTGCTTCACATTTTGTACCTGGGGGTGGGAGAAGACTGTGGGTAGAAAAAGGCGGCCTGACGGTCTCATTTTCCACCTTTTTCGGGTGCGGCAGGGGGTTCGATTCCGCCGGTCCGGGCTGGACTGTTTTTCATGAGAAACCTGGCTTGCCTGGGTTGTAAAATTCCCACAATTTGCCATCACGCATGCTTTTGCGTTTGCTTAGATGGCCATTTCGACATTCCTGGTTCACAAGTGTTGAGGGGGCCATGCCTGCGGGTAGGGCTTGTCCAGAGCATGCTGGTGACAAGGCAGCGTCACTTCTGGCAAACGGTGCCGGCCCTCTCAAGTCCGTCCTCAAGTTGCATAAGTTAGATGGTTGTCACGGGAAGAGTTTTTTGGCAGCGGCTGTTGTCCTGAGAGCATTGCAACCTCAAGCTCAGATGCAGAGTCTGAGGACCAGGACCGGGTGCGCGCAACCGCCGAGGCAAGAAAGTTAGTCGCCAAGGTTCTTGCTTCCTGAGACTGAGTATTTTTGCCAGGTCAGGAGATTCACCAACTAACGCCGCAACATGCTCTTCCTTGTTTGCTTTTTGTCAAGCGGTTTTTCAAGTTGTTTCACTTCATATCAAGGCATTCCAACAGCCGCGAGGCGCTGGAAGAGATCGCGCGCGACTACGAGCAGCGCCTCGCGCAACATGAGGCCGTTCTGCTGGAGCAGCACGCAAAGGACGGCACGTGTTGAGTCGTGTTGAGATACAGTTCAAAGCTTGATGCGATTGCACAACCTGGGGTAAAACCACACACTTTACGGGATAGCGTATGTCTTAAATTGGTTGTTCCTAAGAACCTCGTGATAGTTCCTTCCGAGCAAGCCATCGCACAAGACGACCGCCACATTCCGGGCCGCCCCCGGACTGAACTCGGGTTTGCTGGCCAGGAGAAGGAGCTGGAGGCACGGCGCCACAGCCTGCAGAAGCGGCGCGCCGCCCTGCTGGCGCGATGCCGCTTGCTCGAGCCGATGCTCCAGGCGCAGCATCTGACATTTATATGAGTGAACATGGGGATTTGGACGACTATTTTTTGGTGCTTCCCTTTCAACCACCCTCAAGGGTACCCCCAACAAGAACATCAGCCCTTTTGACCGTGTTGCAATGTAGGGACTACCTGAAAGAAATGACATTTCCAATTACCATTTTGCAGAATTCCGGCAGAAAGAGGCGGAGAATCAGGGCTCAAACTGGTGGATACTGTCTGATCGATCGTGCGAGTATACTTCACTTACATTTGACAGCAGATGGATTCATGTGGCTTGACATGGAGAGACGGTCACGACATTGCACATGGGCTAGCTTGATGGATCTGGTATCAGCATGCATTCTTGACCGTAGAGTGGGTGGGCGGGCAAGTTGGATTTAAATCGTGCAACCATTTCTTGGTTTGTTTCGCATGAAGAGTGAAACAACTACTGTATCGGGCGGAGGAGGCATGCCTTGTTTTAACGATGCGTTCTTTCCAGCACGACAAGGGATCAATTCGCCGTCGGCCCTTGCCGGCTCTTGCCGATTTGCTAGGCTGCTAGGCCCTTTCAAGTTGTGAGTATGAATCTGTTTGAGCTAAAAGACTAGAAGATCGCACGGGTCATGACTAGTGGCATGAGGCGCTGAAATTCAGTTTCTAGCCTGGCTTTGTTCTTTGATGGAGTTGACTGCTGCGCCTTGCTGTCAACCAGTGCAAGCTGGGAGGCAAGAACAAGCCCTGGATTTTGCCGCACATATCCTCCTTGGCCCAGGCTTAGACTCACGACTGAGCCGCGCGAAAAGGCGAGACTGTGCCATGAGGCAAAACTGCAGCAATAGGCGTTCCACCTCCGGATTTATTTTGGGGCAAGAAGTGGGAAGCAGAGGCTTTGAAGTTATGCCTTGCTGTTTGACTTGACGTGTGACATCGCGTAGCGGGCTGTGGCCTCAAGGAACGCCATATGCAGGCTGGCGAGCAACACCATGCGCGAGACACCCAGTTCTCTTTTGACAATGAGCAAGCGCGTGCAGCGGGGACATACATGCAGGCCTTTGTTGGGGCTAGCTGCACGTCAAGCTGCAGATTTCTAAAGTTCTAGAAAAGGAACTTTCAGCAAGGCAGTCCTTTGCAAACTGAGCATGCCCCACCACCCAGCATTGCTTCTATTGCCACGGTGCGAGACCCCAGCCGGGCATGGCGCAGAAGCGCCCAGCGGCGCGTGCACGCGCGGCCCATGGAGTTGCCGGCATTGCCGGCATTGAGGTGCGCTGCGCGGGAGGCGCGGTGAAGCCGCGGCTGACGCGGGCGGAGGCCGCGCCGGGCCAGTGGCGGCGGGCTCGGCGGCTGCTGCGGGAGGAGGGCGCCGCTTGGAGCGAGCGGGTGGGGTGGCGGGGCCATGGGCTGTGCCTTTGCTATTTTGGATTCTGGTGCTACTGGGAAGTCCTTGGCAGCACAGGTGGTGGTTCTTCGGCAACTGCTGCCAAAGAGCTCCGTGCAGCGAGCGCGCAGCAGGCAGGACTTGGTTTCGTGCTTGTTGATGAGGAGAGAGGGAATTGGGGAATTATGTTGTAGCATATCATGTTTCTAGCTCGGCCTGCTCAATCAACCTTGCCAAAGCTGCATGCCCCAGCCGTTGCTACGGCGGCATTGAAATTACCCTGAACATGCGCTGCATCCCCTCGAGACCCGCTCCGAGTATGCTGGAGAGGGAGGGGGAGAGAGAGAGAGAGAGAGAAATTGGCTGTATTCAACCCTGATTCCTTGCTTGGACGCACATAGCAAAGGGGCGGGGAGCCGCCATAGAGGCCACGTCAATGAGTCGAATCCGTCGGCGGGCCCTGAGGCTGCTGGCGGTGCTGCGAGAGGCCGGGGCCACCACGGGCGCTGGCACACAGCTGGCGCCCGAGTGCCTCGCCGGTGAGGCTGGCCAAGCAGCTCTTTTGGTTGGGCTTTACTTGGTTGGTGTGGCCCCCAGCTTCAGGCGAGCCGCGCCAATGCGTCTTTTAGCCGCGAGGTGCCTGCGCCATCGCTACTGCGGCGCCTCGATGTCCAGGCGCTGCCTGAGGCGAGGCGCGGGTTCGGCTGAGCATTGTTGGGACGACCAGGTTCTCAACTTGGTAGTTAGGAGTTGGTGGTTGCAACTCTTGAGCCGTGACTTTGTTGTTGCACATGGCTATGCTGCGAAGATTTGGGTCATTCTCGGTGCGGGATTCGCGAACCCAGCCGGCGTATTTGGACACCCCCAAAAAAGGAGTCCAAGGAAGCCCTCTGCATACATGTCTCTGAGTGCAGACCCAGAGTCTCAGAGGATGTCTCTGTCAGGTCAGGAATGTTCTGGAGCACCGGGCCCTGTTCGATGCCACCGCGCGACACTAGACTCAATGACCTGGGATGGGCAGACCAACTTACAGCCCTCGGCAAAGTTCGATTGGTGAAAAAAGGGCAGACGTTAACACAGGTAGCGGTAGGGGTCATGAACTAGAGTACGCACTGGTGTCTGCATACCTCTGGCTGGTCTCGCAGGCAAAAGTTCCCCCTCCTGCCAAGATGCTCCTTGTGACCCTCTTGTAGTCGCCCTCCCTTGGCCCAGCCTCGCCCCTGAGGCCTACTGGAGGTGCAGGAGGCGCAATCGCAAGATGCTAAACGGCTCATTGCAGCTTACTCCAGATTATCCAAAAGATGCCAAGAAAATTGTTGCTGACAAAAGTACCATGGTCCTTGAGCTGGGATGGTTTTGGCGTGCTGTTTAACGGTTTTCTGCTGTAGATGGACATTGCAGCGGAACGGTCCGGTGGGATGCGCCATCTCTGATGTGGTGTGTTTTTTTGGTGGGTACTCTCGTTTGGATGGAAAAGGGAAACCCCCCAGCAACACTGAAATCCATTTCGATCGGGTCCAACCTCAAACCCGTCTCTTTTGCAGGTGGTTGGAAACCAAAAGGGTTCAACCTAACAAGAAGACCAGACCATGTCTTGTCAGGTGGTGACCACCGCCTACAAGTGGCTGCGCGCGGTGCCTCCTGAGGCCTTCACGGGGCCCCACATGGACCGCGCCTACGTGGGGGCGTCCCAGCGCCGGCTCACGGCCTGGGTGCCTTTGGGCCCTGTGAGGCCCGGGAGGGTAAGGACCGGGTAACGGATCTCAAGCCATAAATGAACTCAGTCGCCTCTATTCTGTACATTCTGGGTTCACATTTTTGACCACTCAGTTCGGGTGCGGGAGCGAGTTGGGCTCCCTGAGGTGCGGGCAGAACGAGCTGGGTGCCCTGTGCTGGGTGCCGGGCTCACACAAGGAGCCCGCAGTGGTGGAGCGGCACCTTGCAGAACTGGGCAGAAAATGTGCATGTGCTTTGTTGCCAAAGCAGCCACGCAAAAGGCTCTTTCTTGCTTTTGGCTGAAATGGGCCTGCCAACAAGCGACCCAATCCATTTGTATGCGTGTTGGCGTCGTGGGGATCGCGCCCCTTGTGGGCAGGTCTGTTTTGACTTCTGTTTTGGCCTCTGTTCAGCGGCTCAGCGGCTCGCGTCCCGCATCTCAGGTTCAGAGACTACCAGAGCGCTGGCTCCGATGGCGAGAGGCTGCGCCGCGCTTTCCCCGAAGGGCCTCAACAACCAACGCACTCGGACAAATGGCTCTGGGCTAAAGGGGTCCCAAAGGATCTCGAAAAAGTTCGCCAAAAGGGGGGGCCACCACCAAAGACTGTCCCAAAACCTGGAAACTTTTTCGCCCGAGCGAGGAGCGGGTGGTTGGCACCAGACCCGGGCGCCTTGCAGCTGCCTCCAGGCTGCGAGTGGAGCAGCGCCCACTTTGCTGCTGGAGATGTGGCCGCTGGGGGAAGTGCACTGGGAGACGCATAGGTTAGGCCCATGGTGCGAAGGGCACTTCATTCATTATGACATGGTTGCGACTCAGAGGAATGAGTTACTAAGCGGGAATTTGGGGGGCTGGGATTCGGGAATCTGCTTAACCCTGGATCCCGGAGGCGATCTTTGGGATGGACCTTCTCCACACCACACTGCCCAACGGGAGCAAGGCGCACAGAAAACCTGTAGATTCATGAGCTTGTTCCCGTGGCCTGTGGTGATTCATCGTATACTTGTGCGTTGTAAGTGTGTGCGTGCAGAGCGCGTGTTGTTCGTGCGATGTGCACGTGTGCCCGCGGGTGTGGCACGTATTTGTGTGCTCCGCGTGCATGCCAGCCTCGTTTGGCCGTGGAATATTTCAGACAAGGCCCTTGGCAAAGGCTTCTCGATTATAGCTCAGCAACTGACAAATGAGAAGCGCATCCCCCTCAAGAGCACTGCGGCCGGCCAATTCTTTGCTAGCCACCAGAAAGCGCCAGACCTCGTGTCCCGAACACTTGTAGCTGTGCCAGTGGATGCCACAAGTTGTTGCCAGCTGCCCAAACCAGCTTCTTTTTTTGTATGGCGTGCACTCCCCGTTCAAAGTTGTCTTGGTTTCACTGTACCACCCGCCAGGGTTGGAGGAATATTCCCCAGGGCGGCACGACACGCATGAATCTGAACAAAAGATAAACGAACCCACCTCAGGGCAAACCAAGCCACTCATGAAGACCCTTTGCTGGGGGTCTCCCTCATTTCCTGTTTGGACATTCCAGTGAACTCCAACCAGATGGTTTTGACGAGCACATTTGGGAAGCCAACCGTGTCAGGCCTTCCGCCTCTCCTGCGACACGCGCTGGCAGCCGATTGAAGAGCCGCCCCCTGAGGGCGTGGTCACTGGGCCCTGGAGGGCGCAGCCAGCTAACAGGCCGTGAAAAAGTGGAGCAAAGCAGGTGCGCTTGACAAAGGGGCCGCAAAGGATGCAGCCACCCAGTTTTGCCGTGGACCTTTCAAGTCAAGCAAATTATTTGAAATCATTGCAAAGGCTGCATGAAGTGGTAGTTTGCCACGTTCTCGGCGGTGACCCCTTGATGCATGGGATTGCGTGAGCCAAAGTGCTGCTTGACTTTTCTCTTCCGGTGGGGCGCCCACACGGGGCGCACAGCAAGCCCCCCTAGTGCCGTCAACCAGATGCCAGCCACCTGACTAAGTGACTAAGCAAGGACTGCGTAATCCCGACGCCATGGCGAGCTCCCGGGAGCGGCATCCCACGTGCCACTCATTCGATGTGCCTCGGTCCAGTCTCGGAGTCTCGGGCGGGGGAGCGGAGAGATGTGGAGAGATGTGGAGAGATGTGGCGGGGTATTGGAAACATTTGCCGAAGGCAGCGGTTCCAGTGCGTGGCCTTGTTAGTCTCGGGTGGAGTGGAGAGATGTGGCGGTGGAAACATTTGCCGAAGGCGGTTCCAGTGCGTGGCCTTGGCGTGTTCTGACCGGATGTCACGCGATGCTTTTCCGCATGCCCTTGCAGACCACACATACAACTTATGGTGCGTTCAGAACAGTGCCCCAGCCCCCAGCCCTCAAGCTGGTGGTCATCCCAAAGCAGCCGCAGCAGAAGATGATTGCTCAGGGGTGCCTTTCGGGGCTGTGTGTCCTGCTGGGCGGAATTGCAAGCCTACTCATCCTCGGGCAGTTGGGTTTGCAGACAGGATGTCATATAGCCGTTTGCCAAGGTTGCTGTTTTCGATGCTTGGACTGGTACGGGCAGGTACCTACGTCCATTTTCTTTGCGTGTTTGGAGGTGAACAGGCCCCTATGGGCGACGAATGACTCTGCTTTTTGCTTTTGGCTTTTTGCTGCAAACTTGCTGGCACAAGCCGTTCAAGCTGTCATCTTGTTTGCGGCTGAGCCTTGCAAATTTTGCGTGCCGGCCGCAAAGGAGTCGATTCGGAATGCAGAGGGGCAGGAGTGGCAGCGGCGCGCAAAGAGTGGCCTGATGCTGGCGCCTTGGTTATGCTTCGCCGGGAGAGGAGGGCTCGAACAAGCTGTTGCTTCTTTGCGCTTTGCTCTGTGTGTATGCTCCCTCACATCTCCCTGCCTTTTCTCACTCTCCCTCGCCCACACTTCTCTGCTGTTCTCCTTGTCATCCTCCTTCCATTTCCTGTTTTTCTTGTGGTTTAAACTGGGTGACATTCAGAGGCACACCCCTCTGAAATTCAGATGCTCCCCGCTTGCCATTCCAAGGTGCACGCTGGTGCAGAGTCCATGCAGGCTGGCTAGCTGCGGATGCAGTCGTGTCTCAGTTGGGGTAAAGCAGGAACTGACTTCATTTGACGTTTGCGGTCTGGGCACGTAAGGCATGCTCTTTGGAGTCGTTGCACAAACATGGGCTAGTTCCACCAAGGATTTCTGGGGATAGGAACAAGGCTCAGAGCGGCATGGCTTCGCATCAGGTCACCGCAGAAGGCTTGGCCCGCATGCTCCAACTGGCATATGCACGTTGGCCCATGCAAATAATACGATAGGCATCGATCGTTCCTTCAGGGCTTGTTGCAAGGCGGACGAACGGGTGAAGGATGCGTAAAACTAGAGGGGCCCCAAAATGGTGGAAGTCCTTTTGCCGCCCCTTTAAACCAACCCCCAAATAACAGCGTCGTTGTGTGTGTGTGTGTGTGTGTGTGTGTGTGTGTGCGTGTGCGTGTGCGTGTGTGTGTGTGTGTGTGTGTGTGTGTGTGTGTGTGTGTGTGTGTGTGTGTGTGTGTGTGTGTGTGTGTGTGCGTGTTTGCGTGTTGGTGCTTGTGTTTGTGGAGTGTGTTTTGTGTTTGCGTGGTTGCTTGCTTGCTTGCTTGCTTGATTGTTTCCTTGCTTGCTTGCTTGCTTGCTTGTTTGTTTGTTTGTTTGTTTGTTTGTTTGTTTGTTTGTTTTTTGTTTGTTTGGTTGTTTGTTTGTTTGTTTGTTTGTTTGTTTCTTTCTGTTTGTTTGTTTCTGTTTGTTTGTTTATATGTTTGTTTTTTTGTTTGTTGACACAACCACACCGACACAAAGACACACACACACACAAACACGCACACACACAAGGGGACAGCGATACGAGCACACCAGCACACAAACACAAACACATACAGACCCCCAACTCATGATGAGAAAGTGACCAGGCGGCATGCCGCCTCTTAGCAAGCGCTTGTTTCAGTTGTTATGCAACAAAGGGGCATACAGGCTTGAATTGCCCAGTATTTTCCTTTTCGACCACTTCCGATGACCACGCATGCATGCTGTCCAGGCTTAAAGGCAGTTTGAGGCAACGCTAGCCGCTAGAAGGCGGCAGTCCAAGAGGTAAGTTCCATTCAAATATGGCCCCTGCCATGAGCATTCGGAGGTTGGGAACATTCGGCCATTGCTGGCACCAACGCTGCCAAAGCGATTGCAGCAGCCTGGGCAAGAGCAGCTTGGCAGCCCGATGGCAGGCTCCACACCTATGATGGGGCCTAGGGGTACCTGTGCCATCAGTTCTTTCCGTATCAGGTATTTTGCAATGGCATATCAGGTGGTCAACAATATGCCGCGGGGTCGGGACCTTCCTAAAGTTGTTGCCAACGGGCAGTTAGCACGCTTTCATGAATGCAAGCATCAGCATCGCACAATTTGCGGATAGACTCAGAGATTCAGAGGCGAGTCCCTTCAGCAGCCACTGCGACAATGCTGAGTTTGCTTCTGATTTCTCGCTTTTAAGCGGCCTTGCACTGTGGCAACAGGTTGTGTGTGATCCACAATTTATCGCTAGCCTGACTTTTTTTTTTTTTTTTTTTTTTTTTTTTTTCCGGGGCATGCCCACTATGCTGGGATTTGCTGTCATCCCCACATTCAAATTGTTGGGACACCACAAGCTGGCGGAGCTGCTTGGCATGTGAGTAGGGCATGCTTCCACCGCACAGATGCAACACGAGTGCGGCAAGCCAACGAGTTTTGTCAGCTAAGGAATGAACCATTCAACCAAGATGACTCCCAAACCCATCGCACGCCTTCAACCAACAAGCGCACCTATGACATCACAGAACTGGTGAAGCATTTCGAGGATCTCATGAGCGATTCTTGACCGCAAGGGTTATGGGTTTGCACGAAGATCTTGAGGTCCTCTTCCCCAGATTGACAAGAAAGTGGTTAGCACTGCCATCGTCTGATGGGCTTGCTCCGTGCTTCAATCAATCGCGTCGCCTTCGTTCGTGACGTCGTTGTGTGAGGCAATCCGTGAATGCTTTGACTTTGGGCAAGCATGGCCAACCCTGGCCCGGGCTTAGGATTTCAGACAAGATCCGCAAGAGCACCAGTCCTTATCGAATGTGATCGGACCAAATCCTTGGAATCTAGGCCTGGAGTGGTCAGAGGGGCAGAATTGCTGTGAAGGCTGACCTAGACCCAATGGTTTGGGTCACAGCAAGCCAAGAGCAACGCGTGATTTGCTAAAGTAGAGCAACCAAACGCGGCATATTGGCGATGTAAGTAAGCCCCGGGCCCCATGCCAGGCTTCATCCATACAGGGCCTCTGCAGAAGAAGGCCATTTGGCTTCTGAAGGCGCTGGGCTGGGGGCAGCACGTGTTTTTGGTCGAGTCATAAGTTGGGGTCTCCAGCCCTCATTTGTATCAGTGCAAGTGTTCTGGCCGCGCCGGCTCCCAAGTTGAACTGCAACCTCAAGCGAAAGATTTGTGACAGCTGGCTATTTGGCACTAGACACCGAGCGCAAAAGAAGCTGCTCTCTGCTTGGAGGTCTTTTCCCGCAGCGTGTCGGTGAAATTCCCGAGCGCCTACTCCCTGGAGGAGGCCGGCCGCGGCATGCGACCGACGATTTGTTTGGCCGTCGCCGTGGCTTGTTCCGCGAGGCCATGCGGGCGGCGGCGCACCGAGGGAAGCTCAGGAACGGGAAGCTCTGCTTGGAGGATGCCGGCCAGTGGACGCAGATCTGCCTGGTGCATGCGGCTTGGCCGAGGAAAGGCAACAGCACGTGTCACTTCGAGGGGTACACTTGGGTGTGTTGGTGGCGGATGCTTGCAACGCCAATTTGGCCCACTTGCCATTGAGTGCGGGATGTTTTACATTGCTCTCAGGCCGACTGGATTCCCCCAGGTGTTTTCAGGCGACCTCGCGGGGCATGGGAGAACTTTCGAATCCAGGTCGCAGCCTTTTGCCGACACGAGAACTTGGATGCGGACGTGAAGCTCATCTTGGGCCGCCTAGCAGGGTGCATGTGAATAATGTTGGCATTGAAAACAGCAGCTGCGGTACAGGTGTTGAATGCGGGTGATGCATACATTTCGGGCTTTGGCTATTAAGCAGCAGGAGCGGCTTTCTCCAGGTCTGCTGCCCCAGTTCACATCAAATTGGACAAATGGCGAGCAGTGAGGCGAGCGCGGGAACATCAATGCCCGCGCCATGTTCGACGTGGCGCTGACGTACACAAACAGGGACTGTTCGCATGCAGCTGCGGGCCAACAGCGCAAAAGTCCTTTCCCCAAAAGTGCCAGGCTCGCGGCTCACTTGTCCCTTGGACGGTTCCTAGTGGTGTGCATGACTCCGACTCGTGCTTTTTTGGGCTCGCGCAGGAGGAGCTCACCTACGTCTCGTGCTCCGTGCAGCCCATCCACTTCGCAGTGCATGCGGGGAACCTCCACGGCGTCAAAGTGCTCCTGAAGCTCCGTGCGGCCGTGGAATCCAGGCGAATCGCGCCACTTGTGGCCTCGCTGCCTGTGTCGAGACCAACTCTTAGCTCCCCTTGTCAATAGCCAGGAGTGGGTTCCCCATTTGACAACCCCCGACTAAGCCGGAAAAAGCAACTTGGGAACCAAGGGGGCAGCATGAGCCAGGGCCACTTTCGATGCGGTGCCGGACTACACGCCTTTGCACCTGGCCACAGCTTTGTGGGCGCGGGCCGGAGAGGATGCAGTGGCGCAGCACCAGGCACGCCGGCGTGTGGGGAGGGTGTGCTTGGATAGCGCTGGAGTTAGCTAAGAAAGGCAGGAGAAATCGACAGCGACTCCTCTTTTGGGAGGAGCTAACTGGTTCCGGGTTCGGAACATCGCAGCTTTCGCACGTTTGACGCAGACCTTCTGTGTTTTGGGCATCGCGGCAGTAATGCTTTGGTTGTGGGCACTTCACTTGGAATTGGTGGCGGTTGTCCCGAGCAGTGACTAACCCCCAGATGACCTCAGTCGCCCTCAGGAAAATATTTTGCGAGGGTCACTCATCATGGAGATTTGTTCAGCTCGCCACCCACACCATGCAAGTGGCAACAGGGGGGAGCTGACTTCCCCAGGTGGTGAAGGTGCTCCTGGACCACTCGGGGGATCCTCACTCTATGGACTTGGGCTTGGCCTGCGCAGACGATTTGAGGCGCAGACTGAAGCCAGGGCTTGACACCGTCTCAACTGGTGGCCTCCTGAAGAGAACGTTTGAAGAGAATAAACTGGCTTTCATCCTTTGGATTTGATTCCAGCACTCTCAGACTTAGTTGGACGGTCGGTTGCAATGGAAGACTGCCAGGCCTTCCAGGCATGGGGGCAGCGCCAGCAGCAAGCCCTTCCGCAATGGCCTCAAAAGGGGGATGGTGGTGGCACCTTGCCAGGAAGGGCAGGGGGGTGTTGTGGGGGGGTTGTTCCTGGAACCGGGCGGTGGGAGGCCCCCTTTTCAGCGAGGTGGCTGAAACCCAGGTTGGGGGAGTCTCATTTTCATCAGGCGACCAAACATCAAAGCCAGCAAAAACTATCCCAAGAGGCGCCAAGCAAAAGCGCGTCAAGCCAAAACCATGGGGGAAGGGTGACACCTGGAACTCCATTTATGGTGCTATTTTCGCTTTTTGCGGGAAGCCTAAAAAAATGAATGGGGGCAGATCCGAAACTCGTGGTCCCTGGGCATACGCGACGACCGCCTCTCCGAGACCCTGGATATGACCAAAGTGAAGGCGCCGGGATTCCGCCTGCGGCCGGATGCGCGGCAGCGGCTTGGCGGCAACGCTTTGAAGGCGAGATCTTGGAGATTTTTGGAACCTTTTTTTGGCGGGGTCACCATGTTGAGACAGACCCACAAAGGACAGCGATCCCTAGAGATGTCTCCATGCTCGCCAGGTAGTTTCCTACTGGTTCGGAGAACTCCTCTAAAACACGACTTTTGGTGTGGAATCACCTGGCATCATTGTGGAAAAGTCCATAGGGCTTTTTCCTGTTGGGCAAGGGGCAGTCAACACAATAGCAAGATGGCACAATGCCAACACTTGAACACATCAAATCGTGCCACATGACCGCAACACGTGCAGGAACAACCTGTTGATGTTGGCCAAGGGCAACGCACAATCAATGATGGACATTCTTTGATCTCTGCGCCTCTCAGGTTTTTGGAGCAAGAGACGAAGGCGCATAGATCCGAGTTCGTGCTGCTGGCAGACGTGGAAGACGAGGATGACCTCGTCCATCTCCAGATGCTCAGCCAGTGGCCTGTCCTCACAGCTGCATTTGTCCTGCGCAGAAGCAAAGCGCTGCACAGTCAGCGAGGGCATCCCTCCACAGAAATGAAGGGCAACGTTGCTGATCAGGAGCGCGCACAAACTGACCTAGGCGAGGGTGAGAGGGAAGAGGTGTGTGTGTGTGGGTTAGCCGTGCTGGGTCAGGCACGCTTAAATGACCTAACCATTTCAATCACATGCAAGGGGGCAACCCTGTGAGTATGGCTGGTTGCTCCACGAAGACGGCCATGCCGCGGCTGATGCGGAGTCTGATCAACTCCGCATACCTGCATGTAGATTTCGTGGCAGGCGCAGCACTCTCGCAAGCTTCTAAACTCCCTTTGACATACAAGTGGTAGGTGCCCTCCATGCCTCTAAAACCCATATCTGAAACTACTCTTGAACACTCACATAAATTCAGAATTCTTGCGTGGCATTCAGCATTCAACACGGCCTGTGCAAGTTTTCGCGTCATCCCGAATTGAATTTTCGACAACTACGTGCCAGCTTTGCCAAAATGCTGCGCCTGCCACGGAATCTACCCTTCATCAAATTGTTGCACCTGCCACGAGTCTGACAGAATCAGATAGAACGTCAAATGTCAGGTGCCCGCTTCTATTCTCAGCATATGCCCTACTTCACGTGCATCACCCCCGCACAAAAGCAACATGCAGAGAGAGAGGGGGAGAGACAGAGCGACTGTGTGCGGGCCTTCAAATCAGTCGGCTTCAAGGCCATCTTCAGATATAGGTGTTGGAGGTATGGATGCTTTATTCAATTCGTTAGGCAGTATCTCCCCTTGTAACACCAGAAGCGGCAACTTTGGCGTCTCCGGCGCGCTGCAAGTTACCGGGGTCGGAAAGTGAATGTGAATGTGTGTGTGTGTGTGTCAGTGTGTGTCTGTGTGTGTCGCTCTCTCTCTTCTCTCTCTATATCTCTTTCTTTTTGTTGCCTCCCAGGGAGAGCTACCTTGACGAGCCAAAGAGCTTCAGGATCCAGCAGTCCTGCGTGATGGTGCAGGGCCCCTGGGCAGAGAGGCGGACGCCAAGCGCCAAGCGCAGTGCGCACCACCGCACGAATTGTGTATGTGTGCGCATTCCTTGCGCTGTACGGTTTGCGACTTTGTCAGATCAACCTCAAATGGCTTGGCCCGTTTCCAAGGCGTTCACTCTCAGCCAGATCGTTGACTTTCCTAAGCGCCCTAGTTTCGATCTCGACAGCGCTCCGTCTAACGTCCTGCTTTGATATGGGTTCTGAGCCGAGTCGCTTGCTGACAGCATTGCCCAGGTTGGAAGTTCTTTGACTTGTGCTACTGCGAAGTCCTGGACCTTTTGCAGCCCTTCGTGCTTGAGGGCAAGCTGGGATGGTGGTGTGGGTTCGTAGGTGGCTAGCCAAATGGGGAAATATATGCAAGTCTGCGTTGAAGTCCCTGATGCTCACCGAAGTAGTGTATGTTTGAGGACTGTTGGCGGCTAAGAAAGCCACAAGTAAAAAGCTGACTTTTTAGCACCCGACATGGCCGACCATAGCTTTTTGAAGCCGGTCGGTCCTGCAAGTAGTGCTAAGTGGATTCTCTGTCCAAGTTTGCACCGCAGCTTTTGGGATGACAAGCGATGCCACTGATTCGCGTTTTCTGTGTCGTTGGTGGTTTAACATTTGTTTAACGTATCCAGACTTGGGCAAGGGAAGTCATTTGCCACGGATCTCCCAATGCTTGTCGAACCCATGACGAGAAGCTCACGGGCTTGGTGCTGCTTCTCGCTGTTTGCTTCTTGCTTGCTAATTGCTGTGGTGTTGAGTAAGGGCCCGTTCCCCAGGATCCGCCCTGACCTTTTGTACAGTCGACTTGTCCTGGCCCGGACCTTGTGCTGAAGATTGTTCAGTGAGAACCTCCTTCGTTTTTCCCGTAACTGCTGTGGCCGCGAGTTTGGGCCCATACACTTGTTCACCGGTGCCGCTTTCGGACAAGTTAGGCTGTTAGATTCTGTCACTCTTGACATCATTGCAGGTTTCAAGCTCAATCTCCCACTGTATGTAAGTCAGACTTTCACTGAAGCTCGTTCTGGTTTGACCCACTGCTTCAACCGCTTGGGTTGGTGCCTTCACCGTGCGAAGCCCAGGGGTGCCGTGACGCCGAAGACGGCGATCGGGTCACCGGGACTGAGCCGCGCTCACACCATCGGAGAGGAGAGCATCGTCGAAGATGACGAGATCCAGGAGAAGCGGCCCGGGCCGAGCGTGATGAAACCTAACTTTCCTTGGGCATGACCGGAAAATCAGATGTCTACCCGCAGGAGCTTATTCAAGCTCGTCCGCAGCACCACCATCAGGATCCTTTGCCTTTGGCGTGTTGATTTCCAATTTCGACAGACCGATTTGGGATTGCTATTGGCGTGGGTTCAATTGAAACCAGCCCTGGCAGACCTGCAGCCGGGCTGTTATTAGCTTGTTCACTTCAGGACTCGATGAGGAGGAGGGCGGTGACTGTTGACATGATGGCGGGAGGCGATGCCATGCAGGACCCGATATGTGTCAAAATGGGGGAGCCTCCAAAATGATTGGTTTTCCTTTGCTTTCTATATAAAACAACAACAGAATAAGTACCCTCCAAAAACAACACAGCGATATGCTTCAGGGAAAGGCAAGCAATTCAGGGGCGCTCCAGGAGCAGGAGGATGACCCCATGGACTGGGAGATCTTGCCGGACATCGCGATCGATGACGCAGTGCATTTGAAGCTGCGCAACCCGCTGCGGCCTGGGAACTTCTACCGAAGCTGGGCCGATGCTCACCCCTCGTTTTTTAGGGGTAACCTCTAAATCGGGCTTGAGAGATTGTTTGCCCAGCCCAGCCTTTTCGTGAAGGGGGCATGTGCTTTCGCTGGGAAACTTACAGGGTTTTCAGGGTTTTCAGCCGCCAATGCCGACTCTTGAACTTGCCCAGGAAAGAGGAGTTTGGTCATATCCGGCTACCTTCTGCACTTTGCGCCTTGCCTTGTTAGCCGCGATAGTTGGGCAATGTCTTGCGGGTGTCTGGAAAGGCTGACCAGCATCACTGCAACCGAAACAAACAACACACAGCACATTTCCATTTGGGCATCCATCTTGGACGATTCAAGCAGCTGCCTCGCATGGGGGTCGTGAGGTGCTGGACGAGCTAATTCGGGAGAGTGACCGTGGTCCTCTGCAGAACGATGGAGCCTTGAGGCCGGCCATCCCTACCTTCGAGTGCGGAGGTTTTTGCGTTCTGTGCAATGGAATGGGAGTGTGCGTATCTTGTGCTTGTGGGCGTGTATGTTTTGACAGCACAGGGAATGGAGAATGAATAGCAGCCTCTGACTACAACCTCTTTGAGGGGCGTTGGTGTGAAGGGATGCCTCATTGAAGAAAGCCATCTGCGTCTGAACTTTGGAGTTGGAAGGCACATTGTCAAGCAGAAGGCGGATATTCATGCACGGGCGGAAGTGAAGAGGAACACTGCCAGCGATGTCTACTTTGTCACTGCCATGCACATGGCTGCTGTAAGCTTCGTTGCTGCATTGGCCCATGGACAATGATTTGATGTCATATTTTACTGCTTTCCTCCCCCAAGTTGCGGGCACGCATGGAGGGAGTGGATGTTGACCAACCAGCTTCCAAACATGCCCGACGTGAGACTCAATCTCAGGTCCCAAATTCCATAGTGCGCACAGGATTGGACACTTTGAATTCACTGTGTGGCGAATGCCCGGTTCGTGTATGTAAGTAGGCTTGGACTCGAGAAGCCTGCAAGGCTACTCTCTGCCTGCAGCCGGACGCCCAGCTTTTTGCTGTTTATTCTCTTCTTCTTCTTCTTCTTCTCGGCCGGTCGAACCAAGGTGAAGCTGTTGCTCGACCTCAAAGCATCCATCGACCCTAGTTTGCAACCTGCGCCGTTTGGAAGCCACATTTCACGAACCGAAACGCCTTGACGGTTTGTTTTCAAGTAGGGAAACCCTTGAAATGATGGGTTCTGCGGAAGTAGTCTGGCAGTGGTGCGTGGGCTCTGATGTGATGGAGGTCTCAGTGACCTGTGACTCAGCGGTGGCAGCGCTCCTGTTTTGCATGGCCCTCAAAGGTTCCGATGCCTGAGCAGAGCCGGATTTCCATTCAGGCTGGCCCAGCTGGGATGCCCAGCCGACTTGTGCGAAAGGGCAACTCGTGCCGATCATGTGTTGACCTCCTCCTCGGTTTGGCAAGGTGGCTCAGGCGCAGCATCCGGTGCTGCTTGGTCATCATTTGGTACTGCAGCAGCTTCAGGATGATGAGAGCAAGTTGTCCCATGAGCTCGTCAGCGCGCTCCCGGAGCCTGAGCCTGGCAAATGGCAGCAGTGTCGGGCACATGCCCATGTGGTCCCAGGACATGGCCAACAATCTGGCGGGTTTGGTGAGGTGGTTACTGACGCGTGTCGCGCAGAATGCCTCTTGCGTAGAGGATGAGAAAAGTAGCGCCAAACACGAAGCTGATTAGTCAAGGTGTCCATTGCCGGGACCTTGAGGTCGATCCTCAGGATAGCGCTGTAGGCCTGCGAAAAAGGCAGAGAAAGGTCAGGGCCAAGCCGAAGGCAAAGGGGAGCGTGTCGCTCTGCTACCAATGCAGAAGGAGTGGTCTGATGAGGTCTCCGTGAGCTGTGACTCTGGCGGCAGGCTTTGTTTTCCATGGGCCTTGAAGGCTCCGATGCGTGAGCCTGTTTCGAGACGCATAGGCGTTTACATCTCTTGCAGTTTCCTTCTCTTTCCCTTCAAGCTGACTCCGGAAAGACACCCTTGCCATGAGGAGTCAGCCGCCACCTTTGACAAGATCCCGGCCTGGACCCCACTGGCGGATGCGATCATCGCCACAGTGGACTGGTCTCAGCGGAGCGTCAAGAAGGCTCGGCTCGCATGCACCAAGGCGCGGAATGGGACGGGCCAAAGCGTGGGGGTTGGCTTGTTTGGCTTGGCGTCTCCTTCACGGCGGGCGCCGCCCACCTTGTATCATGGGAACAGGTCGATTCTGGCTTTCAAGCGCATTGTAGGTTCTTGTTGCGGAGGCTTGCCTTTTCCGCTCGCTGCATGACAGAAGGCAACTGCCTTGCTCAGCCCCATAGCTCGATTATTTTCAAGGTTCCTGTTCCAGGGAACAAATAGCGCACTCCAGGCATGAACGCTGCATCGCACACTTCAAATGTGAGCATCGTTTGACTATATAGTTTGTCTCGGAGCACTCACGCGACTCAACAGGACTGCGTGATCCAGTACCTGCTATCCGAGCGTGCCAACCCTGATGGCTGTGGCGGGAGCGGGGGCTTGAGTTGCCTTCACCTTGCAGCTCCTTGGCCAGATGGATGTGGTGCATGGCAAGGAGCTGGGCCAGCTAGGCATCATGTTATGATGGGTGCAACGGGGGGTGCGTGGACATGGCTGGTGGCGTCTTGGCCTTACGGGCTGCAAAGTCCACCTGGTCATTTGCACTGAGTGGGGTCATGTTGGGCTCGTTGAGTGGCCAAGCAGTTGGGGGTCGAAGTTGCCAAGTGAGAAATCCCTCGGCTGCCTTAAACTCCCTTTGCAAAATGCAAAAGGGGAATGTTGCTTGTCATGACTTGTAGCTGGCTGCTACACGGAATGAAGGTTGGAAAGAACTGCGAGTCAGACATCGTGTGTATGCTGGTGGAGAACAATGCTGCCCGGGCCTTGGCTGGCTGGGCGAGCTCTCCAATGCAGGTGCATCTTGAGATTTGCGTGGTCCAAATCTGGGGTAACTAGGATCGACTATACCCAGTCAGGTTTGAAGGCAGGCTGACTTGAGTAGCTGATGGCTTTTGACTGCCCATGTCTGCGAGGACGTTACTTTGAAGACCAGCCAGTACGTGCGCGCAACACGCGCTCACGGTAACCGCGGCTGGGACCGGGGTTTGACGCCCCTGCAAATCTGTGACTATGCAGACCAGGCACCGGCGCACGGATGACTTGCAATGACTGGTAAGTTGGACACCGGGCAGAGCTGTGTCATGAGGCACCTGAAAGTGTTCGAAGATGCCGGACTATGGAGTTTGAGTGCCCATGACTCACGTCTTCTCCCCTTTTCAACAAGGCTGTTTCTTACATGGTGGAACGCCCAACTTCGCCGGGAGGTCTACTCCCAGAAGGCGCGCAGCGAGGTGATGGCCTTGTTGGCGCCCTCCCTGCGGGGCGCCAGTTTTTTGCTGCAGGACGCCCTGCGGTGTGGAATGTCATTTTGGTTTAAACATCAAGCATAGGCTCCGCATACGCCCGTGTGATATCATGTTTGGCTTAGGGGTTCTTATCAGACAAGCAGTCCGATACGCTCCTGTAACAACATGTCTGGTCTCGGGCTTTTCAACCTGATGTATGCCCACATCACACATGAACTTGTTGCTTGTCTGGCGGCATTCTTATCAAACTCATGTTTGGTCGGGGGTTCTCATAAGAAGGAAGACGGTCCCGCACATGCTTGTATTTTTTTCATTTTTGTGCATATGCTAGCTATCTCTTAGCAAACAAGAATCGCTTTGGCCTGGGGGTTGACATCAAACAAGCTTCCCCATCGGCAAAGGTCAACCGGCTGCAGAAAAGTGCAGTACGAAGCTGACAAGGGTGGAAAACGGCCAAGCAAAGCGGGGCCCACACGTACCTGGACTGTTGACACAAATGAAGGTTTAAGTGGTTGATCTGTTGCGTCGGATGCTGACACTACAGACAATAGCCAGAAGGATTGGCTGATGGAAGTATTTCGGCGTTTCTCAAAATTGGGGACCCCGAAAGTTGTGGTTCTCCAAGTGTAGTCCTTCAAAGCCATCCAAACAAAAAGGTACCCAGAAAACACGACGCACCCATTTGACCTTTGGTTTGTGGTGCTGGGCCAGTGCTGAGAGCTTTGACGGAGGATGTCACCAGCATGGCCGCCTTTAGCGTCAATGCTGCGGATGAGCTGGTGAAGCGGGTCATGGAAGAGGCCAAGAAGGACGACCCGGCAAGCTGGCTTGGGAGGAAGTGGTGGGCACCCGATTCCACGTAGTGGGCTTAGTGAACAGTGTGTGCACTTCCATGGCTCTCCAAGAGCTGGCTGTTCGGAAGGACTCAGAGGGGAGCGCCGCAAGGGCGCTGAGGACGCTGCGCATGCGAGCAATCACTGGCAGCTCGGCTAGCTAGGACTGGGGGCATCGTAAATCAAAGCACCGTGGCCGCGCCACTCGGTAGTGCAGCGTGCTTGTTCGCTGCATGTCCGACAGGACGCACTCTTGCGTTTCGGGTAGTTCATCCATGTTCGGCACAGCCGCATCAGTCCCTGTGGGCATTGCCTGTTTCGTGCGAGAATTTGGATCGAAGGAGGCTTGGTTTTGGACTGGTTTAGGGCTGTGTGCCCGTGTGGCCCTTTGTGTGTGTGTGTGTGTGTTGGTGTTGGTGTTGGTGTTGGTGTTGGTGTTTGTGTGTGTGTGTGTGTGCCTGTGTGTGCCTGCCTCTGCCTGCCTGTTTGTGCCTGTCTTTGCCTGTGCATGCCAGTTGATTCCTGTCTGTTTGTCCGTTGTTTTTTGTTTCGTATTGTTTTGTTTTGGCTTGTTTACTTGTTTTGCATTGCTTTGTTTGTCTTGTTTTGGTTTGGTTGGTTTGTTTATGTGGGTGTGTGTGTTTGTTTGTTTGTGTTTGTGTTTGTGTTTGTGTATGTGTTTGCGTTCGTGCTTGCGTGGTTGTGTGTTTGGTTCTTTCTGTGCTTGTTTGTGTTTGATGGGTCGCTTGTGTGTTCGTTCATTTTTATAGTTGTTTGTGTGTTTGCCTGTGTTTGTTTTTGGTGTCTGTGCTGTTGTGTTTGCTTGCGCGAGTTGCTTGTTTGGCTCCAGGCAACAAATCGCTGGGCCTCACCGCTGTGGCCGCTGGCTGAGCGCAGACGGGTGTGTCTCTTTGTGGGGCTGGTGTAAAGGGACACCATTTTGGAATTACCATTTTGGGTTGATATCCATTAGGAGGGGTTTCCTCATATTAATTGAGAGAAACCCAGACTGTTACGGACGCACCAGGGTGGAGGAAGCGAATCGTCGCCAAGTTGAGATGCACTGAGGGTATCAAACGGCAGAGCCAACTTGCATCAGTGAAGCGGGGAAGGTGAACCCTCCCATGATGAAGGTTGCTTAGCTTCTTGAGAACTGCCGGTTTCAGTTGGTGAACTACAGTCCTCAACTTGAAGTGCATGTAGATATGGTTGGGGGCGGTCAATGATCGTCGCTTGCAATTTGCTGGTATGTCGCGCTGCAATAGGCACGTGCTGCGTATGCTGACCACGATTCCGTGCAGAGGCTCACCAAGTTCGCATGTCAGCCTGTCCAGTCTTGAATTCATGGCAAACTTGAAGCAAAGGTTCCCTCCTTCAAGAAATTCAACAGGATTCAAGAGAGATCATATTTTCTACGCTTGGTCAAGGACAGCATCGCGGAGCTGATCGAGATTGCACCCTCCACTGCCATCTCTCTGCTTGATGGCTTGCTCTTGACGGAGCCGGAGCCTTTGGCGCCCAATCAGTTTGTTTATCTATTCTTTCAAGAGCCCTGCTCTTCCTCACAGATGCCCGCTGCACGAGCGGCCAAGATTTAGTGAGTTAATGGCCAGCAGCGAGAGGCAGGAGGCTTGACGTTTGCTTGATGCGTCAAATGGGAAGGCTTGATGCCTGCTCAAATCCGACCCACTCAGTTGAGGCATTCAGTCTCTCTCTCTCTCTCTATCTGTCTCTCTGGTTCGGCTTTCAAAGGTGTGGCGGTCTGTCCCAGCATGGATCAGAAGCTTGACACCCGCGCCCAGGACACAGAAGACCCTCATGTCCACCCTTTACCCCATCGAGCCAATATGAACTACAAGCACAGGGCGCAAGGAGCGGTGGTTGCACCTCCCCCTGCAGATTTGCAATGACACTTTCAGCATTGAAAAGCACGACAGGCTTCGGATGGTCGGCTACCGTTTTTGACCTGCCGAACCTGTCCGTGCAGACGACCTATCAGCCAGACTCCAACAGGGACAGGCACGCCTTGTTTTGGGCGGGTCAGGGTGTTGCAAAATAAGGGCACGTGGGCAGTCTTCTGGCGATTGGGCACTGGTCCAGTTGCACGGTTTGCAACGCCGTACGCCAGGCAAAACACGTATCACGATGAGCACCAGTGCTGCCATGATGGCAGCGAGACCAGCCATCCGGAGCCGGAAGATTGGCCTTGCATGGTGTCGGTGGGGCTTCAGCTCGTTGTGAGTTGGCGGCGTTGGAATTTCGGGCTCCAGAGTTATTAGTGCTGTAGGATGTCACGGGGCCTGGTTGAGGTGCAACAAACAAACTTCCAACTTCGTCAGGAGTGGCCTTGCTGGCTGCGGCAGCAGAAGCTCTGGCACGGGAAGCTGGCCCCAAAGGCATCATGCACCAGGCGTGGTTCACAGGGGCCGCGCTCTCTCTCTCTCACTCTCTCTCTCTCTCTCTCTCTTCTCTTCTCTTCTCTTCTCTTCTCTTCTCTTCTCTTGTCTTGTCTTGTCTTGTCTTGTCTTGTCTTGTCTTGTCTTGTCTTGTCTTGTCTTGTCTTGTCTTGTCTTGTCTTGTCTTGTCTTGTCTTCTTTTCTCTTCTCTTCTCGTCTCGTCTCTTCTCTTCTCTTCTTTTCTCTTCTCTTCTCTTCTCTTCTTTCTCTTTCTTTGTGCCAGGTCGGGCGGAATATTTGGTTTGCAAGAGGCAGCCCTCCAGATAGCCAATTTATGTCTGATTTATCTCCTAAAAAAGGGAAAGAGGGAGGGCGATGGCTGTGGGTGATGGTGGTTCACTGCTCGAACCGAAAGGTTTCCGTGGGTCTGTCCCAAACAGAATTACATGGGCAGATGGGGCTGGGGGAAGAATATGCCGAGTTGCTGAATTTCGGGCCGTGACCCCAAGAAACAGAACAATCATCATGACATGACCGATCCAATTTTGTAAGAGACAACAGCTGACTTTTTCCCCGGAAGACCAGGGCGAGCCTCATGGGCCCGGCGGGCCTGCAGAGGGTGGTGGATCAGATGGGCGCGCAGACGGCGGTGAAGCTGCTGCACCAAGAAGGCCTGGGAGACTCGTCATTTGTTTGCCAGGCATGGCATGCCTGGTGCTCCCTCTGATCCGAGGGTATTGGAAGACAGGTTTCCTCTTTGGGAACCCCCTGTCCACTTTTATGATTGCTGGAAAGAGGTTGTCTAGAGAAACAACCGCTGCCTTCCCACAAGTGGTTTTGAGAAACATTCTGGTGGGTTGCAGGGGTGCAATGATTTGCCTTATTGCTAGGAAGGATGCCCCTTTCCATACCGTGAACTTGAAATGGCCTACAGTTCATTTCCATGGTTCTTGGAGACAGAGCATGTGAAACAGCATGATTCCGAGTGTTGTTGCAAAGCAAGCCCGACTTGACTGACGGGAGTGGTTGGATGAAAGGGCGAAGACACATTCATTTGCCGCTTTCGCTCCCTTCTGCCAGGAGACCGTGATGTCTGCATCAAGGCCTGTCTGTGGGGCAGCTGGGCACTTTTGAACACGAGTGGCGCCCAAGGTTTCGGGGGCCTGAGCGATGTGCCACAGCTTTTTGAGTTACGCTATTGGGACCCGGTCGGGTTGTCGATCTGGCTTGTGCTTGGCAGGTGCTCCTCGTTGCGAATGTCCTTGATGCACCTTGGCTTTGCTTTGAGGGCCTGAGTCGTGTTGAGTTGGCTCGGAAAGCAGCCTCAGATACGCAAGGATTCGTCGTTTGAGAGTCGCCTTGCCTGCCGCAAGCCAGCGCAGCTCAGGGGGCTGAAATGAAGTGCACCAGCTTGAGAAAAGTCAACGGGCCTGTTCCAGTTTGAATTGGGGCGCGTGTTCCAAGCCGAGGTGCGCATAATGATGGCACTCACCAGCGTCGGGTGGAGCGACATTTTTGCAGAGAAGGAGGGGTCCTTGCGCTGCCCGTGTCTCGTTTTTTTGTTTTTGTTTTCTTCTTCCGCTGGCTTTTGTGGACTCGGCGCTGCATGACAGGTTGGCTTGCTTGGATTGTGACATCATTTTCTTGCTCGACTAAGTGCTTCGGAAATGCCCAGGGAAAACAAAGCAAACTGTGCGATCTGACGGCAGGTTAGACACTAGCCTTCATACTCGTGACAGCATAGACTTTTATATGTTGGTGTGTGATTCAGGTTGCGTTGCACTTTAGTGTATGTTTGTTGTTCCTGAGGAGGCAGGGCGTTTGAATGCGGTATGTGGGTGTCATGCCAAGGGGGGAGGCGCTGTTTGTGCGTGTGTGTTTACTTGTGTTTGTGGAACTTCCAGGTTGTCCAAGCCATCCTCTCTGCGGGCTACGAGCAATTCTGCTTCAAACCTATTACTGGGGCGCTGTTGCAAGAGATCCTCCTCTTTGCTGCCTTCTTGCCGCGTGGCACGCTAGATGCGCTGCCCTGATGGTTTCATGCTCCAGTCCGCAATGGGTTGGTCCCGTGTGAACGCATGTCTGCCACTGTTCAACTGTTTCAACATATTGTCAATGTGTTTGATCGCTCAAAGCGTGCAGCCACACCTCACAGCCAATTTTGAGGGCGGACGGCCTTGTCATTTTGCCAAGGTCGTGGTCTTTTGGAATTTGGTTTTGGCAGCCCAAGAAGACGGCATGGACGGCGGCTCGGCAGCATTCTGAGCCCAGCGCCCAAGGTAGTGAGTTGCGGCCCCTCACCTTGGACTGCTTTCGGATTGTAATCGATGCAAAGGCAGGACTAGGATATGTGCATGCTTGGGGTTCCAACCGGCTTCAACACAAGTTCCGTTTCATACTAAGGTCATTTGTGCCATTTTCATAAACGAGTCCTTGACGATGGCGTGGTGGTTGCGGAGCATCTCGTCGAATGTGCAAAGGTGCTTTGAAAAATCCAACCAGCCGTTAGGATGAGTTGTTTTTCAAGTCTATACAATTGTTCCAATCACTTTCCTGAGTGGAAGGCTGTTGGCTGGCTGAGGTCACTTCTCTTATGGCTGGACTTTGAAGCAGTTCTTTCTGCATCCGATGGCTGGTTTCAGACTGTTCCAGCTCTACCTGCTGTGGTGGCTACTGTGGAGGAGCCCGGCCATGAGAAAACATGAGCTTGGTGGCCTTTGCAGGCAACGTTCGGCAACGGAAGATTTGGCGATTGGGGCTGTCTCACAATACCCCAAACTGGGTGGTTTCCTTAAAACAAGCCAAACAAAGATGGGTATCCTCAACAAAACACACACCCAACTTCAAACCCCACTCTTTGAAGCCACACGCCGAGGACCTTCTTCGGCTACGATTTGGATCACACCTGGCGGAGAGACGAAGATAATAGCGGCAAGCGGACTTTCGAGCGGTGACATGCCTGAAATGGTGCCAGCCTGCCAGCGACGTCTGGAAAACTTAAACAGGCTCGAGACAGAAGCTAAGCATCGGGCTTGAGAGCAGGGCTTCGGCTGAACATTGCGGAGCAGACTGAACGAAGCAGCGACGGTGTTTTTGTTGATGCGAAAGGGCCCGATTGTCTCAGGCCAGAGTGCACAAAGGCTCTGTTGCAGCTATTGAGCCTTCATACTCACCAGGAATACCAGGGAGGATCTTTGCCAACTTGGAAGGTTGTCTTGTTGAGGCCACTCGTGCGCACAGCGGCGTTTTGACTTGCTGAGGAGTCTGCTTGGAGCAAATCTGCTGCTGCAGTGCTTCCTCTTCATTTTCCTCGCCAAGGGCGCCTCGGAGGACTTGCAGCCAGAGGGGCGTGGAGTCTTTCCGGCCCGTTGGGCTGTTCAGGCGTTGGGCAACCCGCCTCTAGGGTTGTTGAAGTGAAGCCAAGGGGACAAAGCACGTTTTGGGGGTCCTTCCTTTGTAATTAAGACAAGCCAGATTCCAGTCCTTAGGCGCATCCCCACGCCTGGAGTTCGGCCGGCACTTGCTGGCGATCCTGCACTCCTTCATGCGGCTGGGGGTGATTTTTACAGCCCCTTGGCTATCCGCAGAAGGCTGTGGGTGAGGTGAGTTGACGATGTGATGCCAGAAAAAAAACCTGCGTTCGCAGATCTCACCTACCTCCTCTTTTGCTTACGTGGCTCTCTATATCTCGTTCTGTCGTTCTGAGACTGACTCACCAGACGTCAAAACAGATCTGATTTCGCATGAAGTGCGCCTAGGTACGCTGTTTAGTGCTTTTGTTGGTTACTAGTCCTAACCCAACTAGAACGCAGGATGATGTTTCAATATGGCTCCAGCTTGAGAGTCCTCCCCGCCCCCCGGCCCCCGCCGAGGTCCTGATCCTTGTCTTCGCAAGCTTCACCTCAGCCTACCTGGTAATGGGCTCAAAGCTGCCCCTGCGTGCTCTCATTGAGAAGGCGTCGGATCTCACACGTTCCAGCTGCACGGTCATGTTTGCACCCCATTCTTGGTTGCTTCTTTTAGGGTTCCCCAGGAAACTCAAGGTTTACAGCCCGACAAAGGAGATGTTTTATTTGGGTATGTGCCGAAATAAGGGACTTTCAAAAAAGGATTCGGTTTTCCTTTTGGGTTCCCTTAAACCAACCTGAAAAGGGGTGCCCTCAAACCCACTCTTTGGCCGGGGCCGGGCGCTTGCGTGTCCAGGTCTACCGCGGCCTGTTTTTGGCGGATGGCGAGGGCCTGGATGTCATGGAGGGTGGGCAGGGGGAAGGCGAGCTGGAACCGACCCATGGCAGAGAGAATCGGCCACGGATTGTGCACCTCTTCTCCGGCATTCACTCCCATGGATATGCCACAAAGGGGGCCACCATGCTCCTCTTTGTTCTTCCTTGCTGTTTTTAAGGGGCTTTTTGGTGTCCTTTTTCTTCTTTTCTCTTCTCGGACGCCACCATAGCAGACGACTTGACGTGCAGTACCTCCGCTAGCTGCTGGCGTCCCTGATGAGGAGGGCTGGCGGAGTGAAAGACGATCAAGCGTGGGTATGCCGAAACTCCTGAGACCCTCAAAAGCTGGCACGTGGGATGCGCCTCGCGGGTTCGCTGTCTCCCACCAAGTGTTTACCGGCACTGCTTCCGAGACGGTTAGTGTCGTGAAACCTTCGGGCTCGATTTGTCTCCTGCGCAGACCTTTTCTTCTGACCTTGACCGATTCCGTTGACCTTGAAGACCTTTACCACTGTCAGGCGTATCTGGCTGCCCCTGATGAGGCAACTTGGCAGGAGGCATGGCGCCCAAATCTCCTCCTCGACAGGGCCCACCACCGGTGGCAAGCACTCGGTCTCCGTCTCGGCTGCTCTTCTTTGGCAATCTGCGCCTTCTTCAGCGGTCGCACCACAGGCTGACTCCGTCTCCATCGGCAGGACCACTACCCGCGATCCCTGTCAAGGCCAAGCCAACACTTCCGCTGCCATCTTCAGCGATGAGGAACCTTTTTGGTGAGGCCCGCGCCTACGCGGCCATTGGCCCGCTTTGCCATTTGCAGCAACCACAGGTCTGGCCACGGCAGCGGCACCTGCGCCCACGCCAGCGACTACGGCCTCATCAGCGGCTACGCCAGGGCCTAGTCCACCGGCACCGAGGCCGCCGCTGTCGGCGTTCCTTGAGTTCCATGTGCCCCGGACCCGGACAGCAAGAACTACACGGGACGCCGCTGCCCGACCGGCGCCCTACTCCAAATCCGTTCCCCCGCAACGTCGAGGAAGAAGCAGATCGCGAACCCCGCCGCCGCTCTCCCGAAGGGATGCAAGGTGGTCAGATCCGAGGAGTACTCCGGCTCCAGCAGACACGGCGAGACCTCATCGAGCAACCCTTCCTCGCTCCGCCGGCTACTTCTTTGCGGCCGACTAACCACTCCCTCGAGGCGTAGTGATAGTCATCAGCACCTGCGGGAGCGCCTGCGGTTACAGCGGGGTGTCATAGTGCTAAGTGCTGTGAGCTGCCTCCCTTTCGGCTTGGAACTCGGTTTTTCGACTGCCTCGGGACTCGGTTGCAGTGCTCCGCTGGTATGGGTGCTAATCCGCCCCAACTGGGATGGGGCGGACGTGTTGGTGACGGTCAACGACTGTCATCAGGCCAACGCAGCCACGTGTGCAGTGCCGTACCATCACGTGAAATGAGTGACCGTCCTTTGGGTGAAAGCTGCTCAAGAGCTGCCAGCCCCTTTCAGTATGGGTAGGGAGTCCTTGCGGTTGGGGAGGAGGCGGCCTGTTTAGGAGTCCTAACGGTTGTCGTGATGTATCGGTTTAGGCGATGTTACTCGTTGCAAGCCGAGGAACAACTTGGACACGTACCTCACGCTTTTCTCAACCTTCATAGTGACCATTTGCCTGCTGAACGTTTCCATTGCAGCCCTCTGTCAGCCATTAAGACAGATTTGTAACGTCATGGAAATTGCAGCCGTGATGAGAGACGCAAGGCTAAACGTTCGAATGCGCCACCAACTGTTCGAGCCGAGGAGTGAGGAAATCAAGCGTGTCCGTTTTGATAGCAACTTCCATGTGCTTGCACCCCTTTGCCAACATTCCTGGGGAAGCGTTGCTGGTCAAAATCGGTGAAAGTGGAGTTTCTTTCAGCGATCTTGCAAAGGTTTTCACCATGGAGTACGAGGCAGGGCCAGAAAGCAAACGGCAGCAAGCTGGGGCCCCTACGTTTCACGACCATGGGGCAAGTGTTTGTAACATGGAGGTATTTTGCCTCTAGGCTCGTGTTTTGGGTCCGTGTCTTGGCTCCTTGACCAACTGAGCCTCGTCTGGGCAAGCTACCTCGAAATGGAAGAGACTTCGAACAAATCATGCGAGCCACCAATCAGAAGCCGCTTTCGCGGACGGCTTCTGTCGTTGAAATAGCGTGCTTTGTGCCCAGTGGAAGAGATTCATACCCTGTGAGGCAGCCATCAAAGAGTCATGGCTCCACTTTTGGCGGTGGCGGGCGCGCCTTTGCACCGAGGCCACTGGGAAGTTGGGCGGGGGGGGAGAAGAAGAGTTGTGAGCCATGGGGGCGGCTTGAATCAGATGAAAGTGCTTTCCTCTTCTGTCCGGGCCCTTTTGTTGTCCTTGACTTGTGTTGCTTGATCTGACTGCCTTTGGCAGCGAGATCTGTTGGCTTCTCAGCACAGCCCGGATGGTTAGAGCAGGTTCCCGCAAGCTTTAATTGCACATTGGTCAGGCCGTATGCTTTGCACGTTTAGGGAGAGGATCAGCTTCTGAGGGCGAGGGCTTATGTGTCGCAGGTGCTTCTCTGCCCGAGATGGCCTTGGAAGTTCGAGTCCAACAGCGCTTGGCTCTCAGATGCAGCGGGCTCTGGTCACTTTTCTAGGAGTCCATCCTGGACATTTCCGATGCATGTGAGAGGCACTTTTCTGTGCCCAGGCCGTTTGCCAGGAGCGGCGGTACTTAGCGCAGCTCTTGGAGTGGGCGGTGCTGACGTTTCCCTGGCGATTTCGTGTGGCCATGGTCACTTGAGACATCAGAATGACATGATGGAAAACTGCGCCCTAAGGGTCCTGCTTCAGGTTCTTTGTGTGGGCGAGAGGGTCTAGGTTGACTAAATGATAGTCATGACTTCCGTTCCTTCCTGACGCTGGATTGCGGCCAGAATGCCTGTTTTGCGCAGAGGAGGGTCGGCGTGGGACATTGCAGCTGATATGGCCCAGGCCAAACGCATGGCCGAGCCGCCCCATCGCGCCAGGCTGAAGGGCGATGTGCTTCCGGCCGTGTACAACAGCAGCTTCTTCAAGAGGACTTGGCGGATCTTTTGGGCTGAGACAACCAGAGCCGGTTGCGTGCTGTAGCATGGCCCAGAGACCGGCTTTTGGGGCGGCAAACGCCTCCATGAAGTTGTTGTTGGCTATGGCGCGTCATGAGGCAGACAGGGGAATTGAGATGACTGCGCACAAACTGACTCGTGCAGGCTTCAGGGCTAGGCCGCGAAAAGTGTTCATGTGCAACATGCTCAGGACGTTGAACATTTGCGGCTACCGTGTTTCTTGGGAGCCTCTGAACGAAGTCACGCAGCGCGAGCCGATAGACGAGGATGCCGATCCTTGGTCTGCAAAACGGAGCAACCCCTTTTCATTGCACAGTCATGTTGAACAAAGCGGCTTTTTGTGCAGTGCCGGGGGGGGGGGGGGAATTTAGAAAGGTGTTAAGAATTAGATGGCACTAGTGTTGCTGCCCTCTATGGCTGCAAGCTCACCAGCCGTACTTTATCATGTTCCTTGCTGCCCGTGTTGAACGGGGGAGGGGTGCGGTTGTGGTCCCCACGCTGCCCAGGAGTATGTGAAGTATGCGGGCTGGATGACGGTGACACTGCTATCTTTGCTTGGGACGCTGCTACCTGCCATTTAATAACTGTTCTTTTCCATTTGGCGGTCACGGATCTTCGCAAGCATTGCGTGAGAACGGCACTGAAGAACGCATTTGCAAGGGCAGTGCGCTTAGTTGCAGGCTTAAGCCAATCTTCCCCCTTGAGAAAGGCAAGCCAAATACATTGCTGTGGAAGGAGGGAGGGATCAATGTGCAAGCGCAGCAGACGCCATTTTCCCCTGTTGCGCCAGCCGCTGGCTGAGTGATTTGCTCAGGTTTCTGGTTCTGCCCTTCGTGCATGCCTTCTTCAGCGGCTTGGTTCTGGGCCTCGCCCTCACCACGCTCAAGAGCCTCTGCGCCCGGGGGCCCTACGGTGCCCTGGCGCCAGATGCCTTTTCCTGAGAGTTGACTAGCATGCGCAGCATGCGGGTTATCCGAACACCTTCAGAGTATATGGAGCACATTCCTTTGTCCGAGGGGGAGGAAAGTGACTGTGCGAGTTTTTCGTGACGTGCTTAGGAAAGTGAGAATGTGGTGTGAAGCTTGAGTTGCCTTGTGCCACCTGACCCTTTCAAAGAAAAGCTATTCGCGACTGGCTTGCGGATGTGCAACTGACCAGGCTTGGTGTGAGAATGCGTGCCAGCGTGGTAGGGCTGGTTGTTGCCCACCCCTGCTGTTTAAGCTTTCGGGTCCCGGCCTCAGGACTGGCCACCGAAAGCGAGGAGATATCCGACTGCGAGGATGAGCAGGAGGATGGGAGGGTGGAGCCCAGGTATCGTTTTTCTTTGCCGCTGCGTTTTGTAGCGGCCTGCCCGTGCCTGGTTGTTAGTTTCGATTGTTTGTGGTTCTGCCGTTTTGGCAGGAAGCCTGCCATGGCACAGACCGCCCACACTTCCTGTGGATTTGCTACCGCTCAGACTACGACTCCAACGCGCCCTGACTGGAAGGATGCAAAACGAGAGACATCGGCAAAAGTCGATGGCACCGATGGGATGAGCAGTTGAGGAATCGACGAAGCTGCCGTGACAGTGATTGAGATGCCAAATAAGTGGGGTTCATAGGGCGCCGTTCTTGCAACTACTCTGCCGGTGAGGTGTTCATGAACAAGGAGGTCCACAGGGAGCACTTGGAATTGCTGGAGTGCCTCAGAAGCGAGCATAGTTGCCAAGCCTCCCTTTCAACATGTTGCGGCTTCAATGAGATGGGGCCTGGATTTCCACCATCAGGGTTGCTTCTCTCGCATCCAGACCGCTTGATGCAAAGCCCGTGTGAGCTGCGAGCGCAGGCAAGTTGTGCAGCTGTTTTGGAGTTCAGAATGTCAGGTTCCAACAAGAAGGCAGGGGTATGACGCGTATGTAGCGGGCTTTGTTGTAGCCCGGCGCTCTTTTGTGTGCGGGGGCAGGTCCACGGTGCAGTGCCCGATTTTTTTGTTGGCGAGGCGTGCGCAAGAAATCAATTACTCCAAGGTTCCACAAGGGCACTCCAACTCTGTTTGCCCCCAACACCGGCAAACAGCCCAGTCACCCCCAGGTCCCGAGTGAACAGCATGTCGCAGACCGTGGAGAAGTGGGGGACGGAAGCTTCTTGGCAGAAATAAAACAAACACAGGCTTGAAGCCTGGCAGCTGGAATGCATGCTCAGCACGTGCAGTTTGTTCGATCGGCAAGTTGAAAACAGGACATTCGCTGAATGCTTGCGGCAAGTGGATGCGCTTGTGCATTTTGCTGCTCAGTTCCCCCCTTGGATTTCCTGCGGCCCTCTTCCAACCGTGTCGGGATTTTGGAAGACTGGAATGGTCCACTTCCATTGACAGTTTGCCTGTGGCGATTCGGAGGTCAACTCCCTCTCCGACACCATGACGAAACTCACCGAGACAGTGCAGCGCTTGGAGGCGAAGCTGCCAGAGCCATGGCTTTCATTAGTGCGGACGATTCGGAGGCATTGGTGGCAATTGAACGCAGAAGACCAGCTATGCAACATCCTTAATCCTTGTGCCAGATGGTGTTTCTCTACTTTGGCAGCGCATGACAAGACAAAAAGACACTCATCCATATTGTTCTAGAACTGGAAGGCTGTTGCATGCTTGGAACCTTGATGCATGGTTTTCTGCATAACCACGGGTGCTGCTCTCAAACTAAGGCCGTGATTACCAAAGTTTTGAGCAACCCCCAAATGAGCCATCGGCGTTGGGGGACAGCTGAATCAGCCAAGGGCATGGGCGTGGGTGGTATTGCTGCAATGCCCTCCGTGCCCTCCATGGATGGCCTGATTCGCGCCTCTTCCGTGCCATTCCCGGACGGTCGGAGGACAGCCATGGGATTCGGGTGGGCGGTGTCGCCCCCACAGGAAGAGGAATGGCCAGGAAAATGCAGATAGGGTTGCTTGACTTGCATGCTTGCCCAGGATCTATGCATCATCAATTGGCTTGTTTTCCTTTGAAGACTGTTAGATCGCAACAATCTTCATGAGGGCACGTCTAGTGCCCCGTTTGCTCCTTGGGCTGCCAGGAACACCGTGGGCACCATCAATCCTCAACTCAACCTGCGACGTATGGGCAGCGTGTCCAGCCAGCGAGAGCAGCGAGGCTGAAGGTGAGGTCAGTGAGCACTCGGCTGCGGGGTTGTGGCCGACAGACAAGGGCCAGCAGACAAGAGCAACCTTGCAGCGATGTTTCTTTTTTTCTCCCCTTAAGATTGATACAATTTCCTTGCTTGGCGTGAATTGGCCACGTGTCAGGGGCTGGCATGGCAAGTATGCATCCTCCAGGCCTAACACGGTTTCCTGACACATGGTCATGACTTACGGAAGAGTGGCACCTTCCACCTGGTTTGGCACGTGGCAAGCTTATGAATGGCCTAGGCCCAGTCCTTTTCGACTTGCGAGAGGGTGCCTCTTTCCCGAAATTGCTCCGGGCGGCTGCGTAGCACCGCAAGCTTGCTCCTGTTGCCTGAGCCGAGGGGGTCGCCTTGTAAAGCGTGCGGGGCAACTGTTGGTCAGTGTGACGACGCTAGTTTTCCAAGCAACTCACCCTGTTGAAACCGTATTAAGACTCAAAGTTCGCTTTGGGTTCAGGAGGGCACCCCTGGTGCGCCCATGGTACGGGCAGCAGAGTCAGCTTGGCGATCCCCGAGTGGTTTCAATTTCCTAAGGGATTCCCTGTCTCATTTAAAGGATAATCCGGTCGGCCGATCTCTTCGGGATGCAAAGCCGCGAGTTCCCTGACCACTTGGATTTCTGTGAAGAATTGTTACAACGTCAATTGCTGTTCATCGTAGTCACGGTTTCTCCGACTTTCGCATGCCCCGGCTGTAAAGCCTTTGGGGGCCGCAATGGATGCGCCAAAAATCGGCGCATCGCAGGCAACACCTGCCCTTGCACAGACGTCCGACGGGCCTGCCATATTTGAAGCTGCGCAGTGAAGGGCACAAAGCCCTGGCGCAGATCCCGGCAACGCCCGAGCCGGGCGATCGAAAGGCGTGGCCAATGAAAGCCCGCGACTGGCATCCTTGCCATTCCAGAAAAGTCGGGAAGGTCTTCGCATGCGCTGAATCCTTCGCGAGCAGCGATAAGACAACATGCTTTGCACCAGGGCGCGGGCCGTGCTTCCAGATTTGCCTTTGATTCCCTTTGAACAGCAGGCATCATTACGGTCAAGTTGCTGAGTCCAACGTTGGCTAGCCGCCCGTGCAAGACAAGATGGAAACCATATCAGTGCGGGCAGACTGGCTCCCGAGCGTCAGGGGCCTCTTGCAGCAAGGTGCGTAGGTGTTAGCATATTATGCCTTATGTTTGGTTTCGGAAGCTAGACTATGCGTTTCGGAGCTTCAACGCAAGTCCGTTGTTGGTTCCCCTGTCAAGCAAAAACACCTGCCAATTCCAGCTGTCTAGCAGCCTGAGAGGAAACTCTTGGGCCATGTAAAGTGTGAAACCCGTTTGTGGGGATTCCCTTTGGCTTGAAGATAGCATTCTTGCGTCCAAAAGGCGAGTCGGAAGTCAAACCCCTAGGTGACGAAGGCAGGTCTTCAGCAGACGCTCAACAAGCACCAAACCAAACTTGTTTGTCACGCTGTTCCAAGCTGAGCTCCGCAAAGAGGTGCTGCCATAGGTGGCCCTGCGCAGCACAGCGTTGCAGCCATGTGCGCCATTCACCGTGATGAAGGCCAGGGGAGCACTGCTAACGTAGGCAGGCCGAAAGCACATGTATTCCCTGGCCCGGGGCCCGGGGGTGCGCGGGCAGGCTGCGCCGCGGGCAGAGCGGAAGTCGCTCCCAGAAGAGGCGCCAAGATGGGCTGCTTTCGGATGCCTTCGCCGAAGTTGAGGGGTCAATGAGCTGCGCCGCATTTACATCAAAGGGCACGGCGCGGACCATTGCAAGTATTGCGCCGCACTTCCTGCTACTTGCAAGCCCGGCGTTTGCCTGCCAGGCCCAGCTGACGGAGCAGCGCAGGTTGGCGAAGCAGGCGGCGCGACAGGGCCAGTGGAGCCTCTGCCTGCGCCTGGCGCGGGCAAATGCAACACGGCTGGTTCAGGGCCTTGCGCGGGGCGTGCGGGTTTTCATTCGAAGTCATCAGGGTTCACTGATGCTGACATGTTCAGCGAGCTGCATTGGCCCCAAAATTTCCTGCAGGGACCCGGTTGGTTCTTCGCAGGAGCTCTTGATGGTGATCATGTTTGAACCCCAAGAACGACATGTGTGGCTGGCTAGTTTGGCACCATCCCCATGCATCTGCTTGACAGCAAGCATGGTCTTTCTTTTCTGCCTTCCTTGTCCAAGATGGTTCCGAGCCCACACTGTGGCCAATAATGGCCTGCAACCATCCCCAATAAGACCTCTCGACGCCGTTGGTGGTCCTCGATTTGTGTGTTTTTTGGATTAGTTGGTGTTTGGTACTTTGGTAGGCAGGCCGAGCTCTGAGGACCCGGTGGTGCTGAGCTGTGCGGTTCAGGCCTGTGCAAAGGCCAGGCGGTGGCAGCAGGCTCTCAGCACGCTGCAGACGGCCCAGGCACCGGAACTAACGCCTTTGGAGCGAGCAGTGGGGGAGGTGGCCAAACTTTTGGACCGATGGGATGCCGCAAGGACTTAGCAGGTCGGGCGGTGAGAATCGCACCTGCCTTTTGATAGGCGCGGGCGCTGGACTTGGGCGTCGTGGCGCTGAACTCTGCTGCCAGTGCCGCGTCGAGTGGGCGCTGCTGGCAGGTGGCCCTGCGGCTGCTGGAGGTGGGAGGGTGGATGGGGCATGGGGTGATGCACTGCCATGCCGAATGGCATGCACGCGTGCACTCAAGCATACACATGTCACATGCCTATGTCACACGCATACATGGTTAAAATGCAAAGAAAGCTGCAGTTGTTTGAATCCCATGAATGATTTCAGGGGCGGGTATTCGCCGAACAACATTCGAGTTGCAATGATTGTCGCTGCGACTCTTGCCGGGGCGTGAATATGAAGCGGGTGTGAATTTTGATAAGAGACGCCTTGGTGGGGATTCTTATCCACCAACCACTTGGGAGGTAATGGCCACGATAGCCCTCAGGCGCCAACCTCGGATGCAACCAGTGTGAACATCGCCATCGCCGCCTGCGCCCGGGGCAAGCACTGGCAGGGTGCGCTGAAGCTGCTCGAGGAGATGCCCATGAGGAAGCTGGCGCAGGAAGGGGGGGAGTTGGTCGGGATTGGTGAGGTTTGTCCTGTGATGTGTTGTTTGTTTGTTTGTTTGTTTGTTGGTTGGTTGGTTGGTTGGGTTTGGTTGGTTTTGTTTGGTTGGTTGTGCTGGTTTGCTCGCTATGCTTCGCTTTGCTTTGGTTGCTTGCTTGTTCCCCCCTACTTGAATGATTGGAGAAGAAGCCATCACACCGTCGATAATCATCGTGCTTGTTTTTTGCATGCTGCCTTTGTCTTTTTCAATATGGGCTACGCCCACCACAAGATCGGCGTTCTCAGCACATCCGGACTGCCTTTGACAATTACTCTCGCGCGGATCAATGCGGAACCCAAACACCACCATTTTCCAGGAATCTCCTCTTGGGGCACCCTTGTTCGGTTCCATGTTCATTTGTACTGTCGGTTGTCTGCTGCAAAGACGCTTGCCGACCGCAGCATTGCGGCAATCGTTTTGCGGTCAGCATGCCATGTCAACCTAGTTTGTGGGCTTGTTAATTGTCAGGGCTGGTGCTGCGACATCATGTTCTGTTCAATCGTTTCATTGTCCTACCTTTCCGCTCACATTCATGGTTACCTTGCAGATCACCCACCATGGCTGAACATAGTGCCCTAAAGAGTTCACTTTGCATCATCAGTTGGCTCGCTTCACTTGAAAAAGCATGAAAAAGCCCAAGCACAGTCCTCAACTTTCGCATCTCCACTTTGCTGGCTCCGGCTGGACCCCTAGGGTTTTGCAACCGCTTGTGTGACTTGTCGCTTGCGGCCACTTGTGCTGCATGCTGTCAATCCGGGCCTTGGTTCAGATGTTTGCAGCACCCAGGATGTTTTCAGCTTCAACTCCGCGATGAAGGCCTTGGCGCGCTGGCCCATGGTGCTCGCGCTGCTGCGGCTCATGCCCAAGGTCCAGGCATTGGGGAGATGTAGGGGTGTGGACCGGTTTGGAGGTTTTGGCCGCAGTCTCTGAAAACCACGAGGGTCAAAGCAAGTGCTTCCATTGCCATGACCATCACGTGAGTTTGGAATGGCATGCGGTGTGCTAAGAATTTTGGAAAGTGCAGGATGGGATCCGAGCGCCCCTTGGCTCCCAAGAATCCCGACTGGCAACAGCAACGCCGGGCGGCCAGGTGGCCCCGGACGCGGTGAGCTACAACTCTGCCATGGCCGTGGCCCCGCGGGGCATCGGTGAGGAGCTGCTGGCGGAGATGCTGCGGCAGAAGGCAAGGCACGCATGCCGATTTCGCGCGAGGCGTGAGGGATGCGAAATTGGAACCGCGGGCTCGAGGCTCCCGCGGTAGGGTGTTTCGCTTTGTTACATCAGCTGCGCCAAGACAGAAGGAGATTCCTTTGGAGTTTCATTCGATGTGAAAGGCTTGGCAGTTTAGATGCGTTTTGCGTAGGTCTCAAATTGGGTAGATCGAGACAATCGGTTTCCAGGATATATCTGACCATCTTCGGGCGCTACACTGCCATAATTTTCAACTGTCCCGAGCCATTTACGTTCTTTCCAGATCCCATGGCTTCCACATCCGCCGTCACTCAGTCTTGCCTGCCGGGCTCTCAGGTGCTGCCTACGGTGATCACCTTCAACACTGCCATGGCTGCCAGCCAGGATCCCCTGAGCTTGCTTGAGGAGACTTTCAGAGAGAGGGGTTCACTGTGGTGCAGCCAGCCCGTGAGTGCAGCTTTTCTTCGTTGGCAACCTGAGCGAGAAGTTGGCCGTTGTAGCAAATGGGACATCCCTCACTCTCAATGCTCCTGGGGTTGCAGGCAAAGAACCCGATTTGCGTTTTGCATGGCGGGCGTTTGCAGGGCTGACCAGTTCCATCCACTCCGCTCTACAATCAGGGATCCAATGTTTGACCCATGCCTGCCTCAAAGTCCAACGTATAAAACACGCGAAGGATCGCCGAGACAGGCGAACCACAGCGCTAATACTTTCCAACGGCATCTCAGTTGCCATTGGCTCCAGTACGCACCAAGCTCGCTGCCATCAACAGGCAGAGCTTTGGCACCGCAGGAGCTCAAGGCTTGGAGCCTCCAGCCCAACGTCATCAGCTTGAACAGCTGCATCAAGGCTCCGGACGGGAACTGGGGCCATTCATTTTGTGGCCCATGGGTTCCCTCAGCTTAGCTTCTTTGGACGTTTCCCCCCAAGGGTACTGTTATCGGGTCTTAACAGTTGTGGTCTTCTGGGTTTAGTGGGTTTCGGAGGCCCCCGTTAATAGAGTGGGTTTATTGATCCGGGTGCACATTACCCCGACGAACACCTGAATGGCTCCTCCGATGGCTGCGAGTGCCAGGCCTGCGGTGATTGGCAGCAATCCCTGGCGCTGCTGCTGCGGATGGAGGGGGAGCCGCTAAATCGAAAGGCGGAATTGCTTTCGCGTGCCAGATCGGCAGATCTATGTTTCGTCGTTTGAGTTGTTTGCATCATCATCATCATCATCATCATCATCATCATCATCATCATCATCATCATCATCATCATCATCGTCATCGTCATCGTCATCGTCATCGTCATCGTCATCGTCATCACCATCACCATCACCATCATCACCATCTTCATCATAATCTTAATCTTCATCTTCATCGTGTTCTTGTTCTTCTCCTTCTCCTCCTTATTTTTAAGCTTGACGTACTCCCGCATGTTTCGTTTTGCTGCATGTTTATTTGCGTGGCACGCTTGTTTGAATCATGACTGCCAGGGTGTCGGCTAGTGTGCGGTGAACACGTTTTGCAATTTGCATTTGTCCATCGCTGTGCTTTGTGCCTCCTCATTTGCAGCATCACGCGCTGTTGTGCTTGAGCCTGACCAAGTTCTCACATTGCTACCTTGCTTGTGGTTCAGCCTTTTGAATTATTCTCGCATTCGGTCACCTACTTAGTTGCCCAAAGCCAACCTTCTATGTTCAGGTCCGCAAGTGAGCTTTCAACAACATTCGGGTCAGCCCTTTCTACAATAGCTGCTTGAAGCTTAGGCTTAGACTGCTTCCAAGCTTGCGGAACAGATGGGATTTCCATCATTTTCCTCTTCGGCCAGGTGGCTATCCATTTTATTAGGGAACACCCTGAAAAATGGTTGTCCATGGAAAGGGTGCCCAAATTAAAATTGATACCCAGGTATGTGGCGGCAGACCTCATCTCCTTCAACAGTCTCTTGGTGGGCGGCGCACCTTTTCATTTGATGCTGCCCGCCATGGCACAGCGAAGGCAGTGGGGAGGATTGACACGTGCCCCGGGACAAAGGAAAGCTGCTTCTTGTTTAGGCCATCTATTTTGACATACATATATAGATAGTGGGGGAGCTGTGCTTTCATGGCCATGCAACACTTGACTACAGCATGCGAACACATGCCGCAAGATGGCAAAGTTTTTGTTCATGTCAGGGGGTAAACTGAGGATGAAGGTTTCTTTCTTAGGATTCCCTCAGTTGTGAATTGGGGTTGTAAATTATGGTACTTAGACACCCGTGCAAAAAGGGCTTTCCGCACGCTGGAGGGCAGATACACAATGAACATGCAGCAGGGCTTTGTAGCCCCATTTGACTGCACAACTGCCAGGCTACCAAGTTTTGGATGCTGGCTTCGTGTACTGTAGCTCGTGCTGGCCTCTTTTTGATCCGGTCGATGTCGGCATGTGGAGGCTTTCACCTGACCTGGTGTCTTACAGCGCTGCTGTCAGCCGTTGTGCGGCAAAAGGCAGGCGCAGCTTTCCCGATGAAACACAGCAATTGCGGGCCTCCCCGCACAGCATGAAGCTACACCGGTGCATCCGTGAATTTTCAGAGCTTCCCGGTGCTTGGATGACTTTTTGGCCTTGCGCAAGTGCAATGTGGCAGACGGGGATGTCTCATTCATGGATGTCCCATTCATGGCTTCAGGACGGCCGTCAAAGTGCATGGACCGACGTCGTTGCATTTTGAGTAGACCCGCTCCTTGAGTGGCAGGTGGCTGGGAAGAAGCGCTTGCCCTTCTGGCTTCCTGCCCAGGAGCCACGCCTGCCGCGAGCCGCTGCTCTCGATTGTGAGGTTATTGGCAAAGCCCGCAGCAGACAGGTCCGGGCAGCCCAAACGGGGCGCCCTTTCGACCCTTTCGAGGGAGGGTGGAGCAAGAGTGAGCTTGACAGGACGCCCCGACATCGCCATCCTGAATGCTGCCATGACAGTTTGCGCAGAGGCTGAGCACGCTCGCGCTGGGTTTGCCTTTGCCTCTAAAAGATGCTGCTGCCTGTAGTCATGGTGTGCTAGTAGTCTTGCAAAGGGGTTGCACGGAGTCCAGGCATACAGGGCGAGGCGTGCTAGCTTCCCAGACTCTCAGAACTGGTAGTTCTTATCGAGCATCGCTTCAAACGCTGTGGGTTTCACGACCTTGGGTCTTGCAAGGCGGGCCAATGGGAACGTGCTCTGCACCTTCTCAACCTGGAGCCACATGGCTGGCAAACAAAGTGCCTTGAGCACATGCGCAATCTGCAGGGGAACCTTGGTTCAATGCTCTCTGTACCTTGCCACGTGTATAGTTTCCGGCCAGCATGCTGTTTGATGCATGCAGAGAAGTAAATATAGAGGAACCTCCGTTTGGGTGCCTCCTTTTGGGTACGTGTCAAAGGGTGACCCCGAAATGCAACTGTGTTCCTCGAAGGGCGTCCCTTTACCCCCAAAAAACGGGTGCCAGCAGCAAGCCAAGAGGACCAAAACAGCCGGCGGATTTCGCAGAGGGGAAGCTCCGCGGAAGGCTGGGTAGCCTGAATACCCGAAAGCACACCCCACGGGGTACCCGCGGATTTCCCAGGGGCTGAGGCTTCTGCGGCGTTCGCTTTCGCCGGATGTGGTGAGCTTCAACGCTGCGATTGCTGCCTGTGACAAGGGCCAGCAGTGGGTGCTGAACTTAGGTTGCAAAACAACAACAGCGACATGAAATAATGAAAAAGGAAAAACGATGGGTTGCCCCGTGTCGTCCACTCCAACTGCCTGAGCCTGGCCAACGGCATGAGGACTTGGCGCTGGTGCTGCTGCAACGTCTGCAGAAGGCGTGAGAGTGCGTCCGGTATGTCCTGGTTTTTGTTCCTTGCCTGGTCCAGTAGGTACTGTAGGTTGCTGGATTTTGGATTGCCAGTCCCGTTGGCAAGCGAGCCGCGCGATTGGCTGATGGGCCACCTTGTGGATTTTGAACCGCTGTGGGTATGGCCCGTGGCGGCTTTTTTCTTTTGCAAAGATACTGAATTCTCGCGCGTGTGCGTCAAAGTTCTGGACAAATTCCCAGCCAACCTCCCAACATTGCAAGGATGCACTAACAAACTGTCGAAACCCACGCCCTTTGCCGCTTAAGGAGCTCGGGGGCATTTTGTCATAAAGCGACGGAATCAGGAATTAACATTTCTGGGAACTCTGCCCACAACTGAATTCACCCTGCCGTTCTGGGAGAGACAAATGATTGGCTTCAAGGGGAATGTGATGGGGGAAACCCTTGCGAAGGACCGACGTATCCTGAACAGGGACGGGGGCGATCCCCCATTTGTTTTGAAATGGTTCTTTTGATTAGGCGAAATGCAAAGTGCTCTCCGGAACATGCATACGGACGTAGCAAATCTCCCGTGGCGGGTGTCGTCATTTTGGGCTCGGCCAGCGCTTGGCCTAGGCGAAGTAGCAATCTTCCACACCTGCAAAACGAAGCTTCGTCTGCAGCACACTTCTTGTTTTCCATTCTTTCTTCTGGCAGTCTTCTTGTTCTGCACCCTGTGGCGCCGCTGCCACGCTCTCAGGGAGTAGAATCCAAGGTGCCTCCGCGCCCACGCCCGGTTCTTGTCATTCGTTGTGCTTACGCGGAGAGTGCGGGGCCACGCCAGTATATAAACATTCAAGCCAAGAGTTTTAGCATGAAGATGTAAACCAAACAAACACTAGCCGTCGGGCACGACACAGTCACCGGCACCGCACACACGCGCACACATGTCACTCGGTGTGTTGAGTTGTCTTGCCAGACAGATGCCTAAGATTGACTGAAGGGTTAGACGTGCTTCGGATGTCGAAATGTTTGCTGCACTCCACGTAGAGCTGAAGCAAGCCACACATGTAGCAGGGGTCGGCCTTCAGATCCGGCGAGCCACACTGAAGCCGGAAGTAACGCGAGACTTGACTCCAACCGCCTCTTCTCTGCACTTCTGGACCCTTGTTCCATCTGCACGGAAGCATTCAAATGGGTGTTTCTCTCAAGAGGGGTAACCACTTGAAGGGCGCTGAATTTTAAGAACCCAGACATGACATGCGACTGCCCTTGTTCTTCCGCACAGAAGCTCCGGCCCAGCCTCATCAGCTACAGCTCGGCGGCCAGCGCCTGCGAGCATCTCGCCGGGTTTGTCTCGGTGGTCGGCTCGGTGTGACCAGCTGGGGTTCTCAATTGCAGATTTCAGGGTGTAGGGAACTGGGTTTCCTTTTGGTTCCAAAAAAAGGCAACTCCAAAAAGTCACCTTTAAATGGGGAAGTCATCCAGTGGGCAGTGCGCTGGTCTCGCAATGACTCGCAGGGTGAAGATCCCCTCACTTTTGGGCGCTTGGCACGCAAGCAAATCGTACGCGCGGGGTCCACGTCCGCTGAGCCCCTATGGTTGGCAACATGTGCGGTCGCTCATTCGCCACTATTTGCTTGCCGTCGCTTTCGCCACTCTTTGCTTGCGCCAAACCGAGTCCCCGGAAGCTCAGTTGTGACAAGCAAGTTGTAACTAGGCACAACTTGCCATGCTGACTGGTCAGATGATTTTCTCAGATCTTCGGTGCTTCCGGCGCACAGCACCGCAAGTAATTGGCACCCGCCGCGTTGGCAGGGGCGCCAAGCAGTGGCCAGCGGCGCTTTCTCTGCTACTGGCAATGAGGCAGACGGCCCTGCGCCCGGATGACGTGGCCTTCAACACGGCGGGGGACAGGGGGGGTTGGAGCACAGGGATATCTGTGTGTTTGGCTCGTGGGGTGCCTGGATTTGGTGCAATCTGCAATGACTGGGCTGGCTACTACGTTGCCATGTGCTGAGATGAGTTTGGCTTGGCTAACTTTCAATGTTGGGACGCGCAGGCCGGAGCCTGCAATGCATTCCAGGCTTTATGTGTAGCTTTCTGGACTACGACCTGTGGGCGGCTGGCAGGTTATGAGTGCAGCCACCAGCGGGCAGCAGTGGACCAGAGCGCTCCAGCTGCAAAAGCTCTCTTTGACTCAGAGTCCCAAAAGGCCATTGGAGTTGGGGCCAGAAGAAAAGCTTTGCCGACTTAGGCGCTGGGCGTTTTGGAGGCCAGAGAGGCTGACGGCATTTCTTTCACTGTAGTGACGTGCCTCTAGGCTGCACATGTTTGGGCAAGGGGGTCCGGCAGTGGAGAGTTGCTTCAATCAGGCCGAGCATGTTTGCATGTGCACCACAGCAGGCAGGTATCAGAGGTGCGCTGGGAAATTTCGACGTCGGCTTTCAAATAAATGACAATGCCTCCCTTCCCAATAAGCCCCGGGCATTTTGCCTTTGCATGATCTAGGCAATGCTGCCATCACTGCCATGGCTTGCGCTGCCAACAGCGACAAAGCGCTGCTGCTTCTGCAAAGGTTCGGGTAACAGTTGCAGGCACAAACAGAAGTAAAAGGCGCTGCGATCATCTGATGACAGCGATGGATGTTTCAGAAATGAGTTTAAGCGCCATGTAGGCTTTAAGACATGCGCGGTAGGTCTGTGAATTCAGGATGCCAGCTCACCTGGGCAGCTTTGTCCGTAAAGCGCATGGCCCCTGCCAGGGGCGGCTTGCAGCCCAGCAGCGTCACCTGGAATGCCCTCTTGGGAGCCTTGAGCGGCGGGCGTGACTGGCGCGGGGCGCTGCGCGCGCCACTGCGGTGTCCAATTGGTGGCGGGGGAAACGGAGTGGGTCAGGATGGTTAGGTGAGGTTGCCATGAGGTTCTGGTAACGGAAAGGGGGTGTTTGAGCTGAGGCTGGCAGACATGCGCGCCCAGCGCGTGGCACCGGAGGTGCTGTCTCTGGCCGGCGCCGTCGAGTCCCTGAGCGGCCGGGGTCCCGGCCAAACCGACTAGTGAGATCGAACGCTTCGAGGGCAGCATTTGTAACCTAGCTACGGTCGCTTCCGTGAGATGGCAAGTGAGCATATAGTTGAATCCTTGCAAGAAAAAATGGCAACCTGCTTTTGCTTGCCGCATTCCTAGAAGCGCACATCGCTTTTTGTCAGATGCTTTGGTCGTGGCTGGGCTCCAGCCACAGGTTCTGCAGGCCTCGCTTTGACGGAGCAGTTGCAGGACTGACATCGACACGAAAGGGGCACGGCCGAAAGCTACGAAGGATGAAATGTCCTGTGAGGTTTCAGCTGGTCGCCTGTATGCAGATCCTAAATGCTTTTGGGGGAGGAAGGTCGCCATCATCAAAGTGAACGGGAGTTTTGATCAAACACTGCTGACTTCAACGGCCGCCTTGCTTCCATGCTGAGCTTCGGAGTTGAGCTAACCCTGGCCCAGGAGCTGCGCGAAGAAGCCTTGAGCCGCGCCAAAGAAGGGCTCCTAGCAAAAGAGCCTTGGGCGATCTTCGCCTGACAATTCAGCGGTTTGGGGGCCCCATAGCAGCTTGCTGCCGCTGTACTTTCTGACTCGACCTGGACTAATGTGGCCCCCAGATATTCGCCAAAACCCGTGAAAGTGGCTTGAATTCATGATTTGCTGGTGTCATTGTTTGTCCTGAGTGTGGCAGCAAGCAGTACGTGCCAGATAGGAAGCACCGAGGTTGTGGGCTTTGACTCGGCGCCTTCATCTTGCAACGTCAATGCCACCGCACTCGACCCTTCTGGCTCAGTCGCGCGAAAGTTCGCCGATAGCGCCCCAACGTAGTGCCGCGCTCTGCGCCTGCCTTCCAGGACTCCGAGGGCTGTGTCACTCTGTTCACACAGCACGTCCCGTCTATTTTGCTGGCACTACTTGCGTGTGGCTCAAAATGAAACAGCTGGGTTACGCAGGTTTCAGTCTTTGTTTGCATATGCCAAGGTGCCATTTTGGTACATGCTTTTGAACCACAGCCACTTAGCTGCGACAACTCACTCATCGCCATTGCGTGATGGTCAAGAGAAGCCTGAATGCCAGGAAAAGCATGACTGCCCTTGAATCGGCCCTTGAATAGAGAGAGGGCTTACTGCCACGCTGCTTGTGCGGCTTTTCCAAACCATGATGTGCACACGCTCTTGCAGAAAGCCTGCACTTGCCATGAGGATCCAGTCATGTTCCGCTCCCTGCCTTTCCTCTTTGGCGCCGTTTCGGCAGCCAACCTCCGCAGCAACGCAGCTTGCTGGAAAAGTGGAAGGAGGGAACTTGCTTGATCCGCACGTAGTTGAAGGGCTGCAGTAAACTGCCATGGGCGAAGGCTGCATGAGGATCATGAGGAAAGAGTGCTGACGCCTGAAGCCAACACCTATTCGCGGAGGATTCGGAGAGTTTATATAGCTCCACTGACTCAATGACAAGCCACAAAGAACTGTTCTCAGCAGATTGCCGAAAGTGTAGCGTGTCATGGTCCTCCGGCATTCGGGCCCGTCATCTGGATCAAATGTGTGAGTCAACTGCTTTAGTGCCCTGTTTGCATCAGGGCCTTTGAATCTCAAAGATGGGGATTGCTGGCTGGGCTGCCCTTCATGCTGAATACTTCTGAGCATTCTGAGCATGAGTCAATTTCTTGGTGGTGCTACTTATTCAGGTCTCGCAGTCATTGGTGCATCAGACTTCCGCCTTGTCCTTCTACCAAGAGGAGGGGTCTACAGTTGGAGAGTGACGGAGGCATGCTTCTGTGGTGTGATGGCATGGTGTGTGTGTACACGAAGACATTCTTTCTGTAAGTGTATCTATGGAACACACGCACACATCCACGCACATATCTATATATATATATATATGTAGATATACACACACATATATATATATATAGACATACATATTATATATATATATACACGCTATACAAAGCATGCACAGCATTTTGTAGGCGTGCGAGTGAGATGAGCATGAGTGCGCGTGCGCGCGGCGGCGACAAAGTTTGCCGTCTGCGCTCCTTCGTTTTTCGCGCTCGGCCCGTCAGGAGCCGCAGTGCCAGTGCATGGCCAACAATGCAGCCTGGAAGAAAACCACTCGGGAGGAGGCTAAATGCAAGTTGGCTGCACTGGTGTAATTTCCCGGGGCATGGTTGAACCCCAACGTTTTGCCACAGTTTTTGGTTGCATTTATAAATGTGTAGGACATTCTGAGCACTTCCTGACTTTTGCCCTACCCAGCCCGAGGCATTTTTATTGACTTGGGTGCAGCAGATGGCAACACCTTCGCCAAATTTATCGAGCACCCAGGCAGCAAGCATCCAGGCAATCCGCTTGTTTGCGCTTGTGTTGCCTTCCGTGCGTAGGGTGCCATTTTTCATCCTTGAGACTCGGGCCCTTTGGGCGCGCCCAAGACATGTGCATCCAAGCGCTTGCTGGTGCTCAGGAACGACTACGGGCCCGTGAAGAATTGCCCCTCGGGCAAGTGGGAGGCCTTCCTGGTGGAGGCGAACCCGCAATTCACCAAAGAGCCTCTTGGCAGCGCACGGAGGTTTAACATTCGAAACGTGCTTGTCAGATGCTATCGCTTACTTCTTATTTGTTTTGCGGGAAGCTGGCATTTGCCTTGACTTTCTTGGCTGGGGCAACCATAGCAAGCACCATTCACAAGTGGTTCTTTGAACCAGGGAACCAACAGTTTTCAGGGGGAGGCTGAAGGGAACATGACCCAGCAAAGTCCAGTACGTGTGTCATTGGCGGGCATGGCCCCAGTTGATTCACGCCTCCCCCAGACCGGACTCTTGCTATCAGCCCAAAGTCTCAGCTGCTTTAATCCGCTTTGGCCATGTTGGATCAGTTCTCGGCCAGCAAATATTTTTTGGGGGTCTTCAGTGACCGATGAACACAGCCCAGCCTTGGCCAGCAGGCATTGATTGATTTGGGGTGTCGAAAGCTCACCGCAGGCTGAACGCTCTTCAAGAGAATTTCCCTGGCCAGGCAGGAGCGTGTTTGCTGTTGAGGGCCATCCAGATTGTTTTGCGGGGTGGGCCCACGCTGGGGACTCGACAAACCGCAAGCGATATCTTTTCCCTCGGCCTCGCACACAAGTACGGATCGCTAACCCGCTCGCAAGCTGACGCAATGGGCTTGGCAGGTGCACTCGCTGGCTGAGCACGCCGCCTTCTCCTGCGAGGGAACCACCAGCTTCTTCATCGACGCCCGCAAGCAACGGAGTCGACATCACATTGGCACACGTTTGCTCTTCCTGGCTTTATGGCTGTGTTTTGCTAGCGTGCTTGCGGAGCGACCGAGGACGCAGACGCAAGCCACAACCACTGGGGTTCCTCCCTCATGTCCGATGCCCCGGACGCGGTGAAGAGCGGAAAGGTGAAGGTCACCGTGCCAATGCTCAACGTGGTGCAGCTGCTGCTCGACCAAATCAAGCTTGCCGTGGGCGACCAGTTTTTCGGAGCAAAGGTTCAGTTGCCGACCCCGGACAGCTGTCTAATGCATGCCTGTGCCCAGGATCGCTGAGCATGTCCGCCCAGATGATTGGGTGATGCCTCTTGGCAGTCTATGTGTGATGCCTCTTGATGTGGTGACGGGCTGTCATGCCTTGGAATTTGCTAGGAACCAGCGGTCTTTTCGGCTCGATTTGGTGTCTTTTTGAGGGAAATTACACATGTAGGGGTTGGTTTAAAGGCAAACCAAGGACGAATTACTCGTCGAGAGTTCGCTTTGTCAGAGGCCAACGCGTAGCTGCAACTCTTGCAGCATCCCTGGAGCATTGTCCGAGATCGAAATTGACTGAGGCTGAAGGTGGACATTGAGGGCGCAGAGTACAACTTGCTGCCTTGCCTGGCTCAGTTTAAAGAAGCAGGGTTGGTGGACCGCATGTACCTGGAGGAGCACTGGTGGTTTCCCTCCATCACCGTGCCTTTGCCTGGCAAGGGCAAAAAAAGGAGTCTCCATTGCAGGTGACCTGCTGACCTGGTCCCATTCTGGCTAAGCATGGAGCGCACGGTGTTGTTAGCCCGAAACGATGCATGGAAAAGCCCAGCCTCAGCAGGGCCTGCTGTTCTATGCCGAAAAAGCTTTGGAAGCCTCACATGGCAAGGGAACGCAACGGACCAAGGAAAAGTCCAAGAGCGCTCTGGCGGAGAGCAAGAAGAACCTCATGTCCATGCACGTGGACATCCCCAAGTACTACAGCGCCTCCTGAGCAGAGCGAGCAAATCACGGCTTGGCCAAGCCCAGAAGAAAAGGTGCGCTCCTCTGAAAGCGTCACCCATTTGAAGGGCGGTGAGGCCTGTGGCCTGGCCAGGCTCAGAATTGACAGCCTATTCTCGACAGGATCCCCTCGAGATGCCAGGTGCATCAGTGCGGCCGGGAAGTTTGCCCCAAAAGGCAGCCTCCATTGCACAAAAGGATCGCCCCGAAATGTGTGGTTTCCCTCTTGATTTGTGTTTAAACCACCCAAAAAGGGGTACCCCAAAAAAAGGCTTGCAAGTAATGCCTCTCGCAGCCCGTGGCTTCGCAGCGCACCCAGTCAGATCAATGCACAGACTCATGCGGGCAATGCAGCTGACCAAGACATGAAGAACATTGCAGTTCTTTTTTTGCGTTTCGGAGCAAGCAACGCCCCTTATGACTATTGGGCAAGGGCAGGATGTAAGCGACCCTCATTGCCTCGGCCAACCACTCGTTCAATCCAAAAGAAAAAGCTGCTTAATTTGTTCAGCATAGTGCCACAGCACCTCAAGCATTTTTTGCGACATATGGGCTATTTGCACTGAGCTAAGTTTGGCCCCATGGCTCAGCCACAAGTCGCATGCTGCGTGCTAGCCACTTGCATTGAACATGCGAGGGCGGCACCTTGGGCTGCCACATGTCGTTCAACGCTTGCATTGATGGTTGTCGTGCAGCAATTCCCCGTCTTCCGTGTGTTCAAAGTTACGACAAGTGCGAACCAATGCCACGAACTGGTCACGAGCCTGGCTTGGAATTTGTGGGCCCGAGGCATCATCTTGCTGCCTCTCGCCGCGGGCTTCACCGATTGCGGCCCGAAGGAGTTTCAGTGGCCGTTGGCTGTTTGCAGCTTGGGCGCTGCCCTTCGGAAAGCGAAGCAGGAAACCAGTACAGACTGGAACATTGCATCTTAGTCATGGCTTACCTTCAGGTTAGCAAGATCCCAAGACAATCTTTACAAGCGGCTCCCAACTTCGGCGAAAGGAAAACCCTGGACCGCAAAGCGTCTTACGGAAACTTAGCCCGCCAAAGCCCCGCGAATACGGATCAGCGGCGCACACCCTGTCCACAAAGTCCTCCCAAAAGAGCAAAAGTGCCGTTTCCCTACTGTGGCTAACGGGGCTGAATTGGGGGGGCAGTGATTTCGCAGAAACTCGGAGAAAACTTCGCGAAAGTGCTGGACAAGAAGCAGGACTCCCTTGTCAATGTCTGCCAAAAAGCCCCGCCGCGGAAGGGTTCACTACACAAAGCTCCGCGAAGGTAAAATCAGATAAAGCACATGTGTGCGACAGGCACGCGAAGACTCGGCTAACGCAAACCGGACAACCGGATCTCGACTTTGGAGCACGCGTATTTGGCTGAGGCCTCGGGACAGAGCTGGTGGCGCAAGATGTTTGGACCGTGGCGCGGGAGGTGGACAAGGCAGGTTCGCGAGGTGGTTGGAGTCACCCGTGGATTGAAATGCTGTGGGAAAATATGCTTCGAGCATTTGGCGCAATGTGATGGACCGGCCATTGCGGTCGCAAGTGTCCAGCCAGGCGCTCAACCTCACCCACGTGCCGCGGGAGTATGGCGTCGAGCTTCTTGACCAATGTGATAAGGTCAATCAGGTTTGCTTGAGCTGGTTTGGGACACAGAATTGTGCTCCAAAGTCGTTGGCAGCGACTGGGTTTAATTCGCTGCGCTGGACCCAAGAGTGGACTGACAGGTCAAGCTAGCCCAAGAAGGAACTCCAGCAAGGCCTAGGGACGCCTCCACAAAATCAGTTTCAGGCGCGACTCGCCCACGCTGCATCTAAGGCTGTCAAACGCCTTTTTTGCCCTGGAGCGGTCCGGGGCATTGCCAGGAGAGCTTTGGGCTTCACCTTTAAACAGGCCCAACGAGCACGTCAGCTAGTGAGAGCTCGCAACGGCGTCAGACCGTCAGACACTAAACCGCACTGTGGCCTGCGAACTGTTCGGTCACTCCTTGGCTGGTGAGTGCTTCAGGAGCCATCGAAGACTGCGCCCTAGGCGTGGCGACGCTGGCCTTGAACGCGGTGCCCTTCGCGGAGCTTCGCTTCGGCACTCTGCACCTGGCACGAAATGGGCCTTTCTCAAACCGAGAAGGCACAAGACGAGGCATGTTCGATCTTCCCGAAGCATACCTTCGAAACACACCAGCGAAAGATAATTACTCCAAGGCCGACGCATGGATTGACACACAATGTTGAGAAACAGCCAAATTCCCTCTCAGGGCCAAGCCGCCGCGTGCGTGATACTTCTTCAGCTTCCCCTAGTTGGTTGTGTGGTTTGGAGGCTAGGGGGTGTGGTTTCCAATGTACCCTCTACAAAAGCCAGCGTTCAAATCCCCAAACCTCCAATCCAAGCCACCAACTAAGGGTTGCCAGATGTCCGGCACACACCCGAAGTCCGAAGCTGGTTTGGCCGAGGGAGGTGGCAGGTGCGCCCCCTGAAGGGCCACAGAGGGCAGCCAGGCATTTATTGGCTTGCAGGATCTGTCCAGACATGAATTTCAGCACTGCAAGCCTGTTGCGATGCCAAATCCCACAATAGACTACCGACGCCCGTGGCCATCAAGAGCTGCGTTTCGCAACGGAATGTTTGTGTAGCAAGCATTGCCACGCAGTCAGCTTTCCAAGGGGACAGTATGGCTTTTGGGCGGAGTCATTGTAACTTGCTGATTCAGAGCCATGAAAAAGCGGAGCCGTTCCAGGTCAACATTGAGTATTCCGGGCTAAGCGGCCATGCGCCACAAGCTTCCCATGGCTCCCTTTGCTATGAATCTCTACAATGTTTTAAAGGGAAACCAAGGAACGCCGCAATTTTGAGGGTCCAAATCCCCATTTTGACACTGTGACACCTGCCTGATCCACATACCCTACTGAGGCAGGCCAAAGAGTACTTCCTCCTGTTCGAACAGCTGCAGCGCAAGTACGGCCACCTCTGGAATGCCGGGGGCTTCGCCTGGAACCTGCAGACCCACCAGTCGGCGGGATGCCTCAGGGGTTCCCAGAAAACGGGCGTCGCCACTCGTTTTGGTAAGGATGCAGCCGAGAGTGAAGGGTGCCAGGAGATTTGAATTAGTCATGTGTTGCCCGGCCACCTGAACAACTGTAATTTGAGTATTTCCAAGGCGCCAGCAAGCTTCCAAGTGGAATGGGCAAGGCGCCCACGACAAAACAAGCGACATTCACTCCCTTGTGGCAGGTGCCTTCTTCGGCCCTGGCCGTACAAGCACCAAGTATGCACTTTATTCGGTGAATGATCGGGGCATTTGCATTTCCCAAGATCATGTTTTCAGCCTTTGTTGTTATTGCGACTATCAATTTTGATCACCTGAGCCGTGTTTGACTCAGCCATGGCAAGGGGCACACGAAGCAACCACGTGCCTTGGAAAGCAGAGCAAGCGACACATCGCGGGCTTGAGTCTTTGGAACTCTTTATGTGTCGCTCCAGATTCACATGTGTCTTGCGCTTTGGTACTTCAATGGCATTTTGGCTGTGTCTCGCATGATGCCTGACCTGACATGTGGTCCTTCTCGTTTCGCGTCTCCTCACCTTGCACCTCCTTCTTGCGATGTTCCCGCATTGGGTTGCAGCACCAAGACCCACTCGCCGTAGCTCAACAAATCACCTCACTCCGAGGTTATGTATTGTCCCTTTTGACCAGTGTAAAGAAAGGCTGCAAGTACAAAACCGGCCACAAATGAATGGGATGTTCAGCCTGCACCTTGTACCCTGATGGGAGAATGATGTGCGGTCTTAATCAACCACTCAACCACTTCCTTCAAAGTTTGCACCACACGCTCGGCATGTCTATTCCATATGAGCTGGCAAAGTGGGTGTTTTCTGAGAATTTGATCTCCGCTAGACAAGGGGTTTCCCTGGCAGTGTGATGCATGTTATGCATTGTAACCTTTGCTGATGATACACACGCAAACAGAACTGAAACACATTCCAAGTGCCAGAAGTTTTGCGCAGGCAGAATAACCATACGCAACCACTCAGCACCCCCCGCCAGAAGGAGTTTCTGCAAAAGGCCCCGGCAAGACTTCTAAAGGCTTGACAAAGGCAGAGAGCCAAAGGCGTCAAAACGCAGGCAGGCTACCCCCTGATCCTGGGCCTGAAGCCTCAGAGCTGCGAGCGGGATCTGAAGATCTACGTCTACGACACGGACTTCGCTTCGAAGCCCATCGTGTGCAGCCAGGGCATGTTCGCCAGCGAGGCGAGGGCACCGGAAAGCGAGAGGTAGATGACATGGAATTTAAAGTTGTAAAACAATGAAAGACGCATCTTCAACCTGCAGGAAGCATGAATTGCAACTCAGAGCATAAGCCTTTGTGTGTTTTGTGCCCACGTCGCTGCCCAGAGCTGGCACCCTGCATTGATTCATTTCCCAACTCCGCACCTTCCTCCCAGCCAGAAGGGCTTTCAAGACCAGCCAGGTCTTTGTTCACCAGTTCCTGCTCCACAGCAGCTGCCGCACGACGAATCCGCAGGAGGCAGACTTCTTTTTCGTGCCCGTGTACGCAGCCTGCGTCATGACCAAGGAGAAGAAGCTGGCGGGCGAACCTCGACTCGAAGCCATGGGAGGTTTGGCCGTTTGGCGGAAGTGCGTTTGCTCGTAGGTGCGGCCCTTGCCAGCCGGGAGTGCGAATTGCAGCATTTTCGTGGCTTCAGTTTCGGATGTGTCATTTTTTGGCTGGTGGCGCTTGAAGAAACCGCGGTTCCAGTCGCATAGGTGACAGGGACTCATTTCTGGTAGCTCGATTGGTGATGCTAAGTAGCTTTGGGGTGAAGGTTGCTTGCCTCCTATGCTTGCGAGGACATGGACCAGTTCTACAAAAACCTGGTGAGGGAGGAGTTAACTTATTTTGAGGACCAAGGGGGCCTGGATCACATCTTCCTTTGGTCGTCAGAAACCTACGACTTCCCATCGTGGCTGGACTACATTCCTGACTCGTTGTTCCTGTCAGTTGAGGCCGGGCTGCTGACGTACGGTTCAGGCAGAGATGTGCAAGTGACTAAGCGGTGGCGGTGAGGCTCGCAACCCACGTCAACCCTCAGACTTGTAACTTTTCTTTAGCCCCCTCGGGCAGAAGGCGGCGCCTATCGAGTGCACGGACTTCGATTTCTTCTCGGAAGAGACGGCCGACAACTTTGGGGCGCACTGCAAGCACTGCTACTGGTGCTTTACCCGCTGGAAGGACTTGCTCGATGCCTTTTGCGTGTTGAAGCTTTCAAGGCCCTGGTTGAAAATGCTATGGCTGCAGGTCAGGGCATTCTTCGACAGTATCCTCTTGTGGTGTTGTAGCAGGTTTTGGCAGGTTATGCCAAAGTGTGGCAAGTAGCACTGTGGGAGCATGGTTGGCCTTGTAATGGTTGGACCTCACCCTTCAGGACTATGTCATCCCGGGATTTGTGGAGAAGTGGAGTGTCGAGAAGATGCAGCTTCTGCAGAAGCCTCACGAAGAGAGGACCTACACCGCCTGTTATCACGGAGCAGATTCGGACTCGTTGGCCATTTACCTGTATGCCAACACTACTGATGCTTCGCTGCATTTTGTCCCGTCAGATGTTAGCAAGCAAAAATCGCCTACAACCGGCTGTGCCTGATCTGTTCTACGAACCTGAGGTCCGCAATGACCTGCAGAGCCTGCGGGGCCGTCCTGGTTTCAGCATTGGCTACAGGTTCTCGCGGATTACAGATGCTTGGCGCCAGGGTCGCATAATCCAATAATCCCGTCAGGCTTGCCACAAACTTGCAATGGGCGGTCCAGCGGTGTTCCTTGTTGGCTCAGCCCACTTGCGAGTTTTTTCCTGCCGGCCGTTTCCTGTGGGCCCAGTACGTTTTTGCCCGAGGAATATTTCGAGCGCATCGGGGAGTGCCACTTTTGCTTCGCTCCGAAGGGACTGGGGTACTGGAGCAACCGCCTCTACGAGGTGCTTTTCGCCGGGTGCATCCCAGCCGCCTGGCGAACAAGATTTTCGGGGTTTTTGGCAGGCTCCCTTTCAGGGGGCATTTGAGCCGGTGTAATGTTGACCCCAAATTAATAAACCCCTGTTTATTAATATGGGGGTGTCCCTGGGTTTAGTGGGGAAACATCACTTTTGGAGGGAAATACCCCGTATTAATAAACAGGAGTTGATGAGTATGTGCATGGAGGATCCCCTTGTAAAGCAGGTTAATTGTTCGATGTATCCTAAGGGAAATCTGTAAAAGGGCGGTTGTGCTCAGAGGGCAACCCGGATGTCAGGAGGCGGTTCCTGAAGCCTGCACCTCAGCTCAGGTCATCCTGTCCGACCACATTGGCTTGCCCTTTGATGACTTCCTGGATTGGCAGCCCGGCCAACGCCATTTTGCACTGCTCGGCATTTGCGTGAGTCTACATGTGGTAGCCTGCTGGTCCAGACCCAGACTCCAGGCCTCGTTCTTTCTCTCTTTCATGTTTGTTTTCTGTTTCATTGCCGTGTTTGTTTGTGTGTGTTGTTTGGTTGGTTGGTTGGTTGGTTGGTTAGGTGGGTGAGGCTTTCGCTTGTGACGCCCAACCACCCCCCCCACCCCACCTCAACCCACCCCCACTGCTTGGGCTGGCGTTATGCTTGTGGTTCCAGTGCGGCTGCGGGTGTGGTTGCGTTTGTGGTTGCGGCGTGGTGGTGGCGGTGGCGGCGGTGGTGTTTGTGGTGTTTGCGGTGTTTGTGGTGGGGATCGTTGTTGTCGGTGGCAGTGGTGGTTGGTGGTTGTTGTGGTGTCTATCCCGAGGCCGTCCTTCTCCTTGAAGTGGCCAATGAACCAGGCCGGGCTTGTGTGCTGAATGCACGTCATGACCACAAAGGAGATCATTTGCCCTGCTACTTCAAGCCAAGTTCCACGTGACTGTCGGATGGAACCAAGGTGGGGCCTGCTTTGGCAGAGCACTTGGAACGGCTGGTGGCGAACCGCAAGGAGCTGGTCAAGGACATGCACCGGCAGGTGGTGAAGAACAGGCCAGGCTGAGGAAGGGTGTGCAGGTTTCGAGAACCAATAATAGCTGGCTTCAGCTTTTGGTATCGTGGCGGCAAGATGGGGGAATTTGCCAGCAGGCTCAATTCTTCCATACCCACGTGGCCCGCAAGATCCGCAAGTTGCTTCAGAACGCGTTTTGCGCAAGAGCAATCCGTTTGCCAACTTCTTGGAAGTTCCAAATGCAAATCGCGAGTTGCACGGGGTAGCATTGGGCAAGCTCACACCTCACAACGCGGTTTGAGAAGCTTTGAACAGTGGCTGGAAACAAACAAAATGCACGTCGAAATCAGCTTTACCATTCAAACTTGTGTTGCGGTTTGATCGCCTGGTGTTAGAGCCCAAAGCTTGCAAATTCCACGTGACTAAGTTTGGTTCAAGACGTGCGCTAGGTGACTGTACGTGGCTGCGCGTTGGTGTGCTGTGCTTGTTTTCCAGCGGGAGGTATGGGGTTTGCATTTGACAGGTGCTGGTTCGACTACAACTCCGAGGATCCCAGTTGCGCCTGGGCATAGGGGGAGTTTTGGTGTCCGTAGCCCCGGTACTTCGTGCCGAGCCTCGTGGTGCCGAGTAAGGCACATCGCACCTTTCCGTGTTTCCAGGTTTCTTCTTGTATCGCGTCTTTCTTCTCATGCTTGCGTTTCTTGCAAAGCGAGGAGTGGCAAGCGTTGACCAGACCAACCTCTCAAGAAAGAACATGGGTCGCGGGGTGCTCTCATCGGAGCCCCAGGGGCAATCAGAACCATTTTTGCATGGCAATGAGAAGGTGCTTTGCCTGGTCACCTTGTTGCTATTTGTGGTTTCGACGGCTTGGCAGCATTCTGGGTGCAATCTAGATGGCTAGCCAGCGTCGGACACCAGAATTCTAGGGCTCACAATTGCAGCAGGGCATGTTTATTCTTAAGGATGCCACATCCATGCATGTGCCTGCTGACGCAGTGAACCAGAAAACACCACTTACTGTCGGGGAGGAGCCAGTCAGCATGGAACAAGATACTAGGCTACTTGGTTCCAGCATTTTCAGAATCACGGCTCGAGAGTGGTTGGGCTGCCCAAGACTGGTGGACTGAAATGTTTGTTGGTTGAGGCTCACCCTACTTGGGCATCCTGCGGTACTTGCAGAAGAAGAAGGCTGCGTTTCCTCGTTCCACTGGAAGCTCGGCTTGATCTCGGCCCATGGGCAAGTTGTGTCGATTCCTGGGTTCCAGATATTGGTGACGCGAGGGTTCCAGCATGTTTGCCCGCCCCGTCGCGCCCAGGCCGAACCTGGGACTTCGCTTCACCGCCCGCCCGAGGGAGTCCCCGCACGGTGGCGTGAAAAGAACAGCCGAGGCTCGCGTCAAGGTATGAAGGCACCTTCCATTGGCCACTGGCAAGCAGAGCTGCGCACCTCTGATGTGCCAGGGTTTTGCATGATCCAACTGCTGGGCTAGTTGCTGACTGCGCAAGCGCGCCCTTGAACTGTTCCCTTGCCAATACCCTCGGGTCCTGCAGCTACAACTAGCTCAAGCCGATCGGCCATTCAGAAACCATGGAGGCATCGCGGGAGGGTTCGCAACTGGAGAGTCTCAGAGTTTGGTCCAAGCCTGTGCCAGTATCAATGTGGCACTGCTAACCCTTTCGAGGTCGGGTTTTAACCTTTAACCTTCGAATGCAAGGCAATTATTTTCTCCCATTGCAAGCAATATCAGGCCGCCTGCCTGGTGGCATGGGCACCCCCGATGAATTAATCTTTGCTTCAGCAGGAAGAGTGCATGTTTTGTGGTCGATGCCGCCGATGCCCCAATAGACGACCAGGTCCGTGAGTGCAGGATCCCACTCGGAATGCATCGCAGTTTCTGTCGCATGGACGATTTTGCCAGTGCAGGCCATGTCTAAAGGTCTGAAAGGTATGGCGTCCCTGGCAAGTGGTGATGATGTCATTGGTGATTGTGTTATTGATGCCAATGCTCCTTGCATTTTGGGATGTGCGAGCCATTTCTTGAAGCATGACCAGCGGTTGAAGTTCATTGGAAGAGGTGTCACGTATATTAAGAGCCCGTTTCAGTTGGGTGGGGTCTTGGAACGGTTGTCACGTGCGGTGACCACGGCCCGGGGTATAGGTGAGCATCCTGGAGGGCAAGGGCCTGCCGACCGCCTGGGCCACAGACCTTGTTGGCACTTGCCAGCTGAGCCACCAAGTTTCGCACCTCTGCAGGACGCATTGGTCACCCTGAAGGCGGTGCTTGGGACGAGTCTGCCAAAGCTAAGCTATGCGAAGCTGGTTTTTGGGTGTGGCCCTGCTAGCGAAGTGGAGAGGCGCCCACTTGTAAAGATTCGGCCCCAATGAAGTCTTCGCCGCCCAGATCGGAGTGTGATGAAATGTTGGCCGGGCCTCGAAGCTGTGACTTCAGACTAAGGGCGGCAGGTAGAGGGCGGCACCCGGTCCGCTGTTTGAGTACTAGCTGTTGGTTGGAAGCGGGGCAAGGAGCTGGGGTATGCAATTTTGTGTGTAAAGAGGGTACACGTACGAACAGCAAGTCAGTGGAAATCTTAAACGCATGGCACAGACGTGTTGCCTGTCGTGGTTTGTGGGCAGGTCGGCACACAGCGCAAGGCGACCAAGATCGAGGCCAGGCAATTGCCTCATTTGCAGGCCGAATTGCCCTCTCAGGTCTGGGGGAGACTTACTGGGGCCCTTATGTAAGGCTACAGTACAACCGAAGCCAATTTTTGGGCGAAGATGGGCAGGGAAGACAAGGAAGATCTCGCATGGGCTGAGTGGCTCAGGCGGCGCCGCGAAAGGTCGACATGGCGGCTGGCAAATGCCTAGCGCCTGCCCCAGGTGCCGCTTTCTGACCGAGGTCCTTGGGACAAGTCGCATTGCAGCGCTGGAATCCAACTTGTTCATTTTGGAAATGCTTGGAATTTTGGAAGGATCCTCCGGTGCGCTGAATTGTTTCCACAGCCCTCCATTGTTGGACATCCTGGAAGATTCAAAGCGGCTTGCTCAAAGCGGCTAAGAAGAAGCTTGGTGGGCACTTCGGTGGTGGTTGCAGGGTTCGTGCCGGATGTGCCCAGCTTGTTGTGGCAGGCGAACTTTTACCAAGTCAGTGCCGGTGCCATCAAGTCGTTCGTGGTCATTTATGGGCAACACCTAAATAACTCTTCTCAACTTAGATTGCACTTCGGCAACACTTGTTCTCGGAAGCAATGTGACGTGACAGGCAGGAAGTCCATGTTTGCACCAAGGTCACTGTGCTGCAAAGCATGGGCGGGGGAGACCTGACTATGCCAAAGGGTGCTCAGGCAGGGCGAGCGGGGAAGGGGGGGTTCAGGAGCCCTGGAAGAGCGCAGAGCTGTCTGGTTCTGGTTAACTGCATGCTTCCACCTGCACGGGGGCTCTCGTAGGGATCGGAGCATCCGAAACGGACGGCTTCACGCTTTGAGTTTCGAGCAACAAGTCCGCCGTTCGCCACGCCGCGTGGCTCTGAGGGCGATGCTGTCACGACAAAGCTGCCGGTGGTCAAGCCGGACGGCACCAAGACAGAAGTTCTGATTCAGCTCCTTGCCAGCAGGGCCGGGCCAAGTGGCCCGCAGTACTTGTTACAACACTTTACGCTTTACCGTACTCTGCCCTGTGTAGAAGCCAGATGCTCCTACAAACTGAGCAAGCAGGCTGCAGAATTCACAAAGCCAGGTCCTTTCTTTTTTTTTCCCCGATG